TAATTAAAATATGCTTTTATCAGTAGAAACACTACCTGAGTTGTGAGATCATTTTTGTAGATTAAGAATTTTACGACATTATTATAATTAGACAACTAAGACTAAAAGGTATGGACTCTATTTAGCTTCAAGGTGTCCAGTTTTCATTTCAGAGAAACCGTAGGTCCTAGAATGATGCAATCAAAATTTTCTCCACCAAACCAACCTTAAACAGAGCATGTTTTACCCATTAAACACATGTAAATTGTTTTCACTTCTGTTCGTATATCTTCGGGACTTGTGATGCATAATGTTTTACAATTAACGTGAAATTAATTAACGGGGGAAAAGTTGTTACACGTTAACTCGAAACCTAAAAGAGATATGAATGAAGTTTAAATAAATTTGAATAAAATTATACGCTTTTTGACATATAAGCCTATCAATATTCTTTTCTATATACAAATTTTACTTCACCATTCTAGAACCAACGGTTTCTCTAAAAACAATCAATACTGGACACCTTAGAAGATATCCACAACATATATGACTGCCAAAGCCTCATTTTCAAGTTTCCAATAAAATTCTCTAAGCTCTAAAATCAATTTGGTAACGAATCATGTGAGAATGAAACGACCAAAAGTTTGGAGAACTGTGGTTTTGAAACGTAAATTCACTGCAAACTGTGCTATAATTAACTAGTTATTGTTTAACTTAATTGCGTATTCGGAAACTAATTCGCCTTTAATACGAAGTTTCCATCGAACTTTTCACATAGCTACAGATATTTTCAGCAAAAGTTAAATATTTGAATAGCAATTAAGTAAATGTTTTTTTTTTATTTGTAAGACTCCCATGTTACCGTTATACTATAGTTTTGTTTGTCTTCTGTTTTAGTTATTATTTTTCTATGTTACCATGCAGTCAGGGTCGTAAATAGGAGTAACCAGAGATATTGTATAGAAATTACAAGGTACTGACTAACTGCCGCCAAGAAAAGTTATTACACTTTAAATGAATACTTGTATGTAATCTTAGAATGTAGTAAAGTGCAAGATTAAAATAATATATCTTTTTAGTAAATTTATGTTTGTACATATGGCCATGCAAACATTAATAGATAGTAATAGATGAATAGTAACTTTTGTCTAAACAAAATATACATGTTCATAAAATAAAGATAGAAATTACATAAAAATATATTTCCAATACAATATACTATATATTAAAATTGATTTGGAATCATAGTGTTAGAGAGAAAACAAAGTCTCGTTGCTGTTTGTCATCAGAATATAGAGACTGTTTTAGAGTTAAATCTTAATTAAAACTTTTTGTCTTACTCCCCTTCTGCTGACGTGGAGTATTTTTGGTTTCCTTAGAAATCAGTTAATTAATTCGCTTAAGAATTAAAATATCTCATTACCCTATCTATGTTTTTCAAAATAATAGTTTAGCATTAAAAAAAATATTTGATCTACATAGAAATTATGGTTCACAGAAAATATCAAACTTATCTACACAGGACTGTTTATAACATTTTATACATTCGCAGTATGTTTGTTCCCTTTTACACACAAAACGCATTGAAAAGAAGAAATTTCTTAGGAAAAATATTTCACCATTGCTAAGTAAACCTTTCTTTTCAAACATTCCTATTCACCCTAAATTCACTTTGATCTTTAACTTAAAGCGAATGTTGGTTTTAAAGAGGCCTCGAACAGCATTTAACTCGGCTCAGATTGTTTTGAAAAGCAAATATTAGAAACGAATATTTTTACAAGAATTACATTTTGTATGTCACTACTTTAAGCTTATTTAAATGTAATATTCGACCAATTTTACAACTTATAGTTTAGCAAGACTCTGTCATTTAATAAGAAAACTATTTTTGCACTCAAAAATCCTTAAAAATGTTCGATTAAATTTGAAATTAAATTAAGATACTTGTTAATTCGAGGCTAATTTAGAACCATGGTCCTTTCTTCTTTCAATAATTAATTATTAAAAAACAAATATTTATTTAAAGATTTGATCTTTTTCATAAATTAATAATATACTAAAATGTTATGTGGGTCCATGGAATGGTTTTCTAAAACCACATGAATACCACATGATGAATTTAAAGGATCCATAATAGGGCAGGCCCAGTTTCTTTTGAAGGGAAAATATTTTTGATTAAAAAACTGAAATAGGGTATGCCTATTTGTGGAGAATAGTACTATCATTGACGATTGTATATGTTTCAATGCAAGCCAAAAAACATGGGACCTTATTCCATAGGTTAACATAAAAAGAAGAAATATAAATAATATTAAAAGTATATATCTCAATCGAATAAGAAATCACAATTTGTAAATGATTTACAATTAAGTAAAAAGTGTTAAATATTTTTAAAAAATAAGTATTTTATGGGCAGTCCTAGTAAACCTATACCTTAAACCAATTGAAAAACCTTAGACAATCTTGTCAACAACTAAATTTTTTTACCGTCTCACAATGGGATATATTTGAGAAAATTACTTTACTAAATGAAATAATTTGTTTAGTGAACACCAAAACAGCAGGTACTGTCAATTTTTGGTTACAGCCTTGTATAGAGTTATACAATTTTCATTGGGTCCTAACTCCTAACCGGGTTAAAAAGAGTTGTCCAAACATTTTACCTACCCCTTATTACAAAAAAAGTTAGTCTACATAGTTTATGCGAATGTCAAAAAAATACCCGAAAAGATTAAAAATATTTCGTTGATTTAGAACCAACAGATATACGGTTATCCGTGGGCAACCCCTCTCCCTTCCTCTACAGCCTATGTCACTTTGCACTGATAACACATGAACTACGACAAAACCGGTAAAATAATGGCATTTGGTTACTGGTGGCAAACATTTAATGTAAAAATGATTCTCTACCACATGATATGCAAAAGGATTGTGGATGGGTTATTTAACAAAATAATGAGGACACTTGGTAAGAGGTGTGATGACTAAATTAGGATTTACGTGTGTTGATTTCAGTTTAAATGATTTCAATTTTAGATTTTTGGCTTTTTACGTTAGGGCAATTTAAAGGTGTTTGTAAAGGACCGATGAAAATCCTAGTCTTGTAACAATTGCGACAAAAATTCCAACAGTACTTAAACACTGATAAAATAAAAACTACACCACGAAAAGACCTTTAAGGAGAAGGTACGAATTGGAACGCACTATTTGAATACGAAAACACGTGTATACCTATGCGTGCATTTTCACATTGAGTTTTGAAAACAAAAGACTTCCATTAATATGTAGCGGCAGCTAAGTATTACTTACTTCACTGGCATTTCTTTTCATACAGAGCTTTGATCTTTGACTCTACCGCTAGGGTACTTGTTTACCTATGTTCGTGCTGGATAAACATAAGCTCAGCCTCTATGATAAAAATATCCGGGGTATTTAAAACTACAAAAAACATACGTAATTGCCAATTCACTCCCGAAAACGATAAAAATGGCTGTAACAAAATATACACAAATGTATTACAATTGTATTACCAAATTAAATGTATTGTTTAATATCTTAATCCAAATACTTAAATAATATTAGGCCTAAATAAAATCATCTTATATTTCGGACAAATTTATGATAGGTACATTATGGAAATCTATAGGTAATTAGATCTAGCCTTACTAAAGTGCATTTCACATACAAATTACTATGGAAAGAGACATCCACTGTAAAAGTGTTCTTGTTTGCGAAATTCTGTGATTCAAGTGTAAATTACTCTCTGTTTTCTCTTGCGTATAATTGTAGCATATAAAATGCTTTTGTATTAGAATATTAGTATGATAACCTTTGTTTGTATTTTATTTTCTATTCCAGTTTCAAGAACTTGAATTATATTAGATTACCGGTACCTTTATTTTTGTAACCTGTAGTTCTTGTAGGTACAATGGTTGTGTCACCATATGCATTTTTCCAGATTATGTGGCATATTCAAGAGTCTTCTTCAAGTTTCTTTTTAGAATTTTAATACAAAAACGCCAGCTATATTTAAGTTGAGAAATAACTTGCGGCAACGAGAATTAATTCATGTGTATTTTTATTACTTTGCGCCACAAAGGGAAAATAAAATATTCTGGTTGAAGGGACAGAGCTTTGCTTTTGAATAAATTATGCGGAGAGAGTATGATCCGGCAGAAATTCATTTGCATACTATAAGTGTCAGATTTGCAAGTGAAATTTATTGACGGGACGTTTGACACGCTGAGCCTGCAAAGGTTTTTTGTCTTTAAGCTTTGAAGTGGTAAAAATGCAACACCAACTTCTACAACTACTTGGAATAATAAATCGCCAAAAAATGTTTCCTGTGTGTGTTTTTTTTACAAAATAAGAGTGTAAAAACGTTACGGTTGACTGTAATAGAAACAAATAAAACTCTTGCGGTGAAATTGAAGTAGTACATGTGAAAGTTAATCAATTAAATGAGATGGTTGGTGTAGTAGCACAGACCATGTTATGAAGACCTGAGATCGAATCATACAGATTTGCAAATTATCTATCAGTTTTAGACACGTGTTAATATTTTAACTTTGTGGTTTAGACCTTTAGACCCATAGGTATAAATAATAACACTTAAATACTTTCAATTGAAATGGCAACCATATGAAAGAAGGTATTTTAAGCCAAGTATCAATGGAGATGAGTGTAGGATGAGTGGCGTGATCTTGTAGTCTTCCTACTGACTAAAGTTATTTTATATGTTGTTGTGTTGTTATTTTATGTCTGTTTGGAACTTATTTTGGGTCCTAAAGTAAATAATATTGGATACGTTTCTCATGCAGGGGTGAGTTTCGTAGAAGCTATAAACGCAGAAATAAACCCCTTTTGTGATTTTTCTTCTCACATTTGTACAGGTTTTGCTTCCATGTCAGATGGTTTCTGCTTCCAGAGTGGACCTTTAAGAGTATAACTAACTAAAACAATTTCTAAAAGCTCAAAATGTTAATGTTACATTTATTTCTTCACTTGTCATTTTGTTTCAGATGTTGTTCAATCTTACAAACTACAAGTACACAATGTGTTCGTTATACGTGGAAACGTAGCTGTTCTACGTTGTCAAGTGCCTAACGTACCAAGGTCAGTGAAAATTACCTCAATGTTTTGTCAAAGTCCATAATATATACAAATAAAACATACAATATGTTTTAGACCAACAATTAATCTTTACAATCAGTGATGCATGGTTGTTTTAAGCCTAACAGGCTAGTGGGGGGTAAAAACTAAGTATTGAATTTAAAATAAAATCATGGCTTGAAACCTGATATTCCTATATACCTATTTGCGAACAAAGTAGTGTACAAGTAAATTCATTTCATAATATAACACTCCAGTTTTAAGATTAAAGCCATGTTTGAACAAAATAATATTATAGTATGTTATTAAATTATGTTCGATTATAATACATTATATTGTTGCCAAAAACAGGTTTTATACCTTAAGAACTGCACAGTTACATTTAATTATTACATGATCAGTTATGATTTCCCTATCATGTTTAATGTGGATTTATTTGTGGCCTTTGTCGTAAAACACATCTTCTAGTGTAGGGTATAGATTATGCATGTCAAAATACAAAATATACTTTAGTAGTTATTTACTTAAGTGTACTACGAGGAAGTGTCAGCTTAAACGTTTTTTCCTGATTAATATTAAAACATTTCAGAGACGAAAAATCGAACTTATTTTAAGTTTTACAAATTATTTTGCATTGAAATTGCTATTCCTAGATTTAGTTGTTACAAATAAAACTAGTGCCACCATTATTGAAACTGTTGACTTTGGCACCTGCAAGTGTACCTATTTATCACAACAGTAGCTATCATTTTTGTATATTGGTATCGGCTGAATTTTAGATATTTACCAACCTTTATCTAAACTTATCTCGTAAATTTACAGTATCTAGCATCAAGTTGCAAAATTAGGCACTTGTTAAAGGCTACACGATAGTTTATTTGACCTCTCCTAAAAAAATACTTGTAATACAAAAATATGAAAATTTTAGGTGTTTGTGTGTTAAATCTAAAGTCTGTCAGGTCGCATAAATAGACATGTCCACATTAATAATTTATTTGAAAGTCAAATAATCAACCCAAATTACTCATATTGGTTCCATTTCTTTTCCAAATCTTTCTTATCTTCATGCACCTAAGGTCCGCAGTCAATGGTAATTCCCTCAAACCTCCCTCGATTAGGACTTCAGTTAATTCGGATATGAAACACTCGTACAAAAGGGATTCTGATTTTACTACAGGATAATGATTCCACTAGCAATACCGGTACCCAAGTCAATAGGGTTCCCAAAGGCAGCAATTGCACCTGTGCACTTTTCGATGAATCTTGGAAACTCAACTGTCATGACTTCCTGCAGGTCGACGATCCAGACGGTGACATGGCTGAGGGACGAACCTCTTCTTGGCCGCTCGGCTGTCCACCCCGAGGGCAGGTTCACCATCACCTCCCTAGGGACCCTGCACGTCCGGGACACCACGCCGGAGGACAGCTACGTCAGGTTCTACTGCCAGACTGTCCATAAAGTAACTGGAGAAAGGAGAATCAGCACTCCGGGCCAGATCATCGTCAGAGGTGAGAGAAATGGGTTGTCGCTATTTGTTTGAAAAACCAATCCATCTTCAAGTCACTTGACTGTTACTGGAAACTATATATATGAAAAGTTCATTTTGTCTACGAATTATTTGGTTGGCTTTCACGTTGGTTGCCAAGTATAATTAAGTTTATCATACCATGTACGATTAATCACTGTCGAAATAGTTAGCTGTCTGGAAACTTGATCTACATAGACAATTAATGTTGGTGGGGATAATGGGATCGCCAATGCGGAAAACTACAGAGGAAGAGAATATGTATATTTGCGTACCTCAAAACTACGCATTGTCAGAGACTATTGATCTTCCCGGTATTTAAGTGCAGCAAAAACCCGTAGCTGTAGGTCTATAAAAGGAGGAGCTGAATAAAATAGATAAAACTACTATTTTAAGTTGAATAACAAGTTTATGTCAAATTTTAAAACAAAATAGCATTCTTGTAAAAAAATAATTTACCCTTCATAATTTTTCAGAGCCAGAAGGTAACGTAGAGCCCAGGATAGAACAGACGATGGCCAATGTAGCAGTGAGGGTTGGTACTACTGCAGAGTTAGTCTGTGCAGCTCAGGGCTCACCTCCTCCAACATACAGGTGAGGATACTGACTGTATAACCAAGTGATTTAGGATTCAAAATACGTGACCCAAGGATTGCCAGTTTATAAATTGAAACACATATTTACTGGAGAAAGAGGAACTAGAGGAATTTGCTATGTATAGACAATACATATCATATGCATACACATAAATTTGATATGTATAAATAATATAAATTTGAGAAACTCAACCTTTCATTTACAAGCATTAAGTGTTCAATGTAAAAAACCATTAACGTAAATTCTAACAGATAATGGAAGATACACGCTTTTGGAAATATAGGTTTACTTGGAGAGTTATGTTCGAATATGTAATTAACCACTGGTTTTTGAATGACTTAATCGTCAGTCATTCAAAAACCAGTCAGTCTGACTGACTTAATCTTTTTAACTTTAAAGATAATTAACCTAAGCTCATTTAGCTGATCTTAGTAGTCAAATGCTATCGTCCTACTCTGTAAACAAGCAGTATTTATCGGGCCTTATCCTTAAGCTGAAAACTTTGTTCCCCTTGGAAGATCCAATACAATGAGTTTATCAAATACAGATTTCCTCGAAATCAATATGGCTGACTCAATATCCTCAATCCAAATCATCATGCTTAACAAATGTCTCGCAGGTGGTATCGCAAGCTGGACGGCCAGCTAGGCTCTTCTCTGCAGGAGATTCGTCCAGGTTCTGTGTTGGTTCGTCCGCTAGACTCGGTACTGCAGTTCCCTCGAGTACAGACTGAAGACGCAGCTCACTACGTGTGTGTGGTCAACAACGGACTAGGAGAGGATCGGAGGGAGTTAGTGTTGACGGTGGCTACTCCACTGCTTGTCCACATCCGACCTCAGCACCAGGTTGGACTTAAAGCTACCTGTGAAATAGTCCTTTGTGGAGAGAGGTCTTCAATGTCGATCCGATATAGCTTTTTACTCATCCAAGATGCAAGAAAGCAGTGTTTTTTTTTTTTCTGTGATGGGTGGAGCTAAAGTAATGACTTCCAAATCCTCGGTATTATGGCATTGCCACATAAATTAATTATGGTAGGATTTGACTACAGAATCATTTAGAAAAAAAAGACATACACTAAACCTATTAATTCAACTGCACCAACCTTTCGCTATGTTAAACTTCGTCGAATCATAATGTTTGTTTTCTACATTAACAAAATGTTTAACTTATCCATGTAATGTATAATCAAGAGGGTTATGCATTGTTTACGTGCATTAAATCTATGTTAGGCCATTCTATTCCTAAAATTTAGAATTCTACTTTGGGATTTTCTACTGTAATCCTATTCAATTTCGATAATCTTCAACAACTTGCTACAATTCAGACTTGGTAACAGGATTTCGTAACAGGTACTGTAGTCCACTTACTTTTATCGTGTACCATAAGCCTTTTAATACTATAAAGCTGATGTTTCATGCTACCACAGATGGTTGATGGAGGCACGACGGCCATGTTCAACTGCTCCATACAAGGCGGCCAAGGCAGGTTCAACATCAATTGGCTCAAAGATCGCAGACCATTGATGGAGAGCGCCAGAATCAACTTTATCCAGCGACGTGAGGTGTTGATGTTGAAAGACATCAACAAGCATGACCGTGGGATGTACCAATGTTTGGTGCACAGTGGGGACGAATCAGCTCAGGCTAGTGCAGAACTGGCACTAGGAGGTGAGATTGTGATGAGACTGGTGATTGTTATTTACAAGTAGACGTTGATAATGAAGTAGGCCTATAGGGGTTTTATCCATGCTTTTTGAGTGTGATTAATATTAGACACTTGTCATTTTTTGAGTTATAACTCCTCCCACATTTTGCTATGGACCAGTTATCCGACATATTTACGTTATTAGGTTGATTAAGACTTTTTTTGTGTAATTGGTGTGTTTTATGTGCTAATTAACTAAATGGGGATGGCCCAAAAGTCTGTTCTTCAATGATTACTATAGCTCCATACTACTTGACTCTTGTAGGCTACAAAGGTTTTGGCAATTTATAGAGAAACTTATCTTAAAGTGTAAAATCTATTTTAGGGCGTTCTCCAACTCGGAGATTCTCCTCGTCTGGAAGATCTATATTTTGGTTATATATTATAGGACCATTAAGTTGAGGTAGAAAACAAACTATCGAGCCACGAAGTTATCAAAGCATAAATCAATGCAAAGAGTAACTTTTCGGGGGTCTATGGTTTTCATGGTGGATTCCATAGTTTCTTTCCCTTCTAGTCCATCTATTGAAAATTCTAGGGCAAGGTTTCATAAAATCCTCTACATCTCAAGTCCTCTATTATTTACAGCTGTGGGGCCTGAGCTGCAGTCCACCTTTATAGAGCAGACCCTCCAGCCAGGTCAGCCAGTGTCGCTGAGGTGTGTAGCCTCTGGCAACCCTCCTCCCCAGTTCACCTGGATGTTGGACGGTGGACCCCTTCTGCCCCGTGGAGGCTACATCCTCGGCTCCCATCTGGACCCCTCCGATGACGTCATCAGTCACCTCAACATCTCCGTGGTGAGAGTACAGCACGGCGGAGTCTACACATGTTTGGCCAGAAACCCTCTGGGATCTGCTGGCCATTCGGCCGCACTGAATGTCTACGGTGAGTTTTCATTTCTGGATGAGCGACCGATGAAGACCTGTTTTATTATTCAGATATAAATTGTATAATTTCATTACATATAACTTAAAACATTTATGTTATATGTAATGACATAAATTGTATAATTTCATTACATATAACTTAAAACATTTATGTTTTGTATTTATAAATAACATGTTAAAAATAAGTCAGAGTAATATAATACGGAACCTACTTGCACTATTCAGTCAATAAATTTTATGTTTGTTACTACCACAGGTCCTCCAACCCCTAGAACGCCGCTCAACATCACCGCTGTCTCTGGCGGTAACATCTACCTGCGCTGTCCCGTGTCTGGGTTCCCTATATCGAGCACGACCTGGCAACGTGATGGCGAGAACCTCCCGGCCCATTACCGCCACCGAGTGTTCGCCAACGGAACTCTCCTGGTGAGGAACGTAGATGGCAACACTGACAAGGGGGTGTTCCACTGCACCGTACGCAACCAGCAAAACCAGGCTGCCAACGGCAAGATATTTGTGGAAGTTATGAGTAAGGGATGAGTATTATCATAGACTAGAGTATGTTTTATCTATGGTATTATCATAGCCTCCCTATTTGTATGTATTCAGCTGTTTTCTAGCGCAGCTTTTGTAATTTCCGATGTGATTTATCACTTAGCAATATTCTTAAGTTGCTTATTGATACGAACTTTTTTTGTTATGTTGAAGCCATCTCAGTTTTAGAAACATCCATTTAACAACCAGATTCCAAAATGTGTGTGTTTTTTTATATAATCATAAAATTAATTTCGGTGTACGCACTTATACCTGCTGTATTAAATTGTTGTTCAGACCCAGAGAATAATCATTTCACCTAACGTCAATTACATTTTTTTGAACTTAGATACTGTAGATTAAAGAAATCAATATATATTATCCAAGTTGATTGTTGATGCGTGCAATTTATTAATCCTCTAATGAGCCTTTGATATTTAAAAACATTAATGAGCAACTTGCTAAAACAATACATGCGGTTTATACATCTTTTTTGTTACAGAGCCCCCAGAAATAGCACCATTCTCGTTTCCAGAGAATCTGCGTGAAGGAAATAGAGCACACGTGTCTTGTTCTGTGATCTCAGGAGACCTCCCGATTGACATTATTTGGCACAAGGATGGAGGAGCCCTCCCTCAGGACCACGACGTCCAGGAACAACAAAGCTCGTTCCTCAGTTCTCTGCTGTTTACTAATCTCAAAGCGAGGCACGCCGGTCACTATACATGTATTGCTCGAAACGCCGCAGCAGAAGCAAACTTCACTGCCAAACTAGTAATTAAAGGTAATTTTATTAGTCTTGTTCGTCCACTTAAACCAATCAGAGAGCTATTACTTTTCAACACATAGTTCAATATTTCAGTTTTAACTAACAACAATATACAATAATGAACATTTAAATGAAACTCAATCTTAGCTGAAACATTATAAATCCAAAGAGTATAAAATATTAAACAGCTGTTTTAAATTACAGATTATATATCAAACTTCTAACAGTCATATAAGTTGCAAACATACTGCAATCATAGATAACACATATTCGTCATTTTTCCCATCCTTATGGAACATCTTAATAAAGCCAATTTTATCGTTAGTTCTGTCCGGTGAGATGTCGTGTTTTGTTTACAATTTGTTTCTTGCTATTTCAGTCATTTAAAACCCTGTTTAACCAAATAAAAACGATATAATCATAAAAAATAAATCATACTTTGGTTATATCACACAAATCAAATCATGAAATTAACTCTAAAATAATGGAAACAAAATTTTATCGACACCAGCAACCAGTGTCACCTAACATGAACTATAGGCACGAAAAACGAGCTTCAAAATGTAGGCCTACAATGGGAATGGGATGGGAAGTCTACTTGTATTGGTTATTCTATACTATAATCCCCCTCCCGAAAATTTGACTCGGATACTTTTTACGTTATTACCAAAATGATCGGACCATGGGGACGGAGTTTTATGGGAGGATTTATGGGGTAAAAATAGGTTTTTCTCATTTTTGACCCTCAAAACTTAAAATTTTCCAAATTTTCTCTAGACCATTTTGAAGAGCTTAAACAACAAATAATTTAGTATATTGATGTGTTTCTGTATGATTATTGGTTACGGAGAAAATTGTAAATTAAAAATTCCTATGTAATTCTTATGGAGAATAAGTTAACTGTTGTAGTTTGCTTGCGGATATATTTGGATCAAACAAGGCAAATCTATTTATTTTAAACTAAGCTATTAATATTTAACTAAAAACACACTTTATTACCCTCCCTGTAGGCAGCGAACCCAGGTACCGTACTCGTTAAACCTAATGTCATTTGAATAGATTTATTGAAAATCAAACCAGGCAAATGGAAATTCGCTTAGTCTGCAGGTTTGCTGCGGTGGGGGTATTTATTCACGGTCTGCATTGATTCATGATCTCGTAGTTTTATCTATTGACCCTTTGTACATATCACTCAGGTTATTGAAACAGGGATAGCACCAGAATATGCATGTCAGTTTGGCAAAATTTATGTAATCAAAAGTATGTATTTTTTAGCGAATTTCCCTATAGGGAAGTAGCTATTACCGTAGGTCTCATGGTAAGACCTAAGCCCGGGACCGATTTACTTTTTCATTTTAATGTCCCCAGAGGCCAAAAACACCATTCGTTCACATTTTTATATATCTATATATAGAGATATATATATATATGTGTGTCCATCCGCACGATAACTTGAGTAATTTTTGTCTGATTTTGATAAAATTTGGTTTGAAGGTGTAAGGCGCGATAAACTTGAATGAGTTCGCGAACCAGCATGATCGGACTATGGGAACGGGGGTTTATGGGGGGTTTTATGGGGTAAAAATAGGTTTTTCCCATTTTTGAGCCTAAAAACACAAAATTTCACAATTTCTTTTTAAACCATTTTGTAGAGCTTAAAAAAACAAATAATTTAGTATATTGAAGCGTTATTATGCGCCTAATTGTTTCGGAGAAAATTCAAAAAAATTGTAATTTTAAAATTCCCATGTTATTTTTATGGAGAATAAGTCAACTGTTGTAGTTTGCTTGTTTATTTTTTTTATTTTTTTTTTTAACAAGTATTTATTCACAATCTATTCTATACTAGAATAATAAGTAAATTTGATAACCATTTTAACATGGGTTAGTTACACTCCATCAAGTGCACTAACATACAAAAACTTTTAAAAAGTTCAACTAAAAACGATTTGGAAGGTCTATTGGATTAACTCTTTTGAGCCTATATGTAGCTTCACTATTGTCGAGGAGGTTAACTGCCAGGAAATTTGGATGGGTTTCTAATTTTCTTTGGTATTTTTCACTTCGTTTCTTTATTTCTTCTTTAACATAGGGTAATTTTGTATCTTGATGAATTACTTTATTTGTGACAAACCAAGGTGCTTGTAAAATTTTTCTCAGTGTTTTCGATTGAAACCTTTGAACTATTTCTATGTTTGAGTTGGAAGTGGTTCCCCAGAGTTGGATACCGTAGGTCCAAATAGGTTTCAATATAATTTTGTATAAAAGTAATTTATTTTCAACAGATAATTTTGAATTTCGACCAATGAGCCAATTTAGTTTGTTTGTTTTTAAATTTAAATGAAGTCGTTTGTTCCAAATGTGTGAATGCCATGTAAGCCGTCTGTCGAGATGCATACCAAGGTACTTAACTTCGTTGGATTGTGGAAGCATGACATTATTCAATGTTACTGGGGGACAAGTTCTTGTAGACATAGTAAATGTAACTTGAACAGATTTTGTTTCATTTACTTTAATTTTCCAATTCTGTAGCCACTGAGACAAATCGTCTAATGCAGCCTGAAGGTTTGATGATGCCAGAATAGGATCCTGATTTGATGATAAAAAAGCAGTGTCGTCTGCAAATGTTGCAACCGTAATACCCTGAGTACTTGGAAGGTCATAAGTGAACAAAATATACAAAATAGGCCCAAGAACACTGCCTTGTGGTACACCTGATTCAATTTCATGCACATCTGTAACTATATCTTGATATTTAATTTGAAAAAAGCGTTCGGACAAATACGATTTCAACACTCCATAGTATGTATGGGGCAGCAAAGTTTTAATTTTGAACAATAATCCTGTGTGCCAGACTTTATCAAACGCCTGGGCTACGTCCAAAAAAGCAGATGAACAAAAACGTTTATTTTCAAGATCTTCCTTGATTACATTAACTATTCTATGCACTTGCTCAATGGTGGAATGCCTTCGGCGGAATCCAAACTGATGGGAAGGCAACAATTCTTTTTCGTCAATTATAATTTGAAGTCTTTTTAAGAAAAGTTTTTCAAAAACTTTAGAAACCACAGGAAGAAGAGATATAGGCCGATACGAGGATGCTTGATTTAAAGGTTTACCAGGTTTCGGAATAACAACAATTTGTGAAACCTTCCACTGTATTGGGAAGTATTCAAGGCGTAAAACTGCATTGAAAAGTACTGTGAGGAAAACTATTCCTTTTCTAGGAAGCTCTTTCAACACTTTACCTGTTATCAGATCATAACCGGGGGCTTTTTTGCCGTTTAAATCGTCTTTTATTACTTTAGCTACTTCAGATGGTGTGAACAATTTTATTGGTAAATCAAGTTGATTTGGAGAATCGAGGAATTCCAAAATTTCTTGCTCAACATTTGAATTAATATTATATGGCTTGAACACTTCCTTGAAGTATGAAGCAAATACATCTGCTTTCTCGATGTTGTTTTTGGCCCAAGAACCGTCTTCTTTTAGAATAGGTGGAATGCAAATTTGTGGACGTTTTAAGTTTTTTGTAACTTTCCAAAGGGAGTAGTCACTAGCTTCAGATGGAGAAAGGTTTGATGTGAAATCTTGAAATCTGTCATTGTTTAATTTAAACAGTAACCTTTTTAGTTGTTGAGTGGCCCTGTTTAGATTTCTTTTATCCGTCTGGTCTCTAGAGTTTTGCCATATTCTACGGAGTCGGCGTTTTTCGGCAATTTTCCTATTAATTTCAATTGGATAGTGTATTCCTGATTTTAAATTATGTTTATTCTGGTCTGGAGTTGCTCTCCAAGCGGAGTCTTGAACTGTTTTGTTGAAATGTTCAACAGCAAGATTCAAATCTTCTTCGCTCTTCAAACACACAGAAATCTTTAAATTTTGATCCATTAATTCACGAAAATAATTCCAATCTGTATTTTTGTTGCATAAATGTGGTGGAATAGGTTTGAATATAACATTTGAAGCGATCGTTAAAATTACAGGTGAATGGTCTGAGGAAAGGTCCAGAGATTGCTCGATTGTCACAAAATCTCGGGATACACCTTTTGTAACAAAAAAATCAAGAAGGTCTGGTATTTTTTGACGATCAGAGGGCCAATATGTCGGTTCACCTGTCGATAGAGTATCAAGGTTCCGTTCTTGGATTGACTGCAGTAGTTGTCGACCCCTAGGAGTTGCCAGACGGGAGCCCCATGTAGGATGTTTGGCATTGTAGTCTCCTCCTGACAAAAATTTACAGCCTAAAGTGCAGAAGAAATCATTAAACTGTTGGCGTGTAATGTTGTGTCTAGGTGGGCAGTAAATAGAACTTATAGTAAGTGGGCCTGTTTCAAACTCCACTACAACAGATGAACTTTGGATGAAATCGAACTGATATTTAGGCAATTCATGGTGCTTGATATGACTTTTAATCAAGATAGCACAACCTCCATGAGCTCTATTGCTAGGATGGTTAGTGTTGTATAGACTGAAATTTGGAATTTTACAAAAGTTTAAATCAGTAAAGTGAGTTTCAGAAATAAGAATAATGTCCAACTTATGTTTAGCAATGAACAGTTTTAATTCTTGGCATCGCTGTGCCAAGCCATTAGCATTCCACAAGGCTATCTTCAAGGTTTTCACCATTAATTGAGCTTTTTAAGAACAGTTGTAAGTAGGTCAAGTAAGGAACCTATTTGTTGAGATTGTTGGATAAACAGTTTTTCAAACCGATCAAAGAATGAAGTTATTGTATTTGTTAACTTTTCTGTGGATGCATCACTAGAAGCATTACTTGGCGTGCGTGCATTCACATTATCAGAACTTGTGCTGGGTTTAGTTTTGATACTTACTCGTGAGTTGCTAACTGCCTCCGCATACGAAACGTCAGGACGTGTTAGATTGTCAGAAGAAGCAGAATTTGATGATTGAGTAACTTCAGCTTGTTTTGAGACGGTAGTTCTTTCTCGAGCCTGGGGATGTGTTCGACTCTGGATATTTTTGAAGACCATGCATCCCCTGTAATTGGCTGGATGACCTCCTCCACACAAGGCGCATATTGCAGGAGTAGAATTGTCTTTAGTGCATTTGATTGTATCGTGTTCTTTTCCACATTTAACACATCTAAATGGATGCCTACAGTAGGTTTTTGTGTGACCATATTGTTGACATCTTTTACATTGAACAATTTCCCTTTTCCTATAAGGGGGTTCAAAAGTTATCTTAGCATGTAACAAATACTGAATATTGAAGATGTCTTTGTTATTAGAACTCGGCTCTAAATCAACAAAGAACATTGATAGTGGCTGTTTGGTGGTTGAATGAAGTATATTAGAAATATTTCTTACCTCATGACCCATCTGTCGTAGTGCTTCTTTTAGTTCTTCTGTATCAACTGAATAGTGCATATTCTTCAATACAACTCTGTATGCTCGATCTTGTTTAAGCTGAAATGTATGGAAGCTGACATTACTCTCGTTAAGTTTTCTCACTATTTTTCTATAAATATCAGCAGATGTTGGAAGAATCTTAACTGAATTGTTATTTATGCATTTGTAGGCAAAAGCAGTAGTGTCAACGACAGATTCAAATGTTTGAATCATTGCCTTCACATTACCCACATCAGGAATAAAAATAGGTGGAGGTTTAGGTTCTGATGATTTTTTAGAAACTGTTTGGATGTTAGAGTCCATGTCTTCATTATCTACATTTAATACTTCAAAACTGTTGCTAACTTCAGTTCATGTCTTGTTTGGCCTTTTTTTTGTTTCTATTAGAAACTTCTCCAACGTTTCTGCGTTTGGGAATCGTTTGCCAGTTGTCTGTATCGTCTTCTGACGTGTTTGTCTTGCTAGGAGAATCAATCATAGCATCGATGATTTCAGATGAAAGAGAACCCTCGGTATTGGAGTAGTTGTGGTCAGAGAGGTGCGAGTTGGTGTAATTCACACCTTCGTCGGCCATTTCAAAAGAGAAATGATAGATAAACGTAAACAAATCAAACGGTACAGGTTATGAAATTTCAAAAGTCTAAATAGTTACCACGTTACACATCAAATCAAGTCTGAAAGTAACTGAGCATAACGGAATACTAACGCACATTCATTTATGACTATAAAAACAAAAACTAACTATTAAAACCGAGCTTTTTTTTGAAAAATAATCAAGAGAAAAATAATCTACAACTATGGTGTAAAACAATTGCTTGTTTATGAACATATTTTGATCAATTTTGGAAAATACTTTTATTTCTTACTAAACTATTATCATTTTATAAAAAGAATGTTTTTTACCCTCCCTGTTGCAGCAAACCTTAGTACTCGTTAAACTAATTCTATTTAAATAGGAAATAAATGTGCTATTTTTATGGAGGCATTTTAGTGTAAATCCAATCAGGTTAATGGAAATTCGCTTAGTCTGCAGGTTTGCTGCGGCGGGGGTATTTTATTTTACTGTGTTTTTTGTGTGTTTTGAGTTATGGATGTTGTCACTATTAAACAGACATATTTCTGAACAAAAGTAAAGTTTATTGATTGAATATTGGTGTGATTTAAGTCATAGATTAAACATACTTCCTTCAGCTGGTTAGTCTATGATAAAATAGATCAATGGTTTGATGTTAACAACAATTTACCAATCTTTCAATGCATATTTTCTGCGCTCTATTTTAATGTTCATGACAAACAAAAACTGTTAAAATCCGATACAGTACTTTAAATACTAAAAAAGGAGGTCAAGAATTTTTGTACTGTTAGCACCAATTATTCAACAAGCAAATAGCCTATTATAATGCTTTTGTTATTGTTAGTACAGTTTGGTTAACAGCTACATGACATAAGATCAGCCTTCTAAATTAAAAATGAAAAAAATTAAGAAACTGGCATGTGGAGGGAATTTTTCAATTCCAATAATTCCAGAATTCCGGTCAAGTGAAGTCGAAGTGAGTTTCTTCTTTTCTTTCTCCAGTCCACTCCCACTGTCCAGTGGGGTCTGACTTAGGGGAGGTACGAATGAGGCATTTAGTTCAAAATTCCTCCGTGAACAGCGCTGTAGTAGAGAGCACTTTGGCAATAAAGGGTTACTAATCGCAAAAATAGTTCTGTTCATAAAATAAAATTATAAATGTCTCAAATTCAATTTTATTATTTTTTAATTATAAAATTAAACTATCATAACCTAACCGAACTAACCAAACTTGCTGATAAAGAAATAATATAACAAAAGTTTAGTAATCGGAAAAATAATTCTGTTTATTAAATAAAACTAGAATTTGCTCAATTAAAATTTTATAATGGCTTAATAATAAAAATTTAACTGTAATAACCGAACCAAACCAACCAAACTTGCTGATAATAAAAAAATCTTGGACAAAAAGTTAATGCTACCAGCAGGATTCGAACCCGGGACCTACAGTATATCAGCCCGGCACGTTAACCATTAGACCACCGAGGCCGATGGCTATCGACCGTTTTGTTACGGTAATGGCGTTCCCTCAGCTAATAAGAAGCCCACAGCTGTCATCGTAGCCTCTTCTATACCTCCCCTGAGTAAATACCCTGTCCAGTGTGAGTGTAAACAAAACAAACAGAGCAGTGAGCTGTTGTTGTGTTGTTTTGTTATTGGTTGTATAGGTTAAGAAAAGAAAGAGTTTTAACGTGGCTGGAAGAGCCTCAAATAATCACTAGAATACTGGAAAGCCAAATTTTTAATGGCTAACACAAAGAGGACTTCGAGTAGGAGTACCTCCAGTGAAGAAATGAGTGCAGACGGACATGAATTGTCAGACCAAGAGAAGGTTTGTATAGTGTCAAATTTTATCCTTCATTCTCCACCTGGGGAATTCAATGAAGTTTTTAATGATGTACGAGTTCTCCTCAATGACGATGTTCTACTAAAAGAAGGAGCTTCAGAGTCAATTTCCGAGTACAATAAGGACCAATTAACACCAGTAAAAATAGAGAATAGTGGTTATCAGGTTCTGATTACAGATTTTAATGACATTGGAGGTTCACGGTTTGTTGATGCTCGCTCTAAACAAACATTTAAGTTTGATCATCTAATAAAACATGCTAGTGACTTTGAACATTTGGAACCAGATCTAATGACAGAAACATGGAGATTTCTGTTGGAAAAAGAGTTAGATGAATACATTTTTAACCACTACAAAAATGGTGTCTCCAGTGTTTTTGCAAAGAGGATAGGCACAAATATTGTGTTGACTGCTTGTATAGAAAACCACCAGTTTAATGCCAACAACTATTGGAATGCCCGATGGAGGTCCCAGTGGACTGTCAATATTATCAACGGTTCTGCAGAAGTCAGTGGCATTATAAAGGTTCAAGTCCACTATTATGAAAATGGAAATGTCCAACTGGTCAGTTCAAAAGATATTAAAGAACTCCTTGTAGTTTCTTCTGAAGAACAGATAGCCAAGGATTTAGTGAAACTAATAGAAGAAACAGAAACCAATTATCAGAAAGCAATTTCTGAAAATTACCAGACGATGAGCGGTACGACATTCAAGGCTCTGAGACGTCAGTTGCCCGTCACAAGAACCAAGATCGATTGGAACAACCTGGTTGGATACAGCATCGGTAGGGAGCTCAAGAGTCAGTGACAACAATATTCGGTAACCTCATTAGTTCATTTATTATTCCCTATCGTTTGGACAGTAACAACTGACTACCTCAACAATTACATGATTTAAGACAAACAAAATGCTCATTTTCATGTTATTTTTCAAACTCATGCCTTTATCGTCAAGTGTTTTATAGTGTAATTCATCAGACTTTAAGACAAAGTAGCCTAGCGTAACTCATCTAAGAGGTATTTAAGTTAAAACTGAGCTAACTTAGGCTATTTAAAACTTTTAAATTACATTCTTTCCTATTTAACTTACCGTGACTGATGGACTGAACCCTTAAAGACATTTTAAGTTGACTTATTTGAAATAAAGTACAACGAACTGCTGTGTTTATATGGGTCATTCATTAGTGGGAGTGTTTGAATAAAAGATCTTTTTACCAAAGACTGTTGAAAATGTTTAATCTTTGGACATTTTTGTACTTAACATTTATTTGAACAATTAACTTATATAGCCCTGTAATTAAGTTACCGGTACATCACAAAGTAGATCTATAACTAAACCAATGTGAACTAGCCTATATAAATTACAGTTTTCAATTAATTTTTGTCCATAAGTTCAACCTAAACTTCGGGTGTTGTTTCACTGTTAAGCGTTTTTTAAGAAAAGCTTCATGGTTGTCTTTCATGGCACCTAATATTCAAATTTGTCTTTGACTGTTTCAACTTTAAGGAATAAAAGTTGGTTATGAATAAATATTGAATGAAGTTGTGTTTGATATAATTTATTTAGGCCTAAGTTACCTACTCTACCAATAGTCTAAGTCTACCTCATCCATACAATATTAGCCTATATAGCCTACTTAGCAAGTCAGTGCAAGTGACATGCAATAGCCTTACATTAACTAGGGTAGGTAACATTGCAGTAAATTAGGCAGCCTACTTAAAAAAGGTTAGTAAATAGTCTTCTCATAGCATAATTTGGTAACGTACATAAGTTAGGTTATTTAACTTGTCTGGAGAGGACCATAGACAAAAATAATTAAATAGGCTATAGACCCTCAACTGTGCTGCAGTTAAGTTACTATAGATTCTGGCGCACACTGCTGGGAGCGCCAAGTAGTTACGGCCTACACGCTATGTTTAACTACACGGCGCTCCCAGCAGTGTGCACCAGAACCTACAGTAACCATGGTAACCACTGCACGGCTGACAGTAAAGTGAATTTACCAAAGGCCTACAGAAAATAAGCTGTTACCATAGGTCCAATGGTAAGACCTAGATCTGGAACCGATTTTTCTTTGCGTTTTGATGTTCACAGAGGCCCTAAATATGTATCCGTTCAAACTCATGTACATAGCTGTAGGCTATGAGTGTCCGTTAGCATGATAAGCCTAATTGGAGTAAAAATTATCTGATTTTATGATGTTTGATACAAACGTGTGTCACTGTAAACCTACGTTTATTCCAACTTGTTTACACTATGCATGATCAGACTAAGGGAATACAGTTTCATTTTTCAATATAGCCTCCAGATTACCCATATAAGTGGTTTAAATAGTCTACCTGGATTTTATCCAATCCAAATGGTTGTGGTAGCAACTAGTTTCGGTTCAACACTGGAACGATAAGGCCACTTATTTTCTATATTGGAGTGTTAGTGTTGCACAATTTTATGGTTACAGCAAACCCCCGCCCCCCCCCCAAAAAAAACTAAATTCAAATGTTTTTCTTATGGAGAAAAAGTTAACTGTTGTATTTTGCTTGTTTAATGTATGCTGATCAAATTTGCAAAATTTATTTCATTCCAAGGTATTAAAAATTTAATAAAAAATATTTTAGTTAACCCTTTCTTGTAGCAGCAAACCTAAGTAACTTACTATTTGAATAGAGGATAAATCCTGACATGTTTAAGGAAATATTTTTGTGGAAGATAGATCCACTTAGTCTCCACCGCAGGTTTGCTGCTGCGGGGGTATTTTTAGTTTTCAATCAACTTATTTTGGCAAAAAAATTTATCTGTTGCAGGAATATTTGAAATGTATTTTTAACTTCAGTTTCTAGTCTAAAAAAATAACTTTTATAAGTCAGATACGATATATACATTTTTAAGACAAGTCAACACTTGTGATTAAAAAGTATGTTTTGGCTTGTAACTTATATAAGTTACTAACTTAGCCTTTTCAGAGTTCATCCGTGAAGCAGAACTCAGATGAGTTTAAGTAAAGTATCCTATGGTTTGTTTAACTCACTGATTTGGAAGAGTGTGGTAAATCTTGATTGCTGCATAATGATTTGCACTTTTAACACTTTGATTTTGGGTAAATAAGGCGAAAGACCTTGAAGTCGACGAGTACCAGAGGTGTGGACAGTCCTCCCATCTTACATCTGTAAAAATCTGCAACATGCCTTCTAAAAGGCAACTTGTATACAGGTAACCGATGTCTATATAACTTTCCCGTAAGGGGGTCTGGGACTACAAATTAATAACCCCCAGTAAAGAGAGGGGCCCTACTGTGGAAAATTTGTAAAAATTTAGTTACAAAATGTTTGATTTTACTCTTTTGGTACCTTGTCAATCTAATTTTTCCATTGTTTTTAAAATTTGAAAACTTGACTTATTTAACTTACTGCTTTCTGCTGTGGCCTCTTCCCAAAACAATGCCTCTTCCTTTCTCATATTAACTACATCCAAGGTGTTTCATATCAATATTGTTGGTGCATTAAACCTGAGGTTGTTAGCTTTTGGTGGATGAAACCAGGGACACACCTTCATGGGGAAGGATAAGATTCATGATAACCTTTTACATACAACTAATTATCAATAATTAAAACCAGATTTACAAAATCTATTTTCCTTTTACCATATATCACTACAACATTGCTGTTTTTTCTCACCAAAGCTGTAAGACATATACATATTTTTTTATTAATTGCTCCTAGAGTTCTTTTTGTACTAATTTATTGTTTCAAAACCATTTGAAGAGCAATCAGGTGTGTTAGCCTAGCTTTAAGGCACCGTCCTAGCTAGACGACCAGAGCGACACGATCAACAAGACCAACGGTCGCAACTGTCGGTGAAAAAATGTGTGCACACTGAGAAGCGTGACAAGGCGACGTTCCACGGGCTGAGGAAATAGCTGTGGTAGATGCCGCTTTGTCGCGTCGCTGGACTAGCGCTACCAAATAAGCAAACGACAAACATGTTTGTATCTTAAAGTGCTTGTAGCGCGACGCCACTCTTGCTGCTCAGCTAGGACACTCCCATTACTTACCATGTGTTTGTATTGTTCGCTATTGTCGGTCGCGTTGCTCTTGCCGTCCAGCTAGGACGGTGCCTAAGTTTCTTCAATTCAAAATGTCGCTGTGGCATTAATGTAGTGCACACTGCTAGAAATGGTGACTCCTGTGGTCAATCTGGTCGCACTGTGAAATTGTAAGTGCCTGGTCTTCCAGACTCCACAGAGGATATAGTGCAGCACACATCCGCTAGACTATAGTTCGGACACTTAGAAAGCGACCTCCTCTAGCATTGGGTAGCATTAGTGCGCAGGTCGTTTCCCAAGCGGCCGAACTATAGCATAAAAAACTCATGATTCTAGGTACACGGTTATATATGTGATCAATGTTTGTCATGACCATTTTAAAGATTGTTTATTGTTACAGTGGCTCCCACATGGTTGATGGAACCACACGATATCTCAGTACTGTACCAGCAACAGGCAGCTCTACACTGTCAGGCTCATGGCTACCCACAGCCTAGGATCACTTGGATGAAAGCTAGATGTCAGTACATGCGTATTTTATAACTATAATACACTTTAACTTGGCCACAGTCAAGTCATAAATGTACCTGACAGCTGTAAGGATGAATTAAAGCGAGTTTATTAGGTATCCCATCCTACCATAACTCCCTGATATTCTAAAGATGAGATAAAGCTGTGACCATAAAGAGAAGCAAGTTTTTAGGTATCCCATCCTACCATAACTCCCTGATGTTCTAAAGATGAGATAAAGCTGTGACCATAAAGAGAAGCAAGTTTTTAGGTATCCCATCCTACCATAACTCCCTGATGTTCTAAAGATAAGATAAAGCTGTGACCATAAAGAGAAGCAAGTTTTTAGGTATCCCATCCTACCATAACTCCCTGATGTTCTAAAGATAAGATAAAGCTGTGACCATAAAGCTAAGCAAGTTTATTAGGTCATCCTACCATAACTCCCTGATATTCCAATTTTTGTTTGCTTTCTTCTTGTCCATGTTAATGAAACTTTTGATTTATTGGTTTTGAGTAAACTTATACAGAATATTTCTTGTGATTATACTGCACCTAGAAATATATTCTAATTAGTTTATCCTACCATAAAGTCGATTTACCAAATTTAGAAGTCACAAACCGACTGAGCTTAAAGTTAGACAGGTATTTATTATTTATAGCGCATTTTGAAATTTCTTGTTTTATTGTAAACTATGAAGAATCTTTTATGGTACGGTGTAAGGATGAACAAGGGTAAAAAGTAGTGTTAGGTACCAGGATCCGAACTGGGCGAACTCACAGCATCGCTGCCTTTAGGCCAAAGTCTGCGGCGCTACCGACTGAACCACCGACTCACCCCAAACCAGACGTTCAACTGACGTTGATCATGACAGTGTGAGATTGTGTCTGTGTGTAATTTAAAATTTCACATGTCTGTTGCAAAGTTTGGTGGGAGAGACCAACTAAAATAGTGGACATAAGTTTTAATTGTTTTTTTATTTTTTATTATAGTTTCAAAAGTGTTCAACTCTAGCCTATAATCTAATCTGTAGCCTACTTCTGTTTCTCAGTGGACCAGCCAAGCGACTTTGTCCCACTAGAGACAGACTCCCGGATGTTCCCGGCTGGCAACGGGTCACTTCTGATCCGGGCTGCAGACCCACTACATGAGGGACATTACTCCTGTGAGGCTAGCAATGGCATCGGGAACATTCTCCGGAAAGTCATCTTTCTCAGAGTCAATGGTAATTATAGTAAAACATTATTCGATATTTATCATGTAAAGTACGATGATAAATTGAGCTTGGAGGAGAGTGAAAGAATATTATGTTCTACATTTACTTTTCATAACCAAGTAAAATCTGAAATGCAATTTTATTTCCTCACTAGCAGTTACCCAAATCATGACTGAGTTTCCCAAATCATTTCAAATCATGACTAAAGTCGGGACCACGTAAGTTTGCAGTTGGTAGCAGCCAATCACAAGACAAGTCTAGTGTGACGTTGCCACATCGCCCATTGACAACACTTATTAAATATACAAAGCAATATTTTCAAATCAGCTGGTATTAGATTTGGCAACACCGCACGGTTCTTATTGGTTCATTCAAAACCATATGGTAAATAGGCTCCTCCCTCAACTGCAAACTTATGTGGTCCCGACAATAATATAGAATGTTGTGGTTATTCAAACCAACAAAACAGTTGGTGAATGTAAACATCTGCTTTTAGATTATATTTATTTGTAAACATTGTAGTTCCAAAAGTCTGACATTGGACCCCTTAAAACCTTCTGGGGCGGAGCCCTATTAACGGATCTGCTTCAAAATTCACACAAACCATCCTTGAATAATGCTTAATAATGCCTGAAAGTTTCATTACAGTCTGTCGAGCTGTTTTCGGAGTCCATAGGGTACGGTATATACATACACACTTCCTCTTTTATAGATAGATAGATTCTACACTCTGACTTATTATTTATTTTAATTTTTTTTGGCAAACCATAAGTGGGTTTCAGTTTTTGAGATAGGTCAGCCTGAGTAAATATATTACGTTTTTCAACAAAATAAATATTACACTTAAATTCCACAACAAACAAAAAACTTTGTTCAAGGAGCCATCCAGCTACCAATTGTTGTAAATGTTCATTAAAATGTACTCTTAAAGATGCAAGCAGTATAAATTTATGATTTTAAGTTTTTATTTATGATTACTTTTCCTTTTCCTCAGAGTTTTATTCTAAAACATTCTATTTTGATTTCCCTGTCAAATTTAAAGTACTGCAATAAATCTAGTGTGCCTATGTCTTCAATGGATTTTGAGAAAAGTCAATAGCTTTTTGATAGCTTTGAACTGGATTCAGCCGTCATTTCTAAACAGCTGGTCTTAAGCAGTAACAAAGCTACATAGATCATCTCACTCCATTCTACACTCATCCTTCACTTATATTCCAGTTGAAATACACACCAAGGTGACGTCTCCATCTCAAATGATTGTAATAATGTATTTTAATGACAGTTTGAATCAGAATCATGTCAAGGAATCACTCGGCAACCTTTTGATCGTTAGGTACCCACTACCCAGCTGTACCACTAAATTATAACCTAACCTAACTTTTTCAGTGCCAGCCCACTTCCGCACCCGTCAGTTGAACCAGTCCGGCGTGGCTGGTGAGAGTGTCATCCTGGTGTGTGAGGCGGAGGGTGATCTACCCCTGAGAGTGACGTGGGGTGTCTCGCCTCGACTGCACGTGCCGCCTCCGCACAGTCGACACACACCCTCGGGTCTCGCCTCGGAGGTCCACCTGCCAGAGCTAACCAGACAAGACGCAGGCGCATACCACTGCAACGCTCACAACGAGTTTGGAGAGGACAACATGGTGATCTACCTTACTGTCAGAGGTGAATTTATGAACCATTGGGTGAATTATACATTTGTTGTTGTTTACGAACACATTGAAAAAATTCATTTGTCATGTGGTCCACCTCACCTTGATTATGCATTTCATCTTGTTATATTCTACAGATTTTCTGAAAGAATAAAACTTAACCTGAACTTCGCATTGGGCCTTGCTGTGTAAAAGGACTTCATGTTGATTTTAAAAAAATTATGATTTTTTGTACATTTTTTGTTTGTATTGATTGATTTAGATATTCAGTATCATATTCTAAAAATTGTTGTTGTAAAAAATTGTACAAAAAAATTGTTTTCCAAAAGTGGAAGTGTGTGTTGAATTTAAATAACACACACTACTGAAAGGAGGGCTATAGACTAATCAATGTGTTTGTTCAGTATCCTGAAATTTTGTTAATGATCATTACGAGACTGTTGTGTTCTCTTGCACATTATTTAACTTATGTTTTCTATATAGACTGTTGTGTTGCACATTATAAGACTTTGGAGTGTTTGAATGTTTTATATGATTCTGCCTGTTGCAGAGCCGCCTGATTCGCCAGAGCGCCTGGAGGTGGTTGAGGTAGGCAGCAGGTGGCTCAATGTCAGGTGGTCACCGCCTATCAGTAGCCACACCACCATCACACAGTACCTGGTTCAGTTCCAGGTAAGGCGGAATATAATTTTTCAATTTTTAGTTTACTTACAATTCAGGTTGTAAAAACAGTTTAGGCTTTCAGTTGGCAAAGACCCATTAATTTATTTGAGGAAATCTTTCTATTACTAAGTTAGTAAAATCCAAACCCCCAAGAACCGTAATATCATTTTTTGTAATCTACCTACCTAACTGTTAATCTTATGAGAAAGTATTTAGAATGCCTGTTTCTTAACCCTCTGAGCTGCAGGGATCGTCATTAATTTATTTCTGTCTATTTTCCATCCTGTTTTACCCTTTTGCAATAAACACAAAATAATTCTTTTGAAAGAAGTTTGAAGTGGACACCCATTTGGTAAGGGTGTGTAAAAAATAGCCTGATTTGAGGTTCAACTAAAAATATTCCTTCTATCCTATTAACTACTACTTGAATCATCTTCGTTTTTTTTAGTTGAGCCACCTCCATTATGCTCTCAAAAACAGGTGAATTCATTATGAATTAGTGAGTAGAACTGGATGGGATTCAAACACTCAGTCAGTGTTTGTCTCCTGGACCGGGATACAACAGTTTAGTATGTTCCTACATTGGAAGCGAATTGTTCTGGTCAGCCCAACCTGAATTAGATGTCAATTATGCCATGTTTTGCCAAGTTGGAAGTCATTGTGCCATATGTTGCCAAGTTGGACGCTACTGTGCCATATGTTGCCAAGTTACACACCATTGTGCAATATGTTGCGCCAAGTAGGAAGTTATTATCCCATATGTTGCCAAGTTAGACGTCATTGTACCATAAGATGCCAAGTTTTACGTCATTGTACCATAAGTTGCCAAGTTTGGCGTCACCGTTCAATATGTTGCCAAGTTACTTGTTATTGTGCTATATGTTGCCAAGTCAGAAGTCATTGTATCACGTGTTGTTTACAGGAAGAGGGAGGTGGCAGCTGGGGCAATGTAACTGTAGGTGGCAACACTCACTCTGCCAGGCTGAGTGGGCTCACTCCTGCCACTCACTATAATCTCAGACTTCTGGCTGTCAACGAGGTCGGGGCTGGAGCCCCCAGCTCCTCGACTACTGCCATCACTCTTCAAGAAGGTGTGTTACATTTTATGCCCCTAGACGTTACAAAATGAATGTCTCTTTCGTTTTCACCAGGACGGTGATATTTCAAGCTAGGATTTCTTTCTTTCCTTAAATGAATAACCAAAAAACTATTTTTGTTTCAGCACCAAGCGAAGCACCTGAAGAAGTGACGGTGGATGCTACGAGTGCAGACACTTTGGTGGTCCGATGGAGGGTAAGCGGTGATTTAGAATTGTAGCATTTATAAATTTGTAGTGGTTTTCATCATAGCCTCCTCTAATAAGTTTTTAATTTGACGGAGTACCATTTTGGATAGAGAAGAGATAGCAAACTCTGGTTTTCACCATTCTTTAAGTTTTTGTAAACACTTCAAAATGAGGTGTCACTTGAAGAGGTTTTACGTTTAAAATATTTGAGTTGCCCCCCAAATCCCCCCTTTTGGGGGACACTAAAAAATTTCAAAATCATAAAATGAAACTTCCTGCTTAGATTGCATGACCACCAAAAGGATATCTCTCTATATTTACTTAGAAAGATATTAGAGAGGTGGTCTTGACTTTTTATTCACCTTGTATATAGGTCTTTGTGTGTGAATCATTTGACAACTTTGCAAGATGAATTATGTTCAGACTGAATGTGATGATTTGATAATAATATGATACGACTTGATAAAAGGTCATACACCAACCGTGCAGATGAGTCAATCAGTCAGGGATTTTTCAAATAGTTTCATATGCTTGTCAACAAACGAGTATTTGAATTTGATGCATTGCATGATCTCCAATGCATTAGCGCACTTTACATTCTTAAAAGGTATCAGTTGCACCACGTCCAAAGCCTCTACCAGTTACACAACGTCCAATAGCTTGTCGTGCGACAGCGCTGAGCTATTGGACATCGTGTAACTGGCAGCAGCTTTGGTCATGCTACTGCTACGTTTTCAAGAGTATAAAGTGCGCTGTTGCACGACGACCAATCTCATGACGTCCAAAGCTTGTAAAAAGACTATGTTTCTTGTAGTTACTGTACTTTTGGACATGATGAGATTTGGACATCGTGCGCAACACACCCTTTGAATTTAGTTTCAAGTTGCAAGTATCTTAGACCTAATTGTTGGGTTTTTAAAACAAGATGAAGTGAATTTTATACCGGTACTTTACCTTGTCCCACACAACATTAGTTTTTCACTGTTACCCTTTGCTATACACTTCTGTACTGACTCATGTTTCTGTGTGTTTCCAGGCTCCCTCTTCCTCTAGCCATGGAGAAGTTGTTGGTTACCAAGTCACATATAAAGAAGTAACAAGTGGAGGGGCTCCAGAGGTAATTTATTTTAAGAACCCCGCAAATTAGTTAATATTTTTTATTATAAGAATATTTTGCAATGGCATTAGGATTTTTTTTTTTTTCTAAGTAGGTTTGAAGTGATTTTCTACACAAACCCTGTTTTGAATTCTCACCGGTTAAAGCTTTGTGCCGGTTATGTTGTGACAAGTTTGTCATTTACCTATTTGTACCTGATGCGTTAATTTGTTTTTACTGCCTAATAATATCTGCTAAGTCTTGGGTATAACAGTTAACACGTTCGCTGCTGACCACTAGATGCCGGGACAGCGCCAGGAGCTGAAGTAAACGCTCGCCGCTGCGTGACATTGCCGCCGATACACTGAATTACAGTAAAAACAACAGTAGTTATACTGGATGGCAATGTTCTGCAATAAAACTGGCTTTGGACGTAGTACTAACCCAGATAGCACAAAAACGTTATTTTCACGTGAAAAAAACATTTTTCATTTTACATTTTCACGTTATTTTGATGTATAAAAATGGGGAAAATCACGTTATTATCGCGCGAAAGTAACGTGAAAATTTCACAACTTTTCACGTAAAAATAACGCGAAAATAAAACGTGAAATTTTCGTTTTTACAATACAATATTTTCACATTTTACACTTAATATTTACGTTTTTAAAACGATCCTGCTTTTAAATTTTGTACACTTTTTCACCTAATGAAAACGTTTTTAAAACATTTATCTTTTGATTTTTTAACCATAGTCATGCAACTTTCATGTTTTGTAAACACAAATATTAGGAATTTGTTTACATTTTCAGCAAATTTAAGCTGTGAAACTCAATTAGTCTAGAAAACAAAATCAATCAATCACAATATCACACCCCAGATAGCACAAAAACGTTATTTTCACGTGAAAAAACATTTTTCATTTTACATTTTCACGTTATTTTGATGTTTAAAAATGGGGAAAATCACGTTATTATCGCGCGAAAATAACGTGAAAATTTCACAACTTTTCACGTAAAAATAACGCGAAAATAAAACGTGAAATTTTTGTTTTTACAATACAATATTTTCACATTTTACACTTAATATTTACGTTCTTAAAACGATCCTGCTTTTACATTTTTTACACTTTTTCACCTAATGAAAACGTTTTTAAAACATTTATCTTTTGATTTTTTAACCATAGTCATGCAACTTTCATGTTTTTTAAACACAAGTATTAGGAATTTGTTTACATTTTCAGCAAATTTAAACTGTGAAACTCAATTAGTCTAGAAAACAAAATCAATCAATCACAATATCACACCCCAGATAGCACAAAAACGTTATTTTCACGTGAAAAAAACATTTTTCATCGTACATTTTCACGTTATTTTAATGTATAAAAAATGGGGAAAATCACGTTATTATCGCGCAAAAATAACGTGAAAATTTCACAACTTTTCACGTAAAAATAACGTGAAAATAAAACGTGAAATTTTTGTTTTTACAATACAATATTTTCACATTTTACACTTAATATTTACGTTTTTAAAACGATACTGCTTTTACATTTTTTACACTTTTTCACCTAATGAAAACGTTTTTAAAACATTTATCTTTTGATTTTTTAACCATAGTCATGCAACTTTCATGTTTTGTAAACACAAATATTAGGAATTTGTTTACATTTTCAGCAAATTTAAACTGTGAAACTCAATTAGTCTAGAAAACAAAATCAATCAATCACAATAAGTGATTCTGATAGATAACAGCACTACCCAGGTTACAGTCGATAAAGTAGTGTCGCTATCTAGCAGGAAAGAGATGGAACGAAGACCTGTTCCAAACGACCCTGGTGGTGATTTTGCGAAACTATATTTGTTATTGTCAAAAAAGTACGTCCCCACGAGCTGCAAAGAAATATAGGACGCTTGCGACTGAGCTGGCTTATCCATGGCAACGTTAAACAAAAATGAACGGTGACGTTCCGGAACGTTCCTAGCTCCTGGCGCCGTTGCCCGGCTGATGTTCCGGAACGTCCGTAGCAGCGAACGTGTTAACAAACAACTCAAATCAAAAACAAAATATTTGAAAATTGAATCACAAATATTAAGTCCTCTTTTTTACAAAGACCTTTGAATAAATTAACTCTGTGTAGTAAAATCAGGCCACAGTCTCCATTCATCCTGAGAAAAGTGTGTTGCTTTTACATGGTTTGAAACTAGTTCCAACTGTCTTTGATTTGGAACTTAAAGAATTCCGACTAAATAAAAAAATCAACTATAACAAGCCTCAAGGATATTTATTTAGTCAGGGCTTAATTGGTAACAAAGTCACACAAGTAATCTCAGTCAATTTTACGTGGGTTGCAAAAAGGCTGGGTTCATCCAGGCAATACTAATTGGTAATGGTAATACTAATGATAGTAAATACATTTTTCAATAAATAAGAATGCAAACTGACTCCACAGGTGCGCACTGTAAGAGGCAGACAGAAGTATGAGATGGTTTTGACAGGACTGAAGCACTACACTAGGTACGAGGTGACTGTGAGAGCCTTCAACCAGGTGGGACCAGGGCCTGCCAGCACACCTCAGTTGGCTACTACTATGGAGGGTGGTAGGTAAATATTGCTGTTACTTCTGTGTCCTATCACACTATTGTCACTAGAGGCGTGCCAAAAGAACTGGATCTGTCGTGTTGTTCCGTTCCAAGTGCAGAAGATTTTGGAACTGGTTCTGCAATCGGCACCTAGTAGTTCTGACAAACGTTCTGGAACAGTCTGAGTCTATACCTTAGGATAGGAGATCCGCAATTTTTTATCGCACTTTGGCAGTTCTGGAATCATCTAAAATGGTAAAGTACGGAAATAGGTTATGGAGGGTAAAAATGGCCATGAAAACCTTTTTCCTTTGTTGTCTTCTGTGAGAATTCTGGGTTTGCACTGCCCAGCATAAACACAATTCCTTCTGAAATTAACATTTTCACGGCCATTTTAATTTCCCTTGCCTATTTCTACACTTTCCCTGCTATCATTGCATTAGGGTCATAAACTTCAGCCATCCGGTGATGAATGTCAGCATCAGATATATTTCTTGTGGTCAAAAACGTATTAATCACCTGATCTCGCACACTGCGGGAGATTCGATAATTTAGAAACACACAGCAAAGTGTACATGTCAACTACATAGCTGCAAATTGTGTCATTCTGTCCAAAAATTATGCCTGTAAGGCTGTAAGCAGTGAGGAGTCTTGTATCATGAACTAGGATGTCGCATGTACTCATGAACTACAGAGCTATACACAAAAACGGCCCTTTTATGTCTAATTTATCCAGTTTGTGTTCAGTGTGGATATTTGATATTTTGCTGTTAATGTTGTCTGTAAACTAATGAAGCCTGGGGAGCGAGCTGGCGTAGTGGTTAGAGCGCGGGACTTTAGTCCCTGAGGTCCCGGGTTCAATCCCCGCCAAGTCACCAATGGATTTTATCCAAGTGATAATGCCACAACCCCTAGGTCTACCCTGAAGTAATGTGAAAAACAATCCCAGGCTCGTGTCTAGCGTCCTAGGACAAAAAAAAATAAAAATAATGAAGCCTCATAAATTTTATTACTGTGACTTAACTATCACAACCTTTATGATACCTTGGTGTTAGGCCTACTTTTATTTTTTAAACTTAAATTATACTTTCTTTTGATTGTGCGTCCAAATTATTCCAGACATCTTCAAGTTTTGGTTAATATTCAAGTGCGCTACTTAGATAGTATCTAATAGTCAATTCTAGTTTGCTGTCACTAGTTAGAAAAGCAAATGTTTTATAGTTTGTTTGGTTTCTTAGTTTTTGGTTTTGCTTGTTTCCTATTTGATTATGTGCTATAAAACTGCTGTTTAAAATCTCAGTTAGTTTTGACATTACTCATTTCTAATACCTTACCTTACTAATAGTAATAGCATGTCATATCTAATAACTAATTATCTTCATTTTATATTCTTTTGAAAATCCCAATTACATGTTGTAATTTCAGTGCCAGATGCACCACCCGTGGACATCAGATGCAGTGCTCAGTCGTCACAAAGTATCCGTATACGATGGGAACCTCCACCAGTTGAAAACAGAAACGGAATCATTCAAGGATACAAAGTCATTTACAAGCAGGTCGACCCAAAACCAGGTAGTGTCTGTGAATTGTCCAATAAAAACTGGTCTAGTAGTGAGTGACTGCAGTTTTGATTACATAATCTGCGGTTATCTAACCTGTGTTATCTGGTTTTCTCCGCAGACGATTGACTACCAAGATATAGTGCGCAATTTCCATGTACTGTAACCTTAAAACACTGAAACAACGCCTTTAACCGCCCCTGTATGTACTTTAAAGATGTTTAGTGCCAAGGAATTTCCAGACACCTGCACTTTATTATATTTATTTTCTTTGTGTTTTGTTTGTCCCTGCATACTACACATTTATCCAACTACTTATAGCTCCCTAATACACATTTCTATTCCTTTCTTTCCTTTCCCATCTTTAAACCTTCTTCCTACATGTTTCTACTTTTCATCTCTCTACTACACATTTCTGCAACCTCTTGGTGTTTCTTCCAGTGGCGGATCTAGAACAGCCACAAGGGGGGGGCGAACCAGGGGGTCTGGGGGGTTCGGCGGTACCCTCCGAAAAATTAGTGTAAACTAAGTCTCCAAAATGGCAGTTTTATACCATTTCTTTGTCCAAAGTTAGTGTAACAAATTATTTTACCCAATTTGTATGCACTACTGTATTATATGCAGTAAAAAATATATGTATATGTATGCCCGAGGGGGGGGCGGTCGCCCCCTTCGCCCCCCCTCTGGATCCGCCACTGGTTTCTTCACAACTTGAACACAGTGTGAACTGGAGACTAAATGGAGGGATACTAAAATATATTATTCTTTACAGTTACAGATGTGGTGTTCCTCTGTTGTCAGTTATTTTTTATATTTATTATGAGGGCTTCAAAAAAGTTAAGGTTGCTGGTTTACAAAGGAAAACAAACTTAAAGCCTTAAACTAAAAGTTATGTTCGAATACTCCAGGAATACTTGAAGACAACAAATTTATGATTTCCAACATGTTTACAATTGGGTTTCTTATTTTCTGTTTTATCTAATCATTCCGACCTTCTAGCGACTGTTCGTTTGACTAATGGGAATTTTACTGTACTAACAAAGATGCAGTGTAAAATTAACAACTGAATAAACTTTATAATGATTTCTCTTTTGCTAATTTAAATGTACTATTTATTCCATAAACCACTGTTGTTGTGTGGCAGGAATGGCGGCAGACGTGGAGATAAAGAAGACGACAGTTCTGGACACTACGCTGCACGGACTGATGAAGTATTCCAACTACAGCATGAGACTTCTAGCCTTCACACACACAGGGGAAGGAGTTCATTCTCAACCGATCTACTGTGCCACGGAGGAAGATGGTAGGTCTATTTGGGAAAAAGTTAAAAGATTGTCTTTGTCAAATCATAGCCTTCGGGAGGTAAACACATCGATGAATTGGCAGAGATAGTAGCTGACGTTTTGGTTTTCATCTTACCAGTTTATCTTTGTTAACTCAACAACGTGATCATCTCAAAAAGATTAAGATCCAACAGTAAATTTTGCTCATTTTGGCTGGCCCCTGAACGGATAGGACAAATATGAACAGTCAATGATTTTTTAATAGGTCTACAATAATTTATTGCTAGTACAGTAGAGTCCCGCAAACTCGGCACTCGATAACCCGGCAGTCTGGATAACTCGGCCATCACCTGGCTCAGAAAATTAGTGATTTTTTGAGTCCGAGTTAAACATGGACTCAAGCCAGCTCAAGTCAAATCATTCTCAGCTCGTACAAATGATTTGTTTTACTATATCTGATGACTTAATACTAACTTGTAATATAAATATAAATTAAAGAAGTAGTTAATAAGATTAAAAATTGTATTGTTCTTGTTTTTAACCCTAGTTCCCGATAACCCGGCATTTCACAAACTCGGCACCCTTACAGTCCACATTACGCCGAGTTTGCGGGACTCTACTGTATAAAAATTTTTACGAATAAAATATTGATGAAAGGTCATTGTCTGCAGGTGAGGATCCTATGATGTAATTTCAATTAATAGTAATTTAATCAGTCTTTAAACAATACAGTCTATAAAGAAAGATATATTTTCCTTATTTTTATCCCAGTCCGATCTAGTTGTTATTTACTTTAACCAAAGTTTCGACACTGGTTGCATAATGATCACGCAGATGCTATTGTCGAGAAGATCAAATTTCTACAGAAGTCGGTCGCTGGGACGTTGTTAAGGTGGTCATGTACACACAGACACAAACATTGTACTATTGAAGTGTTTTCTTTGAAAACTTTATTTGGTATATTTTTCAGAAATGTGTCACAAAATGATCTGTTCCAGTTCCTGGGATCCCTGAGCAGATCAAGGCATTAGTGATGACGTCTGACAGTATCATGGTCACATGGACACGACCCACGGATGCTAATGGTGTTATCATCAAGTACACTGTTTACGTGTCCAATGGATCAAGCAAGGTAAGCTGTATGAATCTGCCATTAAAATGTGTATGTGACTGGGACGGTGGCGTCCTGTAATCCAGCTACTAGAGGTCACGAATTGTGGATATTTATAGGCTTGCACTGCACTGTAGGTGCGATACTCCCTGGTGTGGATTAACATCCACACTTGTGAGTACTACGACTATCGGCAGTACTATCCTGATAATTAGACCAATTCCTTAATTACAATGCAAAAAAAGTTTGAATTCCACTACAAACTGTAGGTCCCTTAGTTGACATTGGCTGTATGGGCTATTAGTTAACAGCTGTGTTTAAGGAATATGTCGGCCTTAGTTACTATCAAGACTACACGATCGCACCTCTCATCTCCATTCATTAAAATACCTACACTCTTATGGTCGTCATTTCAAAGTAAAGTATAAAAGTATTAATTATAGCCTAAATCAATGTATTCTGTAGAGTTATTTGATAATATGATGGATCTTATCATATAAGGTCAAGTTAAAATAAAAAGTAGTTCTTTAGACTAAGAAGGAAGAAAGTTATACAGTTTCTAATACTGCCAAAATTAATTCCCTCCCAACCACAAAATATATTTACAGTTGCTCTACATCATAGTAGGTACTTTATATACAATTCTGGTCACAAAATCATTAAAAGATGTACTTGTGAAAATCTTACACAGTTTTATTCGTTCAATAGGAAGTGTTAAACAAAGAAACAGTGTTTGGAGAAGAGTTGATTTGCGAGGTGCGCAGGCTCAAAGAGTTCCAGAGATATGAGTTCTGGGTGACAGCCTCTACCAGTGTCGGGGAGGGACCTTCCAGTACGAAGGTGTCTCAGAGTCCTATATCTAGAGGTGAGTTTTGTAGTGCCTGAGAGACAAAAGGTCGCCGGTTCGATCCTGTGTGTTGTAGCTTTTCGATGGTTTGAGACTGAACCCTGCTGCTCCTGATCATTGAGCTTTAATTAAACTAGTGGCTTGTAGGGACATAAGTCCCTAAAAAGCTCAAATGTAAAACAACTTTTTTGCAATACCGGTATTTAAACAAACTCAGAATAACATTATCTATGTGTCAGAATAGGCATCCCTACACCATATCTTTTGTGTAAAAATCAGTTTGTTGTTCTTCTTTGTTTGCTTTTGTTGATGTCATTTTCAATAAATAATTTGAATCACTCCAGTGGTTTAACATGAAAAGGCAGCAAAAATATCATTGTTTGTGAATAAATACTGGTTTACTAAGGTAGCTTTGGTCTTGTGGTTAATGAGGATAAATAAAAGCTTCCCTGTTTGGAATTTTAAAAATTCATTGGAGGTTCGCCTTCAGTTGAATTGAAGACGCCTGCAATTTCATCTGCAGTAGGCTTATTATACCTACGACGATCCATATTTATCCTGTCTACAAACCTAAGTTCTAACTCACTGTCCCCTTGTACAACAATTTCTTCCGAAGCTCTTTTTTAAATTTGTGCAAATGGATTTTCTAATAGAATTTCAGCTAGTTTTGACAATATTTCAGGTTTTAACCCTTTTACCGCCACGGACGAATGCAACATTGCGCGTGAAGGCCGCCGAGCGCTAAGTCAGCTGACCGCGCGAAGGTCGCCGACCCGTCAGCTGGCGCGACGCCTGAAAACCGCCGCTGTAAAATCGACTGATTTGATGACATCTGTTAAAACGGTCATAACTCAGCTGAAACAATAGCTAGAGCTATGATCTTTTTTTTATTTTGTTCGTATTTATTTGTTCTTTATGTCTATGTATAATTTGTAAACCATATACATTGTTTTTTTATTGTTACTGTAAGAAAAATCTAAAATTTAAAAAATATTTATATAAAATTTTGATTTTAAAATTTTAAAATGAACATTTGTATTATGTTTCCACACAATAACTATAACTTTTCTTAAACCTTATTATCTTATGAGAGTACAGTTAAAATTTTAAGCCAAAATATTTACAAATAAAAAAAATATAAGAGAAAAAGAAAAACTTGTTTATTTTTGACAAAACTTGAATTTTGTAAAACATTGGTAGTTTCGTATTGTTGGGTGACAATAATACCATTTAGGTTCTTACAGTGCAATTATTAGTGTTCAAAATAACATTTAAATTAAATTACATATAAAAAACACTGTTTATAACAATTACTTGTAACTGTAACCCAGAAAAAACATTAAAAAATAAAGTTATATCGTAAGCCTACCTTTATTGCTGCTGTCCCAATGATCCAATGTGCACAGAAAATTAGTTTTTGGTTACACAGTCAAAACATTAAAAATATACAATAGTTAAAAATCACACTTTTATATAATATTTACACATATTTACAACACGGTGTTTTGTTTTTGTTTACGGTTTACACTTGTGGCGTGGGAGGCAAGCCACGTGACATCCGGCTTTGCAGTTCACACACACCGTTTTGCTACGCCTTCTCTTCCCTTCTGGGTCGTTCTTCCCGCTACAGACCGAACATATCTTCTCCTTTGCACCATCGAGCCTTTCTACCCCAAATCCTTTCTTATTCATAGGTCCATCACCACCCCCGCCTAAATTTACCCCAGCATTTTTAACAGAGAGCCATTCTTCAGCTAATTGGTCGATTACTGCAATTTGGAACTGCAGGCGGTCCACTGGTCTGTCAGTATTCAATTTATATAGGACGTATGCATTTAGCATCATTCGGCCGAAAATGTTAAAAATCACCTTTTTCCAGTGCTTCATGCATCGTCTTTCGTCAAGGTAAGTATAAAGCATCTGGTCTGTTCCATCAATGCCGCCCATGCCATGATTATACTCATGTACAATTTGGGGTTTGTTCTTTATTAATATCCTCCCACTTCTACGGATTGTGTATCGTACATTTCTTGCCACTGATTTAGTTGAAAGGACAATAAACTGAGATTTGTTTGTTGCCTTTTCTCTGTAGGCCATTAGCAAAAGGGGTCCTTTCCGTACGTATACCTTTTTCCCAACTGGGTATTTCCCACGCAATTGATTGGGGATTCCTTTGCGATCAATTCGAACTGTGCCAGTTACATTAGTTGAGTTTGAAAAAAGGTATCTTGCAAGTTTTTTCGTTACGAAAAAATTGTCCAAAAACATGTGGAAGCCCTTATGTAACAAGTTGGCCATTTCTAGGAGTTTTACAACGACAGTGTATCCTAACCCAAACTGGTCAATCCTAGCCCGTTCAGTTTCATATCTGGCCCCCTTGTAACAATAAAATTGGTAGCAGTACTTGGTGTCGGCGTCACAAAGGACCCAAAGTTTGATACCCCATTTATGGTGTTTTTTTTTTGGGATGTACTGCGTTAATGAGATCCTCTTTTTAGTTCCCACCAAAGATTCGTCAATTGATAGTTTTTCATATGGTGTGAAATGCGTTCGGAAAACTCTGTTACAATGGTCTATTAAACACTGAAACCGACCACATGGGTCGTAGTTTGGGTCCCCAAGCTTTGGTAAGGTGTTTTTGTCAACAATGTGGAAGAACTTGAGCAAAATTTCAAACCTGTTCCGGCTAAACATCTTACTAAACCATGGGGTACTTGATGATGATGCGGTAAACCAGTACGATTCTATTGTTGGTTTTCGAATGACGCCCATGTTTAAGATCACAGCAATAAATCCTTTCATCTCCTCTAGTGTAACATTTACCCAGGATCTTAGGCGGCTTTTAGGGGACAGGTTGCCTTGTTGAGACCTTAAAAATTCGTTTGCATATTTGTTAGTTTCCAAAACAAAAGTGTTTAGTAAGACATTTGTAAAGAACAAATAAAAATATGACAAAGGACGTGAGTTACGGGGTGGACAGTGTTTTGGTCCAGACAACTCAGCAAAGTTGAAAGTTGCGGGAAATTCATGATCGTTACCGTCTTCAACCTCCTCCCATTCACTACTGTCAGAATCGTGATTATTCCTGGGCCCTACAGGCTGGGGCCTTCGAACACGACCCCTCCCCTGACTACGTCTGCCCCTCGGTTCCCGATTTACGTGTCCGTTAAGCATTTGTGGAGTATTATTAGGTCTGGGCATTGGGGGATCATCAGGATCGCTATCATCAGAACTACTATAACTCACAGTAGGCTCGTGAACATCAGTTTGGTTGAAATTATGTTGTACAACCGTTTCTCTGGTTGAAGGCCCTGGAGCATTTATATCTAAATCTAAAACCCTAGGCCTATTCCTATCTGTTAAAAATCTAAAAGGATTGGGTCTTTCAGCTGGATCGTAGGTTGGGTCCTCGTCTGTGTCGTCAAAGATTTCATCTGAGGAAGAGGACAGGTCATCTAATGAGTTCACCTCACCATCGTCACTAGCGACGTCGTATCCACTTGCTAGAATTTCGTTTACTATAGCGTTTTCACTAAGTGGTGACGGCGGACACGGTCTTTTACTCATTTTACACCAAAAACGTACACAAAACTAGACTCTAAATAATGTTTTCCGCACTAAATAAAGTAAACTAACATCACAACATGTAATAGTAAACAAAACCTCATTGCAGACTGTTTGGCGCCAGTAAAAGCCGCGACAGACTGCGTGGCGCCAATCGCCAGTCTGCTCATGGCACGGCCCACTTGATCGATGTCATTTGTGTTGTTGGGATACTATAATAAAAGCTTTAGATAATTTACGCTGCGGAACCAACTAGAATGGTCCTTAGGCTTTATAGTAATATGAAGTTTACGAGTATATTAGTAAAAATAACAGCGCAATATCAAAAATACGCCGAGCCGATCTGATCGGCCGGTGGCGGGGTTCGCTCGACATTGCAGAGCCGATGAGATCGGCCCGTGGCGGACTTCGAATACAATGTTTAGGCCGATGAGATCGGCCCTTGGCGGTCTTCACAACATGTCGTAAGGCCGATCTAATCGGCCCGTGGCGGTAAAAGGGTTAAGTCACTATTTTCTCGACGCCTTTGACGAATTTCTGTTGCTGTTGATGTGTCAATAATGTACAATTGGCCATACACGGGGTCTGTCGTTCCTATGAACAGTTCCCCGCCATGTGGTATTCCCCTGGCGTTCATATTAATTACAGTACTTATAATGAAAAGCCAGCAGCCTACATACCAAAACATCTTGAATCCCTGGTGATTTTATAAAAGTATGATCGAATATGATTACTCTACGTTGTATATTCACTGCACTAAAAAAATTTACTTACGAAGGAATGCAAATACACCATTTTAGAACCAATAACATTTATAGGTTATTTTAGTTGTATATATTTACACAACCTTAACCTTAAAATGTGTAGAAATATAAAGAAAACAACATCATTTAAAATAAACTTGAACATATGATTTAAAAATAAAAACAAAACAGAAGTTAGATTTAATTTCGACTCTTTGATTATTTATACAGAATATTTATTCTATGTCGTTTATTCCTTTAACACGACAATAACGTAAAAGCATGAAAAAATGAAACTTGAGTATATGATTTAAATATAAACAAAGAATGCAGACGTTTTTCCGACTAATCTTCAATATTTCAGTTTTATTATAGTATACATTTCATAGTTGACTGGCTAAAAGTAAACCAAATGTGTGTATTGATCACTGTTTTCAAATCTGTGGCACAGCTGTTTTAATTTCAAAAGATGTAAACAAATTAAACCCCATGTTTTTTTAATGGGAAAAGTTTTATTCTGTTGCGAATTTATGGTAAAAAAATAAGAAAAATGAATAGTTTTCCCTCAAAATTCACGTCAAGACCTTTAAAATAAGACCCCTCCCATCCTTCTACGGCCATCCAGTCACTCACAATTTCTTTACAAAAATTTGACTTACGGAATTATATATATAGATGATACTGGTTGATGAAACAGCTGGTCTTAGTCAGTAGCAAAGTGCACAAGGCATCTCACTTCATTCTACGCTTATCCTTTATCCTTATCCTTAAAATGCACACCTAGGTGCTAAGCGGTTTTAGGGTAAGAAATCCATCCCCTCCACATGACGTTTTAAACAATATCTGAACAGCTGAGGTTTTCCGAAACGTGAATCAGCTGCTACATATATAGGCCTATTAATTTTGAATCGACTAGTAATAATGATAGACAGACTATTGGTCTTGCTACAGTAAAACTTTTGTATAATAAGACCATTATTAATCGGTTGATGTGAAAGGCCAAAATCAATCTCAAAAAATATAACTGCAGGCTTCAAACACAGAGCAATTACAATTACATATGATTTAGACAATTAGAAATTAGGTGAGAAATTACAGGCTTAAAACATTAAGCGGTTCAAAAACAAGCAACTACATTCCGTTACAGGGTTTCAACTCCATGCAATTACCAGTTACGTTCAATTATAGTAATTATGTACTGTAAGTAATTACAGGCTTTAGGAACTAAACAATTACACAAAATGACAGCCTTTACAAAATAAGCAGTTACAGCTTTAATGTTTAAACCATTGACTATTGACAGGCTTAAACACTTAGTGGTTGTACGCTACGCCTAACTACATAACCAATACTAAGCAGTTACACACGGTTGCAAGCTTAGAACAGTCAGCTATTTTTTAAGCAATTATAACATATAAATAGCTACTTCCCTATACGGAAATTCGCTAAAACCAAACAATTAAAAACTTACAGACTATTCATGGAACCATCAATCTGGGAAAACACTTCCAGGGTATCACTGACGGATTGAGTGATTAGACACTTAAGCATACAAAAATATTGAAAAAATTCATCACTTATTGAAGTCACATTCCTCTGTTGCAGTGCCAGCTCGTATAGCTGGATTCTCTGGCAAGATGGTAGGTGTGGCCGGTGCTTCTCTCAGTCTAGGCTGCCACGCTGTTGGTCTCCCGGCGCCTTCGCGTATCTGGCGCGGACCTACTGGAGCACCACTCAGCCCTGACTTCAGGTAACCACTAAACAATTAGTAATTAGTTTCACCTAGTTACACGATGTGAAATCTGTTCCCATCCTCAGGTGAGAATTTTAATTTACTCATTGTTGTGGCTTGCCCCTGAACTGGTAAGACAATATATATACAGAGTGTCCCACATAAGGTGTCTCAAATTGATTACGGAAAAACAGGTTAACGTACAAGGATGAAATAAAATTATATCCCACTAAATTGACCCCAAGGATTAACCTAAAAATATTTTTTTAACTTTTTTCTGATACAGGGTGTGCCAAAAACTGAGGGGTCACTAGTTCGAATTTTCAAATGTAATCATATGTCATGTTATACATAATTTTAAATGTATTTAGGAGACAAACATTTTGGCAAAACAGGAAAATCAATTATGTATTTCCATTTCAAAATGGTAGCAATTTGTTGGAAAAAATCTATATTTTCTTAATATTCCGAGTTTCCTATACCAATGCACTTAGCCCTTCTCCGGTTGAATTTTCTTGCTTGTTATGAAATTAGCTTTACTGTGATATGCTACAAGTAATGTTTATTATTTCAAAAGAACAATATTTTTACGTTAATCTTTGGGGTCAATTTAGTGGGAAATAATTTTATTTCACCCTTGTATGTTAAGCCGTTTTTCCGTAATCAATTTGAGACACCTTACGTGGGACACCCTGTATAGTGTTTTTTTTTAATCTACCTTCAATTTCCTCCCAGTCCAATCTAGTTGTTTACTACAACTATAGTTTTGATGCTTGCATTATGATCATGCAGATGCCATTGATGGGAATATCAAATTTCAACAGTCATCTAAGGAGCTATGTTCACACAAATATACAGAGAACATAGATTCTCATAATGAACAAATTAATGATGGGTCTCTCGTGGGAATAAAAAGGCCTGTGTTATTATTTAATAGCACCGTTGTGGGAGTCGGCTGAAGAAGCTCCCCCCATACAGCTAAATTATAATCCCGCAATCACAGAGTCATCATCATTGACACCCACCATATTGATCTTTTGTACTTTATCCCCTAAAGTACATGATCAGATTCCAGGCCCCAAAACGTCCACTAAACTTGTTTTCTACTAATCGTAATGGAAAATGCCCACAATAAACTCTCATGTAACGCCAATTTATCATCATAAAAACAAAAAGAAAACTGTCAAAAAATGTTCCCTATGTTCCAGAGTGTTGTCAGAGTACACTCTTATGTTGGGTCCCCTCACCTCCGACCTTGCTGGCAACTACACCTGCAATGCGGAGAACGTTTTTGGACGTGATCAGGTGGTCTATCAGGTGGTGGTACTGGTGCCACCAGGCCCACCTCAACTGCTTGTGCCTGCCAACACCATGGCCAGCCTGGCTCTGCAATGGAAGGTGATGAGTGACGGGGGCAGTCCAATCACAGGTGAGACACGACATCGGAAACTTGTTAAGGACACTCACATCAGGGTTACATACAGATTGTAAAAATGAACAAAAAGACTTATGTTACCATTTTACTCATCAGAATGGTGCAATACAGCTGTTTCGTACTGTGGAAAATGCAGCACTTATCCTCTGGTTAGCGTCAAGCTTCTGGCATAAAAATGCTGTCTGTTTTTTTTCAGCAAGCAACTGTAGTTGATTAATACAATGGTCTCATAGAGACACATGTGACGTATTTGGATTGAGAGACTGTTATGAGTCTTTTTAACCTAGTTCAACAGTTTGTGTACCTACCGAGAAGTAAGGTACAGAGGAAACAATCTTATGGGACGACCGTGCACTTTCAGCTCTGGAATGTTGTGCCAGAAATATACTTGTGACGGGCAAGGAAGAGCCCGAACAGTGAGCACTGTGCAGGAATTCAAACAGTGCACAGGGTCTTCATCCACTGTGAGCGTTGTAGTACATGATGGCGAAGTGGTCATTCCCCTAGACACCAGCATTAGTGCTAGACACCACTTAAGTGTACCATTGAATATTTCCTCTATACCTTAGTTCCCTGTGGTGTACCCAAAAATAAGTAGGCTAATTTAATAAACCCTATCCGACTTATATTTAATTCACAAAACTAATTTGCAGGTTACCATCTTCATTACCGCAAGAAAGGCGAGGAGTGGCGTCAGATAGTGTTGGACTCTGACAGAAGAACATTCTCACTAGAGAAGCTGTCTTGTGGATCAAACTACGAGATCTTCTTACAAGCATCCAACGCTGTGGGACTCGGAACTCCTAGTCAGACTGTACAAGCGGCTACTAGAGGCGAGGGTGAGTTTATAATACCCACGCCGCAGCAAACCTGCAGACTTAGCGAATTTCCATTTGCCTGATTGGATTCAAACTAAAATGTCTCCTTAAAAATATCACATTTATTCCCTATTTAAACAGAATTAGTTTAATGATTACTTAGGTTTGCTGCAACAGGGAGGGTAAAAAAGTTTTTTTAATGTAAAATGTTAAAAGGTACTGTGGTTTAGGAAGAAATTAATGTATTTTCCAAATATGATCAAAATATGTTCATAAACAAGCAAACCACAATAGTTGACTTATTCTCCATAAGAATAACATGGGAATTTTAAAATTACAATTTTTTTGAATTTTCTCCGTAACAATTAGGCGCATAATAACGCTTCAATATACTAAATTATTTGTTTTTTAAGCTCTACAAAATGGTTTAAAAAGAAATTGTGAAATTTTGTGTTTTTAAGGTAAAAAATGGGAAAACCCTTTTTTACCCATTTACCCGGGGCGTAACCGGGATCGATTGAAAATAATAAGAATACTTTAGTGAGAGGTAAAAGAATGTTTAATCATTATTCAAATAAAGTGGATGGACAATATGATATGATAAAGATAATAATAAAAACAATAATAAAAATGGATGATAAAATAATTACAGGCTCCTTTTATTTAAGTAGGCCTAAGCAAATGAAATTTATATATAACACTCTAATAATTATAATTCTTTTTGACACGTTATTATATTCAAACAGGAATTTAATAGTCACTATATTTATTCACACAAATTATAAATGAAATCTATTATTATAAGAATGATTACGATTAACATCAATCAATCACTGACTTTAAAAGGTTAAGTTAGCCTAAAACCTGGAGACCGGCGAAGTGTCCCCGTAAGATTACTGGGGCCAAGTGTCTTCCTTTCGGTCAACTTCAACCTCAGTCTCCCCAAAGCACAATTGCTAAGTCTACGGTTTTTGTGGGTCGGTCGATTGAGCAAGCTACGTGTCATCAAGAATTCTGTCTACTAAATGCCAATGTTCTGACACTGGTATATGCATTGTGAAATCCATTTACCAGGTCTTTTACTTTTGAAATATAATCCCAAAATTTAGAAAATAATTTTTGGTGACTACCCGTCACAATATACTAAATTATTTGTTTTTTTAAGCTCCATAAAATGGTTTAAAAAGAAATTGTGAAATTTTGTGTTTTTAGGGTCAAAAATGGGAAAACCTATTTTTACCCCATAAAACCCCCCATAAACCCCCGTTCCCATAGTCCGATCATGCTGGTTCGCGAACTCATTCAAGTTTATCCCGCCTTACACCTTCAAACCATATTTTATCAAAATCGGACAAAAATTACTCAAGTTATCGTGCGGATGGACACACACATATATATATATCTCTATATTTAGATGTATAAAAATTTGAACGAATGGTGTTTTTGGCCTCTGGGGACATCAAAATGAAAAAGTAAATCGGTCCCGGGCCTAGGTCTTACCATGAGACCTACGGTAATAGCTACTTCCCTATAGGGAAATTCGCTAAAATGGGCAATCAATCAATGAAGTGATCATCATGCAATCAATCTACAACAATCTAAAAAAAGTCAATCATTTAATAAAGTAGGACAGGTGAAATCAATCTACAATGGGCAATCAACAAAGTGGTCATTGTACAATATCAATCAACCCTTGAACACAACATACAAGAGTGGATATCAATGTGAGATGAGTGTAGAATGGAGTTAGATAAGTTTTTTTTTTTTTTTTTTTTTTTTCTTTTTCACTGACTATATAGGCTGTTTCTTATGCCAGGATAATTAAAAAAAATCACTAATCAGTAAAAGCTAAATGATCAAGAACAGCTGGGCCCAGCTTTAAATTGTCAAAAAGCTACTAACTTTTCTCAGGATCGCATGATTTTTTTACTAGGCGAGTTTTATAACCACAATAATAACGAGAATGAAGTGGGATCACTAGTGTCACGTTGTTTCTGGCTAAGGTACATTGAAAATAAGTACAAATGTCTCGTCGTAAGTGTACCTAAGTAAAACTCTGGTTAAAAATAAAACTGAAACATAACATGGGATATAAGTACAAAATGCTTAAAAATATACTTGTAAACATTCAGATAAGTTATTAGCCAGGACCATGAATTACTGTTCATTATGCAAGTGAAAAACCAAACAAAAAGATACGTAGTAGCAAAAGGTAGTTGTGCGCATGCGTGGGCAGATGGCAAAACAGCAGGCAGGCTCTGTATGATGAACACATTTTCCTAGCACCAAGAAGGATAATATAGGTTATCATATCCAAATCTTTTATTGACTATTGAATGGAGTTATTAGTTTTGATTTTTCTTTCATTTCTTCAACCCCCAGGTGACTGAATGTTTGTAAACATAGCCAACATGCTCAAGCTGTTTTTTCACCTGCGAAACGAACTGTACAATCCATTCTCAAGAACAGCTGGGGCAAGCTATGCACCTTTAAAAACACTGACTTCTCTCACAAATTAAAACTACGTTACATTTCAGCTCCCCCCGCACCTGAGAAAGAAGATCTGATCCTGGTGAATGCTACCTCCGCCACAGTGTTCCTGGAGTCCTGGCCCTCCTCGGGTTGTCCCATCACCAGTACAGACGTCGCCTACAAGCCGCAGGGTCAGGCGCAGTGGAGCATTGTGGGTGCTGGTGTGACACCTCGGGAGGAAGTTGTGATTACTGACCTGCTACCCGCTACCAGGTAATGTTATGATTGTGATTTAGTAAATGTAGAACAAAAGGTTTTGGTGGAGTTAGACCCAATATAGGACTCAAAGAATAATTGCAGCAGACATTTTCCATCATGAATACAGTAGTCCCTCTTATCCAGACTCTTCCAGGACCGAAGCCAGGATAACGGTTTTTCTGGTTGAATCGATGATTGGCAAATTGCTATTATCATGTCAATGCTGAGACAGTGGAATCACCTTAAGCCAGTTAACAGAAAGTTCCACACATAAAGTGAAAAGAAAAGGATCTGACTTCAGGGGTTTCTCTTTGTTGATAATTTTGCTTCACTAGAATATTATATCAATAGCACAGCTTAATTGGTGATTAATTGATTTAATTTGTTTGACATTTTCAGATATTTGCTGAAAGTTGCAGCGCATAGTGATGCTGGAACTACCAGAAGAGAATACATCTTTGCCACAAGGTCAAAAACAGGAGGTTGGTAGTTTAAATTACCTATACAGTAGACCCCCTCTTAACCGACCCTAATGGTAATGGACCTAGGTCGGATAACTCAAAAGGTCGGTTAAAACGGGCAATCCCTCAAATCATAATATAATGAAGTGCTATTCATTTGGAATTATATAATCATTATTTTGAAGTCATACTTGCATTATTTATAAAATAAACTACTCTTATCTCCTTTTTCATATTGACAGAAAAGTCACAAATAAACACAAAACACGGTTAAGTCAAATAGGCCTACTTTCAGTGGAATATATTATAATACTAGGCAAGAGTCAATAAAAATTTATCAATAAAAATATTTCAATAACTTTAGTACTGTAATGTATTAATTGATACAGTACAGAACCTTTTGTCGAAATTAAAGATGCAAGCAACCATATTGTTACAAGACAGGATGTTTATAACCTCTCAATGGAGGCTCCAGGCACAAAAACTATCTTGACCTTGGAGTTGTAAACCCCCTTTCCCTGCCCTCCCTACAAGTTGTGTTGTTTCTGTTTGTTTACTCCAGTGATAAGATAATCAGGTAACGCACACTTTATGATGTTATAAATTTGCCATACAGATAACAAATCAGATCAGATGTGCTCACGCTAAGAACGATGATGACAAACTGACAATAGGCTATGCTATAATTTTTGTGATCAATACAAAATAATTTATTCTTAGTCATATCCTGTGGAGATAAGCGTATGGTTCAGTTCTCATCGCCCAGCGTGGGAGCGGAAATGCCGAGATTCCTAGAAAGCGGCGGTTAAACCGAGCTGCTCTCAAAGCAAGGTCGGTTAAAACAAACTGTATTATTTTACGATCGAAGGCGGATAATCCGATTATCGGTTAATACGAGGTCGGTTAAGAGGGGGTCTACTGTAGTTTTTTTCAAGCACAATACAATTAAATTTTTGAGACTTAAAGTTTTATTCAATTGTGGTTTTTTTTTTTCAGAAATGATTCCCTTGGAGATGATTCCAGAACCAACCACCTCTATAATCAACCAGTATGGGATCCTGGTCCCTATAATAGCAGGAGTGGTGGGGACTATTGCCTTTACTCTCTGCGCTTGTATTGTGTTCAGAAAGAGGTTAGTGTGAACTTTACTTATTCTTCTTACTTTTAGTCGCTTCCCCCAAGCAAAGCAATGGGACGAGCACAAGAATATGGTTCTAAATTCTAAAGCCTTTGGCAAATTTTGTAATCATAAGTGACATAATTAAACTTTTGAATTGTTTGTACTTGTATAAGTGAACAAAAAAATGTTTAAAAGCTATACCTGATATGTGGTACAACCTAGGAGTCAAGTTTAGAGGCACACTGGTAGTAAGTAGGTTCTAGGGTATCCAGTGTTGTCAGTGTGGTATATCGTCATATAAACAAGTGGTCTAAAGTAGGGATAGACGGGTCCCGAAATTTCGGGAATTTTTCGGGAAAAAAATCTTCCCGATTATCGGGACGGGATTACATTTGATTCGGGAATTTTTCGGGACGGGATTTGGTCCGATCGCCGGCGATTTTGCCGCTTCGCGAGTGCCGATGACGCCGCTATTGCGAGCGATAGGTCCGCGAACGCAGGAGACGAAGTCGTTTCGACGATTGCGCTGTGACCGCGGAGTCATACCGACGATCACGCCGTGATCCCGGAGACATACCGACGATCGCGCCGTGACCGCGGAGTCATACCGACGATCGCGCCGTGACCGCGGAGTCATACCGACGATGACCCCGTGACCGCGGAGTCATACCGACGATCGCGCCGTGACCGTGAGTCATACCGACGATCGCGCCGTGACCGCGGAGTCATACCGACAATCACGCCGTGACCGCAGAGACATACCGACGATCGCGCCGTGACCGCGGAGTCATACCGACGATCGCGCCGTGACCGCGGAGTCATACCGACGATCACGCCGTGGCCGTGAGTCATACCGACGATCGCGCCGTGACCGTGAGTCATACCGACGATCGCGCCGTGACCGCGGAGTCATACCGACAATCACGCCGTGACCGCAGAGACATACCGACGATCGCGCCGTGACCGCGGAGTCATACCGACGATCGCGCCGTGACCGCAGAGTCATACCGACGATCACGCCGTGACCGTGAGTCATACCGACGATCGCGCCGTGACCGCGGAGTCATACCGACGATCACGCCGTGACCGCAGAGACATACCGACGATCGTGCCGTGACCACGGAGTCATACCGACGATCACGCCGTGACCGCGGAGACATACCGACGATCGCGCCGTGACCGTGAGTCATACCGACGATCGCGCCGTGACCGCGGAGTCATACCGACGATCACGCCGTGACCGCGGAGACATACCGACGATCGCGCCGTGACCGTGAGTCATTCCGACGATCGCGGCGTGACCGCGGAGACATACCAACGATCGCGCCGTGACCGTGAGTCGTACCGACGATCGCGCCGTGACCGCGGAGTCATACCGACGATCACCCCGTGACCGCGGAGTCATACCGACGATCGCGCCGTGACCGTGAGTCATACCGACGATCGCACCGTGACCGCGAGTCCTTTCGACCGCGAGTCACAAGTTTCTACAGGTACCTGAAAGATTGTTACCCATTTTTTGGTTTTTATAGATCAGTGCCACAAACGGTAAAGATTGATTTTGTGTGCCTTTTTTTGGTAACTGCAAGACTCAAGACTTTCTTTTTATGCACAGAAAAAAATCCCGTCCCGTCCCGTCCCGAAAATCGGGAAGGAAATAAAAATCCCGTCCCGTCCCGTCCCGAACTAAAAATTCAATCCCGTCCATCCCTAGTCTAAAGTAATGTGTACCTAGCCAGAAGGCATTATTAGTTCAAATAGAAAATATTACTCCCAATATTAAAATCCCGTCGCTTGAGACTTTGATTCTTACTGTTGTGTTCTACAATATTACTCTCTGCACATTCGATAAAAGCACACCAAACACTGATAACTCACCTTATTCCACTAGGAGGTCCTTGTCCTGTCCTAACCGTGTATAACCTGTTTAGGACCTACACAGGTTACAAGGGGGCGGAGACGCCGGCTGCCAAGAGTCTAGTAGAGTTGGAGAACCAGAGGAATGACTCGGCGGCTCACGCCTACTCTCCTTCGCCCAATCGCAAACATCAGGATTCCAGTCTCTCCGCCAACAAAGGCAGTGATACGTCAGGTTACAGCACTACACGCTTTTTTTGTTTTTTTACTTTTCTTTTATACACCTGCCTTGTTCACCAAACGCATGTGAGTGTGGTAGGGTCATGTTCAGAAATTTAAATTTTGATTTGGAATCCAAATTCCAGAACGTTAAGTACCGAATCTCAAATTCAGAATAAATAACTGAAGACCCACGGAAAAAAATTGACTTTTACATCTGTTATTATTTTTTCTCATCAAATAGTCGAGTCAACAAAATGTTTGGAACACAATTTCCGACTTTTTTTGGTCTAATAAGAGGGTGAACATATTCAAAGTATTATTTATGATTTATTATAATTGACCACATATTTTGTTTTATTTATTTATTTATTCAAGTACAAAAATTAAATTTTACAACCATAATTTCCAACAAGCTTCACAATCCTTACAAGGCTTATCTGCAACCATACTCCGCTCACAATATTTAGGCGGTTTTAAGGGAAGAAATCTTTTCCCTCCTTTTTGTTTTCCCCTTCTGCCTGAATGAAAAGACATTAAATTACTTTTACGCAATTTTGTGGGTTCCTGCATGCAAGTTTATCATTTATGTTCAATCTGTACAGACTTGTAGCTTTTTATTTGCTTTGTAGTGTACAATTTAGCTGTACATTGTTTGCATCTCCATAGATTAAACATTGTTTGCATCCTTCTGCATTATTTTTTGCTGATTGCATGTGGGTTAAAATTGCTTGGACGATGTTAAAAGCCTAGACTTAAATAGGATTTAATATGGCACAACATGCATTGTTTTTAACCAAAATGAAACACTGTTTAACATCATTAAATTTTCTACACCAATCTTTGGATTGTATATTAGTACAAACTAAAGCAGTGGCGTATCCAGGGAGGGGGCCCAAGGGGGCCGGGCCCCCCCCCCGAAATTTTTTTTTAGTTACCCTGTAGGCCTACACACGGCACACGGGAGCGTTGCAACGCGCGTTCTAGAAACAGTCAAATGAGTGCAAACACACTACACAATACGTGTTGTTATTATATATAATACCGGATTACTGGAATGTTATCAATAAAAACACTTAAAAATGCAATTAAAACACGTCTCCGAAGATCGCGCGATCGGAAACCGCTATTGCCGCGATCGGGCATGACGACGATGACGTTTCCGTAATCGAGGGAAACGATGATAGCGTGTACGGTCACGAAAGATGATCATGATTTTGCCACGATCGTTCATGACGACGATGACATGTGACCGCGGGAGACGATGATAACGTGTACACGTCCGCGGGAGATGTTCGTGATTTTGACACGATCGCGCATGACGACGATGATGTTTCCGTGACTGTGGGAGATGTTTATGATTTTGCCGCGATCGCGTAAGTCGACGATGACGTTTCTGTGACTGAGGGAGTAGACAATGATGTTTACATGGCCGCGGGAAATGTTAAAATCTTTGCCACGACCGTGAAAGACCACGATAATGTCTACATGACCGCGGGAGATGTTCATGATTTTGCCACGATCACACAAGACGACGATGGCGTTTCCGTGACCGCGGGAGTAGACAATGATGTTTACACGGCCGCGGGAGATGATACAATATTTTGCCACGACCGCGGAAGACAACGATAATGTCCACATGACCGCGGGAGATGTTCATGATTTTGCCACGATCACGCAAGACGACGATGACGTTTCCATAACCGCGGGAGGCGATGATAACGTCTATACGTCCGCGGGAGATGTTCATGATATTGCCGCGATCGCGCAAGACGACGATGACGTTTCCGTAACCGCGGGAGGCGATGATAACGTCTATACGTCCGCGGGAGATGTTCATGATATTGCCGCGATCGCGCAAGACGACGATGACGTTTTCATGACCGCGGGAGAGAATGATGATATGTACACGGCCGCGGGAGATAATCAGAATTTTGCCGCGACCGCGCGGAAGACCTCCCGCCAAAAGACGCGGATTACTGGAGTGCCGGAGTGGTACCGTGCCGATTATATAGGGTCTTTTGTACAATGTTTTATAATGAAAAAAATGACGGCAGCTGGTACATATAGTGTCTACTTCAGTATCCAATAGTCATTGCGTGTACATTACACATTTTTGGTCGAGTTTTCGATCACCGGACGACCACTAGTATGCTTTATTCTATAAGTTGAGTGTAGTTTTATTAGCTTGATTTATTTTATTAAAATTACGTCACGCAGATTAATAGTAGTTTAGGCAACTTGTTTAGATTTCAGAACAGTAAAAAACAAATTTTTAGTAGTAATACACCAATATTATTCTCTACTTTAGAGCCTCCAGAGGTGTTGTAAACTGCAATTTAGCACCATAAAATACCAAAAGTTTTCCCCCCTTTAGTCCTGGGGGGTATTCCATGCCCCCCAGACCCCCCGGATCGGGCCCCCCCCCAAAGCAGAATCCTGGCTACGCCACTGAACTAAAGTACTGGTTATATAATAGTACTGGTTTTAAGCTCCAACGCAACGTGTTCACATTTATTGTGTGATAAATTGCCTGAAATAATACAATAATACTATACAAACCCAGCCAACAGTATAAAATAGGAAGATAAACCCCAAATTGATAACTGCAGTGCTTAAGGTATCTCCGGTTTAAAAAAATAAAATGGATATAACTAAATTAAGCCATCCACAGATTACCTGATGTAAATTACTGATTTATGTTGAATCGCAGACTTTTTAACCTTGCCATACTGTCAGGATGACTCATTGTAAGCTATAGCATCCTTTGGGTCTCGTCAAATAAATCATTAGTAAAAATTTGGATAGACTAACACACTAGTGCAATCTCAGACATTCTCATTTAAATAGTTCTTTTCTTATACAAAATTTACGACATCTGGTTCATAGAGATCTACAAAAACCTCTAAAATAAAAATAAGCACAGAGGGCAATATATGCAAATGCAGTGGATTTGTCTCACCGGGGGACAGGAGCAGACTTAACCAAACAATGTGAAAACTTTGTTTTTATTTGCTTATCATCTGCTATACATTTTTGTGACACTGTATCATACTGTATAATACCGTATTACTCCACAAGTAATTTACTCCCTTGGTATGACTGTAGGAGCTGACTATGAGATTTGCCCCTACGCCACCTTCAGTCTACCTACCCAAGCCATGGCGCACTCGCTACAATTCCAGACGTTTTCTCAGAGAGAATGCTACGAGGGGCTGCCAGTCAAGGAGTACCACTACTCCAGGGGTCGGAACAAACCCGGCACCTCCAAGAGTCCTCCTGACGGGCTTAGCTTAGGTACGTACAATTAGATACGGGTCCTTGCTTAGGTTCGTATTTGGGATATCTTAGACAAGGGTCCGTTGGATGGGCTTAGCTTAGGTACGTACAATTAGTAGACAACGGGTCCTTGCTTAGGTTCGTATTTGTTATACATCTTTGTCAAGAGTCCTCCTGACGGGCTTAGCTTAGGTACGTACAATTAGATACGGGTCCTTGCTTAGGTTCGTATTTGTGATACATCTTTGTCAAGGGTCCGTTGGATGGGCTTAGCTTAGGTACGTACAATTAGATACGGGTCCTTGCTTAGGTTCGTATTTGTGATATCTTAGACAAGGGTCCGTTGGATGGGCTTAGCTTAGTCTTCGTGTAACCGAGAGGACAGACATGTTCAAAGCAGACGTGTTTTCGGGCAGACCTAAGAATACTGTCTTCCACAGCAGCACAAACTCTATCGAATGATAGTTGCCTGGTGTCCGATCTGACTTTAGACAGCTTTTCAGCTACCTTTTGAATGCAGAAGCCTTTTACTAAAGTTAGTAACCCACTGCATGATTGTACTATGGGACGGAACTTCTCCACGTCGCCCAAATTAAAAGAATGCATGGAACTGCCGTTGAGTTGCAATGACTGAACCATTACTTTTTAGATATGATTTTATGGTTGCTCTGGTGTCCACTGCTCTATGACTAAAGATAATGGCAATGTGTAGGCTTTCCATTTTCCAACGAGCCGAACCCCACCACTCACAGACAGCCTATCGCTGAACAGTGAGCTGCAAAAAAATAGATCGCTTTTTTTGCCACACCCTGTACTATCATGTATCATTATTTTTATGTATCTGTATTTATTGTAATGTTGTATTGTTTACTTCAGTGAATACCCTTTTATTACCTTTAAACTATTTAAAATAACACATTTTAGTAATTTGAACTTGAAACCACATAGATAACGTTAACTTCAGTACTCAAGTTATATACCTAAATTGCTCACAAAGATTTTAAATGCAGGTTGGAGGAACTACAGTACATTTGCAGGAGCAGGTAAATCAATCACATCTTTGGAAACATTTGAGTAGAATTTTGTATCGTGTAGCTTTTGCTTGGCACAGTGTTGTAACAAAGAAATTAACTTTTTTTTGTCAATGACTTTTAAAACAAAATCTTGAAATCATCATAGCTCATAAGAATTGTAATTACTAAGAAAGGTTTACAGTCCATAATAAAAATAAAATATAAACCTTAAAAATTACACTAACATAGTAACAAATATTACAAAGATATTCTTTAACTCTCTTGATCACGTTTACAAATTTAATTTATTAAAAATCATATTATCACACAATTCAGTCAATGGGGTTAATTTTTTCATTAAATCATTTACATTTTTTAAACCTTATAACTGATTTCTTTAGGAAGAATATAAATTTCCAGTAAAACGAGGGATAGCTTGTGAAGAATGCACCTTCACTCTTGTGTTGATGAACTTTTCACAGTATTGAACTCTTAGTTGTCATATTGTATGTAAAATGTACATTGTGTGTATTTGTACTGAATATGAAATTTGGTAGTGTTGAAATTGTGGAAGTTTGTGTTTAAAAATAGTTATGTTTTGTGAGTAGAAGCTTTGGAATGTTATGGGTCGTCAAAAATAGTTTGATGATTTGAAAACGTAAGTGGCATTATCCGAGCTCAAGGTGTAGGGCGTAGGAACACAAAATTACGACTGTGAACAAATCCAAGCACGTTAGTGAGTTTTACTTTTACATTATCTTATCTCCTACAGGAAGAAATTAAGCAAGTGGCAGAAACGTATGTTTGTTACAAGCTATGAAACTAGAATTTCCACCTCAGTGAAAAAACTGAGTAATGTATATTTGTGTTTACATTTAAAGTTTAAACTATGGGAAAATAATTGGGGGCATGGGAAATAAATTTAGAGATGATTAGCAGATAATTGTTCTCTCTTGCCTTAAATTATGAGCACTAAGGATAATAATTATGAGCTTGGGAAACGATATTTTTTGGCATCAGCTTTGAATGGAAATGTCTACTCTCTGTTGGTGGGATAAGAAATTTGTTTTTTTTTCAAATTTACTACAACGTTCATCATTGACTAATTATGCTCTTAAATATGAGCCAAAAGTACAATAATTATGAATTGTTATTGACATTATTTGTACTGACTAAATCTTGTTACATCAGGGCAGGATCAACTTAAGATTAGTAAGAGATAGAAGCTGGAAGACGCAGCATCTTTCGTGTAATTTTTGAAAGTTGCTATGATAGATCAGTCAAGGCCTTAAACTTTCTCTACAATAGGCTATGTACTTCTTGTCGTAAACAATCCACTATCTATATTATTTATTTTACTAGAGCATATCAACTCCTTCAGATCTTGGAGGATCGTCTGTAAAAAAAACGTTTTGGCACAAATATTTTTTTAAATGGGAACATTATCCTGTGTCCACCTATACAAAACCATGAAACCAGACCAAACTGAGTGCAGGGAAGGTTTCAACCCAGTTGATCTTCTTTCTAGTCTTAAGTGGCTGGTGTCACCACTGAATTTCATTGCTGAATTCTTGCCGTGTCAAGTCTACACTTTTAAATTTTGACCTTTTGCCCATTCAATGATGAGGTATCCTCATAGCAAAGCTGAGTATAGTCTCACTGGTTGACCTAGAATTCACCCAACTTCCCTATTCCTGCTTGCTGATGTTGGGTTTGGCCAAATGACAATTTGAGATTTGAAATGAAAAAAAAAGATAGTAAATTCACGGCAAAACAGTTTTGTAGCCTATTCTAAACTCAAGTTATCAATTGTGAAGAAAAAAACAATTGCAACAATAAAAATTACAAAAACACTTGTTAAACTGATCCTTAATTGAGTTCTAGGTGTCAAGACTGCTTCAACAAGCAAAATAACAAACTTTCACTTTGAAACTCTGTTTTATCTGGAAAGGTATTGTAAAACGCAACAATCGCCAAATATTACTCTATTTCTCTGCATGTCTACAGAGATCTCGTGTATATCGAGTCAGCAGACGTTGCCTGTCGGACGCAAGGTGGAAGCGAACACAGCCTTCCTGTCGGACTCCGACAGTAGCGGGGGCAAACCTTCTCACCGGCGACACCCCACCCCCGCTCATAAGAACCACAGCACAGGTGAGTAGAGTGGGGCTGTGTAGTATTGTAATGCTTTAGTTATGATTTGATTCAAATTCAGACACTTTCCCTCATAAGATTTGCGTTAAGAAATGTTCCTTGAGTTTTGCCTGGATAGAAATATGCTGGATAGATATATTTTTTAGTTTGCCTCCATGGAAAAACAATGGAGTTTGTCTTGGATATATTTTCTGGGACATGTACATGGGTTCTGTTTAAAACACTGAGTACCGAGTGGTAAGAGACTATGCGTACAAAGGAGTATGACAAAGGTCTGGTAGTAAACTTTTAACACATTCACTACCTACTCAAGCCTTCAGGTTCAAAAGAATGAGATGGGTCATTTTTAAGTTAGGGCCGTTTTTTCACGTCCGCAAAGAGATTCCTCCCCACCTACTGGCATCTTATGTGTCTTCTGTTTTTTTTTTTTTGTTTTTTTTCCTGTAAATTGGTGGGAGTTATTCAATTGGCTTACACAGCAATTAAAATTGTATTTTGTATCTATATTTTTATTTTATGAATATGTAGAAATCCTTTTTCACGAAAATGTCTGACACTCAACACAGTCAAACCTCGATAACAAGTCACCCTTAAAAAGAGGTGTACTTTTAAAATCCCTTAGAATTTATTTTACCCCTAATCATGATTACATGCAAACCTCGATAAAAAGTCAACTGTGCAAGTTTTATTTAATAATCCCTGTGAAATTCTTGTTATCGAGGTTCTACTGTAGCGCTAGGGCTTATGTAGTATGTATGGAATAAACTTAACGAACTAACAATCAAACCTGGATAGGCTATGTTGTTTATCAAAGTTACATTATGATACAGTTTTTAGTTAATTTAAGACAATTTTCTTCTTTGAGAATAAGTAGCTAAGTGACATTACCTTTAATCACCACTTGAGACGGGCTTGTTCCAACTTTCCAATTCAGTTTCAACAATAAGTTTTTTTTCAGTAAGGTACACTAAATCAAAATTTAGCGTTTTTAATTTCAAAAATCTAAAAATGTTATATTTATTTAGCGTTCTATAGATTTTGCTTTTCACATTCAATCAGTGGTAATTAATTATCTTTCAAATACAGTTTTACACTTTTAATCCAAATTGTATCAACGCTGGATACTTTTAGGAGAGCTACAATTTCATTAATTTCATATATTTTTTTACAAAAGCCAAGTTTTTGGTTAGGATTGTTTTGAAGAGGAACAGAATTGAGGTAGCTTTAAGACCAGGCGCTGATAGATACCCAATAATTTTCAAACCACTCCCTTCAAATCATTTCCCCTCTTTGGCAGTAAACTTAATGTAAAACCTCTGGCAAAGATCTTTTCGTTACCCGATTGAGACCTCGCGGAGTGTAGGGACGAGCCTGTCCGTGTGGTGTGTTGTGTGTTATTTTTACGTTGTGTTGCTGCAGACTCCACAGTGTTTGAGTTGGATTCCAGCACGGAGTCTGCCGAGGCGTCGCCCCCACTGAGTCGCAGAGTGCCGAGTCGTCCCAGGTAGCGCAAGTAGGTGCATTTCAATAGCTATCACTAGCGACTTTAGCGTACGTAACACAGTTTTGAAGAATTACCCTGCATCACTGGACATTTAAGCTACAAAAAACTATTATTTTAAAAATATATTTTACCGTTCATCACTTTTTGGTACATGACACCTTAGTTTTGAAGATCTACCCTCATCTAGGTCTCATCACTTTTTTAGCCTATATAATACACCTTAGTTTGAAACTCTATCCTGCAAACCACCACTTTGTTTGCTGTAAGATTGTACAAAATCTTAGTTTGAAAAATAATATTTCCTGCTTCCCATCACTTTCTTGGACTTTTAGCATACATAACACATTGGTTTGGAATCTATCCTACACCCATCACTTTTTTAGACATTTTACTCATTTCAGCAGCTTTCAAAACACCTCAGTTTGAAAATCTAGTTCAGCTTGTACTAGCAATGGTTCTCAAATCAGCTTGTCAGCTATTCTTAACAGGTAGAATTGTCAGTTTTAAATGACGTAGCAATCATATGCCAATTCAGCTTGTAAGTTCATCTTGTTCACATCAAATTGATAAGCTGAATTGCAAATTTACACCAAGGTGACTTTATTTTGTTACTTTTATACAAAATAGTAGAAGAAATAAGTTGGAAATAGTAAGCTAATCTTAGCTAACGCTAACACACTGTTATAGTGTATAGCTAAAAACCACCTTACACTTTTCATTGTTGCTGTTGCTGGTGTACCCAATGAGACATTTGACGCAGGTCGGTCGTGCGAGTGACTGTTCAGCCACCCTCCTGCTTCTCCGACTCTAGAGAATTGTCCGAGGCCGAGTGTGACAGAGACAGAGAGGGGGGAGGGGGACTGAGACTCTTGCGACACGAGGAACTCGAGCACCAGCTGTCTACACTGGTCAACAAGTGAGTTAATTATTTAAATTAATTTTTTACGTTTCCTTTCACTTTTACTGTCCCCAATGGCCAAAGCTTGGGGAGCGAGCTGGTCTAGTGGTTAGAGCGCGGGTCTTCAGTCCCTGAGGTCCTGGGTTTGATCCCGCCACGTCACCAATGGATTTTATATATGTGATAATGCCGCAACCCCTAGGTCTAGCCTGAAGTAATGTGAAAAACAATCCCAGGCTCGTGCCTAACGTCCTAGGACAAAAAAAAATGGTCAAAGCTATTGACAACTTATCCACTGTTGTGACAATTTTAGAATTTTACTGGAATTTTGATAAGTTGGCTGACCAAAAATGTTTCAAATTTGTTGTTTACATAAATACTTCTTTTCTATGTACGTGTGTTTACCTGTTAGACTCTTTACTGTAGGTCAGGTCAAAATCTCCGGTCTTTAGGTCTAAATCAGGTTGGACCAAAATTGAGCCGGGCGAAAATCGGTTGCTTCGGAAAGTATTGATATTGATTAAATGTAAACTATTTAAAACACTCTGTAGAGTTTGACAGGCTAAGAGACACTGTGATTTAAACAATATAAATCTGTATAAATAGAGTTTTTCTCAAACTAAGAATTGTAAACACCAAATCACCAAAAACACTTTATGATTTTTTTTTTTAATGTCTTTGCAAAACCACTCCATGAATTAACAATGAAAAAATAACTTCAGGTCAAAGGTAGTAAACTAGATTAGGAATCTGTTTTACTACTACCTTCACAAAGCCGAAAAATGCAACCATATCATAAAATGTTGTTTACTTTTTTGTAGAACGTTATCATAGTGGTGAGTTCAAAGTGCTGTTTGCTAAACACATTTCTATTCAATTTGAGTATTTAGTGTTCAAAGTGTCAAATATTTAAGGATGTATTGTATAAACACAAAGTTTTTAGTTTTTGTTAATGACTCTTCTGTCACAGGTACAGACACGAACGAGACAGAGAAAAACAGGACTACACAATACATGTGTGAAAGTGAACAAAGAGACAGACTATGCAGGAGAAAAGTGGACAAAGGAACAAACTATGCAGGAGAAAAGTGAACAAAGGAACAAACTATGCAGGAGAAAAGTGAACAAAGGAACAAACTATGCAGGAGAAAAGTGAACAAAGGAACAACCTACAGTATGTAGAAGAAAAGTTAACAAGGGAACAAACTATGCAAGAGAAAAGTGAACAAAGGAACAAACTATGCCAGAGAAAAGTGAACGTGGACACTAAATTTATCATTGATCAGGTTTAAGTGTGAATAAAATAAACAGTTGTTTCGGGTCCAATCCAACAACCCCTTAAATTTGGACTTCCATCACCCTCTGTGTTACGACTAAAATCAAAATGTTGTTGAATTTTGTATGGTATAACGTTAAGATAAATTTAATAACTGTTAACATAATTAAATATTTATGGGGACTGCCTTATGTGTGTATTTACGGAGCTTAGATTATACTCTGAGAGGTTTAACAGATGTTGCTAACTGAATCACTGTAAATAGTTCACTAAGTTAAGGTTTTGTAAACATATCATTTATATACATGTTTCTAAGAAATAAACTTTTTTTGATTGGAGATACTGTCTACAAGAAGTAAACAAATAGTGACAAAATTATGAGTTTTAATACCCAGAAAAATCTAAGACTGAACAAAATCTATAATATTAAAACGAAACAAGAGTTTTTTTATTTCACGATTCTGAATCAACCACTCGACGGATTTTCATGATTTTTGTGTTGAAAGAAAGATAATTTTGAGAACTAGGGAATGTCGAAGCCATAATTTTAGTTTAGGGTCCCAGTTTTTTAGAAATTAAGTTTTAATTTTTAAAAAGTCTAGCAGCCGACGCTAGCAATTTAAAGTATTTTTAATGCTGGTTTAACTAACAGCTGGTTTATAACTGCCATTGAAATGTTTATGTTACGAGTTGTTTGTTTACAAAAATATTGTTCGTTGGCGTTTGCCTACATACTATTTCCCTTAAAAATTTAGGTAGTTTTCCCCTACCGTGAAGGATCTGCGTTTTCAGGAAATGTGTTATTTTGAACTAAACATCTCAAACACTTGCATTTACTCAAGTTTTGTCGTAAATGCAATCTGTGTAAGTATTTAGTTTATGCATTGCAAATTTCAACTCATATTTGGGAAATATTTTTTCAGCAGTTTATCGCTTAATTGTTTAAGATATACGTGGTTTACGTACCTACTTCTGTGAGTATGTCGGCATACTAAAATTTTCGTTAGTAATGAAAGCGTCAATCGGTGTAGTAGGTCTCTATAAAACTGTCAAATAAACTGCAGGGTGCAGCAGAAAACAAAGTCGACTCATACCATACCCACTATCCCCGTAGTACTGATGATTCAGAAACTTGGGCACTGACCATAGAACCAAAAAACCTTAATGCTGGGTTAGATAATAAAGTGCAGAGAAAATATACAGACCAGTTCAAGATAACGGCCCGGAGGTCGAAATACAAAAGAACAGAGAGATAAGAGAAATGTGTTAACACCCAAATATAGGAATGCTTTCCAGAAGTAGGTACAGCTTGGATGGACAGGCTGTGCATAAACTTGTAAAAAGTATATTCAAAGGAGTACCACATGATAGACGGGAAATATCAAGTTATGAAATGCATCCTCAGACTGGGATCTAAATTTTGAAGAGGCAGGTGATAGAAGAGAATCCTCATAAAAGTTTCAGTGGTCACGGAGGTACGGTAAGTACATAAGTAGTACAGTATGCAATTGGAGGTGGCATGTAGCTACTCTACTCAAAACAAGTGTGAATCGGTTGCCAATCTCACTTCAAGATTTTTCAAATCGACACAAATGCTGTTTTATGGTAAAATTATCGGATTTAAAATGCATATCGCCATATGTAAGGTCTATATTCGAATTGAATAAATAGGTGGTCACGTTACATTGTTTATAAGGTAATCTTCCCCATTAAAACTGTCAGAATTGGTGTCTATGCGTGTAAACTAGATGTTCTGAATTATTCCGTTTTAGTTGACAACTCGATTCCCGTACGTAGGACGGGCCACCAGCTCGTATACTTTAATCTGGAAGCTTTGGTCTACTTCTATTTTCAATGGTTTAAAGGTTGTTAGTATAAATTTTAATATTTTGAAAACCGTAAATTTTTTGGACCGTGTATCTTAATATTAGTAAACTTTCATACCACGCACATTTCTAGGTAGTTCAGTGTGGTCACAGAACTCCTTTCCCGTTTTTCCATTTTACCTGCTTTTCTCATTAGCAAAACCTGTCTTTCCCAGTTACCAAGTGTACCTATTATCAGGAATCTGAATTTCCCCAATATATTATTATTTTTGGGTACCAACAGTTAGCTCAAAGGATCAGTTGGGCCGAAAATGATGCCAAGCTCGGGTAGAGTTGAAACAAGCTTAGAGTATATTTCTATTTCTGCAATGGTGGAAAGCATTTGCTAAGATGCTTGATCAAAAATTGACGACATCATTGTGTTCGCGGGTGTCGTTCACAGTTTTTCCGTGATTGTGGGAGGCAATGATGTCACCATGACTGTGGAAGATGTTCAAAATTGAGCATGCAAATGTTGTACACCGCTGGGTGTTAAATTCTTCAAATTTTTTCTTAAATCTACATTAAAACAAAACGACAACAAAATCAGATTTTTCCATAAGCTTAAAAATAAAACTTTTAGATCGAAGATAAGTTTTCCCAGTCTGTGGCCACCCTGTAGTTACTACAGTAAACTACTATCCAAACATGTTTAAATTTAAATCGATTAGCCTCTGGTAGCAACACCATAGTATATGGAATCAAATACAGACGCCAGCAAAATGAATATAAATATTCAAACTGGAACAATTGCCTATTGAATAATTGCCTATTGAACAATGCCTATTTTAACAGTAAAAGATACAAACAGCAAAAATGTAATACATAGTCACAACAAATTAAGATAGTTTCAGGGTAATAAACTCTCTATAAACTGTTATATGAATTATTTATTTCTATTTTATCAACAAAACATTGATGTGTCTTTATAAATAATGAAAATAAAACAGCCTTATGAGGTTGCTCTAAGGAAATACAAGTACTAATAAACAATAGACAAGACCAAACAAACAGTTACAAAAATATCGGATGCAATTTGTATCACAATTTGATATATTCGGTTTAGAACTCATAAGAAATTCAATGCAAATAAATCTTACACCTAATCCAATTTTGTTTTCAGTTAAATTAATTATCATCCGAATTAAATCATAATTTAACTCGATTAGTCCTACCATGTAACATTAAGTTTAACAATTGGTAACGATGATGGGTAAATGATAACCGTTGAGATATGATATGGGAGTTGAAACAATCGTGATAGATTCGAACAACCAATCGTACATAACAGCTTAGTAAACCTATACAATGTTTGTAACAATTTCAAACGAAAGAATATCGTAAATTTTCCCTAGAATAATTCAGGCTTTACATAATTACTAATGATCGGTTAGAACACTGACTCGATAGTAGTGTAGTAATACGCCCTGTGAACACAATAGGCCAAACAGACATTAGAATAGAGTAGCCATAGACAAAGAGAGAGAGAGAGATAGGTTTCTTTGGTTTATTAGGATAATTTCATTAAGGGGTTAGTAAGAAAGCTTTTGAAATCATAACACTGCATTACATTTCTGAACAACCTGATTTAGAATTACTGGTGTAAAATGCAAAAAAATCTATTTGTTTTGATATAAAGAACTCTTTGCTGATATTAACAAATTTCAAACCAGATTTTTCAGAAATGTATTTATTAAGGCAATATGAATTATTGATTATGGCGGTTCTAGATGTGAGTTCATATGTTCAAAAGTCTTGCAAATTTTTTTTTGTTTTTGTTCGGTGAAAAACTGAGTAGGTTATCCAACTAAACGGTTCAATTAACCGTTTAATTAATGGTTTGGCTAAGTAATTAAGCTTGAATAGTTCAGTTAATGGTAAATAGACTAAATAGATAACTTTTCAAATTAGGTTGACATATTGATACAGAACAGAATCATTTATATACATGAATCCAAAGAATTGTATGGCTGGCATATGGTATGTCCCTCCACTTAAACCTTTTGAAAAAAAATTAAAACTCAGTTTTTTTTTTATTGGAGAAAATAAATTTAAAATATAATGGCTGACACAAAATTAGGAGGATGGATTTTATATAGATTGTATAATGATTTTCACTTTTAGATAGCCTAATTACATCTTTGCGAGAAACACCATCACCAATGGAAACATATTACATTATTAAGTTTGTAAACATTTCGATATTCATATCAATTATATACTGTAAGCATTTTTAAAGCTAAGCTAAATAATTTTCTGAAAAAGAATCAACTTACTTCCTCTCAGGCTATGAAAGCTTAAAACTTTAGAGACAAATTTACAATTCTGTGCGCCACTTCTGTATCTATACAACTAGATCTTCAATAATTGATTTTGTACAGATAACTTTTAACTAACATTATATCATTAACAATTATACATATTTATAACCGTAACACCCATAGCTACACAAGCCATAAACAATATGGCAGATTTTTATTTGTAATTCTATTTTGTCGATACAGATCGGTTTTCAACTTAATTAATTCTGGTTTTCAATAATCAGCTATTGTACTAATTAAAACTTTAAAAGCTGTAACAACGATACAAAATGCTGGATTTACAAATGTAGCTCGAACGATACCTTGAAAGTGTAACTTAATGAGTATGGTCATGGAAAAAAATATCCTCTGGGAAAAATATTAAAACCAAAGTTACAAATATTTACAATTAGTTAACAGCCCTTGTGGGAATCGTAAACAGTCAAAATATTTACAAATATGTTATGGATTTTGTACTCTGAATTTACCCTGGGTCCATCTGCAAGAAAACACTATACACTTTGAATATTACAGGGGTTATTGAGTTTTGGTGTTTTCAATTTATACACGATTAAGTCTTAAAGTTTTGAACTATGCCCAGAAACAGTATGGAGTTCTATGTATTTGACAATTAGATATTTAGTTTGACAAAACACATTATAATGGTGGATTGGAGGTTAAATGCAAGTTTTGTTTAAGAACTAAGAATTTTATGGACCATCTTATTTACAATGAAATAATTTTAGTGTCAACCTTTGAAATCTAGTGCGAGTTTTCAGGATAGCTGTGGGCAAGGATATTATAGTTAAGAAGATATTTCTCTGTATTTACCAACGTTAAACTGATTTTGATTTATATATGGATTGTGTACAAAAATTTCACATTGTTTTCATTCTTTAAGTTGTTTTACACAATTATAGATTTCTAAAGGCTTAGAAGCTCATTCTGAAATCTATTGAAATCTTTAAAAAATAACATATTTTACTCTTCAAATAAGTCCTCATAGTACTGTACCTTTACAATTTTAAAGTATTCTCAGTCCATCTTGAGATAAAACTTTATCCGAAAGTATAACTGTTCCAACAAACATTCTCCAATTACAATCGATCAAAATTAAATTCATTTTACCAAACATGACCATATCCATTAGGCACTTGAATCATAAAAAAACCACTGTCAAAAAGGTGTGACTCGCCAAATGCTACTGTTGGCCCCATTACATCAAACAGCTTTTGCAAACAAGGTTAAGTCGGAAAACTGACGGAAATCACAAGATCGGCACTGTACAACAGGGACGCAGTTTTAGGCTTCCGCCTAACGTTATTGTCACGATGTTGACACCACAATACGCTAACGACACGCTAAAGACCAACGTTTAGAATACTATTTGGTAAGTTGCTTGCAGTTATTGCTCGGAAAGCTGTCTTTTATGTTTAGATCTGTCGGTAGCACACTGTGTCCTCACCGAATCACTTCCGAAGGAATGAATTAGACACTCACTATGTATATATTAACAGTATCAATGTACATCGGAGAAGTAGCGAACCGCACATCGACTAAGCTAACGTAGATGCACAGTAGAAGGCAGTGGTCGATAAAACCGACGGAGAGCAGAAACCAACGGACAAGCTTGTGTTGTGCGTATCAAATTCAACTAATCGATGCACTGCTAACGTAGTTGGAAATAAATAGTGGTCAAACAGTCCCTGAGATCACAGAATGATTACAACCTTCCTTCATGTTCTAACGTGACGAGGGGAGCTTCTCTGTCAAACGCTCGATTCTGATCCTGTTCTATCTTCATTGTCCAGCTGTTCTTGATCAATCTGAAAAGTAAGATTTAGAAAGTTTTGATACCATAAAATCTTTCAATAAATGCTATTGTCATTGTGGTTTCTAAGTGTAATGTCAAGTTTACATGCTGTGCTTGGTAATAAATGAACAGCAAGTATAGGCAGGTTATATGCCTCAGTTACTGTATTTTAAGTTACCTATGGCAGGTAACCTGCCTGACTATTGGCCTGTAAATACAGCTTTAGGAATTTCACTTGATCTTACAGGGATGAACACTTAGTAGGCCTATGGATGTGATTTAAATTTACAATAAGCTTAATCTACGTGAACGTTGAACATGATCTTTTTAAGTCCAACAAAGGAAAGCTGCATGTCAATAGAAAAGTCAAGTCACTTTACCAGTAAAGTGCAAGTTAATTTAATGTGATAAATAAAAACTAGGTACTAAAAGAAAGTTGCTGACTAAGGTAATTGTAAGAGATTGTCTGAATCGGTAGAAAAAATCAAACTCAGCTTAAATAGAACACGTTACTGAAAAATCACTGGTTTAGTGCAAAAAAAATATCTACGCACCAGTTCAACATACCGCCCTACAGCTATACCTACGGCTAAAAATCCAAATTAATTCAATAAACATTCTTCTCTCAAAACTGTAGTATTGTTCATTGGCTCAGAATACGTCAATGATACTAGCGTTACATTTTATCTAAACCTTTAGAAAGTAATTTTGCAGACATATATTATTTCTTTGCCTGCCACAGAACACGTTATCATTCACAAAAGAAGCTTTGTCAAGCAACAGTAGTTCATTATTTATACTAGAAGTGCTTTCATGCTTTATATTTAACTGTAATCGCTGTTGTGCTGTTTAAAACATCACACTTTTCTTTGTATAAGACAAGGCTCTAAGTGGTGCATAAACAATTTAATTGTGTTGGTTATTGACAGTTCTATGGGTATTTATGTCTGATTTATATCTTTTTACCTGAGAGAGAGCTTGGAGGGAAGAGAGAGAAGACTGGGAGAGACTAAGTTCTCCTCCCGAAGTGTTGAGAGGGGGAGGGGGTGCGTACTCTTGCATCAAACGCATGCTATGTTCAGTCTAAACAAAACACATTGTCTCATATTAATAATAGTAAGTGAATAATATTAGTTGTTTTAAATTATTACCCATACCCATTTTATACATGTATAGGAGAATGGAGGAATAAATTAAGCAGGTAAACGCCACAAAAGATTTAGATACTGTGAGCATTAAAACTTTGCCTCGGTGCTATAAACTGCCACCTCAAGAAAAATATATAAATGTTGTTTTAATAAACTGTCACAACTTGCCAACAGACACCTAAAAATCCAACCATTTTAGCTGAAACCCAAACTAAATCAAAAGTTGATAAATGTGAAAGTTTGTGTGTTTGTTTGAAGTTCAATCACGCATAAACCACTGGACAGATTGGGCTGAAATTTGGTACGATGATAGCTCACATTCCCGATTAACATATAGGCATATTCTTATGTCAAAAATACTTTTGGGCTCCGCCCCAACGGCTCTGTAGTTCCCCCTGTTAACCTTACGAGTATTCATATTTAAAGGGAATTAACGAATTTAGTCAGTTGTTTCAACTAAAAAAAGTTGGTTCTATGATATTCAAAAGCAATAAAAAGTTATAAGATTTACCAACAGGGCACTATACATTTTTTTGCATTGATGTTAACAGTTAATTTGAACTAAGCTGAAACAAAAACTGTGATACGCAATGAGAACTGTCAAAGTATGATTGTTTACAGTTATGTTTATGTTTTTAATGTCATGAATATAATTTGTGATTTTTTGTGAATTCGTAATAATTTATTTTTCTTTATTGTTTAGGTGAAGTGGTAGAACATTATGGCTATGGTAGATGTGTAATACCATTAGTATACCGTCAATTTAAAGAAGCAAATTTTATCAAACTTTGTCCTCCCCCATTGCAAACGCAAAGCTTGAGTATAACTGCAATAAGCATTTTAAAATTATATGCCAACCCCGTACGAAGGACGGGTACTCTGCTAGTGAAAAATAAATCAATCTTATTCATGGGTTTAGTATGTTAATTTGTTGTTCGATGTAAATATTTTATTCTGTTACTTTTAAATTTGACAAGCACATGATACTCTTTCCTTTTACACTGCATCACTGTATTTGTTGTGTTCTTTGACATTGTCTATAGCAATGTAATGTTGACGAATGGTAAAGAAATTCTGATTCTGAAGGAGACAGGCAAGTCTTATACCTCTTGTTTCAGCCTCTCCATCAGTCGAGTGCGGTCTGCGCGCAGCTGCTCTGCCTCCTGCGCGTGTCGCGCAGTACGCAGACCTGACACTTCTAGTAGCGCAAGGTGAGCGTCTTTCTCACTAATAGCTGCCTCAAGAGCTTCCTGCCTACAAACATTCTTGGGTTAGCTATCATTGACTAGGTTCCAACCAACTGCTGACATGTGAATATTATTAAGAAGAAATTCAATGAGGTCTCTAAGAGAAAGGAAGGCAAGGCTTCTTTATTATTTTTTTTACTTGATGGCCGGCTTAGGCTCCAAACAACCTTAATGTGGATCACAACATGGATATAAAGAAATTTTTCAATGGTGTAGAGTTTTAGGTACCTGCTGAAGTATACGTATCCCATATGTGGCCCACCTATAGCCAATTTTTAATTTAGCTACCGTATTTTGACATTAGCATAATTAATAACTCAGATATTTAATTAGAAAGACTTATTGATGAGTCTTTGTTAAAGTATGGATGCTGTGGTTGATAAAAAGTTGTCCTCGGATCTAGTTTGTTGAAATGTTGGGGTCACTCCAAAAGAAATTGAAGTAAGCGCACTCCGTCCGTGGCACAATATGTCGTTCATTTTATTCTAAAACTACCTGCAGTTTTAAAACAGGGATGTGATTTACACTTTTAACAAAGGTCAAGATGTAGATGGCTACAAAGAACCATTTGTCAGTTATAAGTATAGACCTCTGATTAAAATCAGCTGAGATATTCTGACTGACAGACTAAAACTTTTTATCATCGACACTTAGGTTTTTTTGTGTGTTTACAGTGTGATATATTTAAAGCCATGACAGTGGAAATTTGTAAAAATACTATGTGTAGGGCAAGCAGGATAAGGAGGTGTCCACCGTCCATCAAATGTTTAGGACAAAAGACACTGTTTAGGCCTATCCTTCTCACAATTCAATCAGCTATCCTTGGATTTGAAAGCAAACGGAACACCACTTATGCATCCCAGTCAGTTACATGATTTATGTATAAGTTATGAAAATGCATGATTTATGTATAAATTATGAAAATGCATAAAAAAAGAAATTTCTCGAACATTACTCTTTCAATACTTTTCAGATTTGGTTTGGCAATCAGAAAAAATCTGATGCTGTGTACTATTTTCCCTTTCTTTGATACTTTGCACTTGTCTACAAAAGAATTGGAATTAAAAGGGTTGGAGGGAGGAATAAAAGCTACAGTTATTCCTACAATTTCTATAAATGAAGCACTAGTCATAGCAAAAGATTTGACTTGAAGATATAAGCTTCCATAGTCAAGTTGTGCCAACGGAATCTTTCTCCTCAAGTGACTAAGTCTTAAAACAGAATACTTTATTGATGCATTGCATCAATTCATCTTAGACCAAGATTCGACAAAACATCCCAACACAGAATACTGCCAGGTTATGCTGAATCGTACTTCATCTGAGTGAGATCCTGCAGATGTTCTGCTCGTTCGTCCAGTAGCTGAGTCAGTCTTCGCTCTAACTGCTGCAGTCTGGTCAACAACGGTCTGCAGTTGCTGCATCGCAGAGCGTGAGCCGTCTGTAGCGATAACAGCCTCTGCTCCAGCTTGCCTACCTACAGGGGACAAGAGAAACGTGATAACCTCATAACAGGACATAACCTAAAAAATATTACCAGAGAAAAAAATCCGGTCCTGGATGGATTAATAACTTATGATTTCTATTACATATTTCTCCACAAGTTATAGTACCTTTTCCATGATCTCCTTGCGCCTCAGCTCCTCCTGCTGTAGCCCTCTCTCTCTATCCGCAGTGATTCTCACACTCTCCCTCAAAGCCTCCTCGAGTTCCTCGATGCGGTCCTCCTTGAGTCGCACCACACTCAACAGTTCCTCGACCTCGTCCACTCCGTTCTCCCAACCATCCAGAGGAGTGTTGCCATTCTGCTTCAGGGATTAGGTAATAAGGAAACAAAAGAAGCAAACAAAAACAAAAAACAAAAACCAAGTAAACCGTGCTAATACTGAATTATTAAATGCTTATGATTGCTTCGTGTGACTGCACCGATTTTCAATTTACAATTCGGTTCTCAAAGTAATCAACAATAACAACTTTTAACTACAGACTCCCTCTAACAATGAAATAATCCTCCAAATTATAAAATATTCCTCTAGGTATTAAATTGCTTCTATTAAAATAAACTTTTCAAGAAACCGGCTGGACCAGCCTGATAAGCGCAAAACAAATGTAAATAATGTAAAATAAAGAGAGGTCATAGGAGAGGGGGAGGAAAAAGAAAGAGCATTAGTAATGCAATTGTATGCTTAAGACATAAGTGTTCCTTAAATATAAGGTAGTAAGATGGCTATTTACATTACTGGTAAATTACTGACTTGATTAGTTTAACTAAAAAATAAGTTGCAGGAAAACAACTTCATTTTATCTACAAGCATTTTTAGTTAACTTTAATTAGGGTACTTCAAAAATTGGAGAAGAAAATATTTTAAAAGATGCAGTGATTTACAATTAAATTCTAAACAATACTATTTTTAGGTTAACCAGATGTTAACTAACTGTTAGAAGTTAACCGATTTTACTTTGAAAAAGGGTACTTTGAACCATTTAACAAGGTCTTTGCTTGTTGTCCATTGTACAGTTTTGTTTTAAGTTGTAAAAAATAATCATGATTATGGTAATAAAGCATTTTTATCTGGTCTATTCTATCCATCCTCTGAAAATGAATGCAAAAACAAATACTCTGAGGAAAAATTAAACTTTTCCATTGATCTTACTTCTTCTGCTTTCCGTGCTTGTTCTCTTTGTGCATTGGCAGTTTGTTGGCTTCTTAACTTGGCTTGTGCAGTCTTTAAAGCTCTGTAAAAAATGGAGTAAGAATAAATTTAATCACATAACACTGTAAATTTGGTTTTACTTAAGAAAATGAGTGGTTAGTTGTATTTGTATACTTATATATTATTCATTTTATAGATTCTTCAACCAGCCATCAGAGATATATGAAAAGTATAATTAATCAATCATTAATTTGGGTCCATGTCGTTCAGATTAATGAATAAAGATCTTCAAAGATGAATATCAAGTATTTTTCACAGGTTAATTAAAAAAAAAACATTAAATTTTTAAGGTTGCTGTTTTAACCTTGCATTTCTCGATGTAGGCCTCGGAGCATGTCAAGAGAAGAAGTGATTTGGTACAGTACACAAATTAACTGTATTGATAAGATTTAGGAACCGGGAACCGAAGAATCGCTATAGTTCGGCCACTTAGAAAGCGACCTCCTCCAGCATTGGTTTAGCATTAGCGCGCAGGTCGTTTTCTAAGCAGCCGAACTATACATACATATAGTTCCAGTCAATCAAGCTACTGACTGGACGACCGACTCACAAAAGAATTGTCGCACAGGTCTTTATTCTGTGTGTGTAACATTTTAGGATAAACTAAATAAAGAATAGGAACTGTACTGATAACGTTTTGTATTAGAACGTACAAAATCGCTACCTACAGTTTCATTACCCCACTATGACTGAAAGATAGACTACATAGTCCTGAAGTGTTTGAGGAACTTTTTTAGCTAAGAGATTGACTGAACAAAAATGAACTGTGTACTGAAAAATCCTATTGGAACCAACAACATCGCTACGAGTTCCATCACGCTACTGACTGAACGACCGACTCGCAAAAGAATCACAAATCACTCACTGTTGTAGATCACTGATTGCCTTGTCCTTTTGGTTGTGCTCCTCCTGACTCATCTGTACCAGTTGTAACAATCTCTCCATTTCCTCTTGTGATCTCTTTATCTCGTCTCGAGATTTCTCCAGTTCCTGGCGAAGGACTTCAGCTTCCACTTCTAGTTTCTGCATAGCTTCAGTTCCACCGCCTGCCTGAGGGCCTCCCTGGAATGTCAAGTGTGTTTCGTTATAAAACTTATTAAATCGCTGAAAGATTTTTGGAAGGATAGCAGGCTTACCTGATTAGGAATGAGTTCTAGATCAAGAAACACAAAAATCCTTACTACACAAAAGTAAGATTATGTTACCCTCAGTGACAGCATTTTCTAGTTGGGAAGAGAATTTCTTCAGGTCTAATGGTCAACAGTCACTCATGACCAAATTCCAAACTTCCTTGGATCAAGATGATGTCAGTGGCAGTGAAATTATTAAAAATTTATCATGGTATATATTTGTTTTTGTATCTTTATAACCTTTTGTATCTGTAAGTTTTAAAGTTTCAGAAATAAGGTTACTCCCAACAGAAAGATTATTCAGCAATAATTTAATAACGACTTTCCTATTTAGCCATAATTGAATTATCACTGGCGATTGTACACCACATACATTGAAAGATTGATTTGAACAACTTTTTTAGCTTTACTTTGTATGCGACAAACATTGATCTTTTTAGCAAAGTGAATATTCACCTTCTGCAATTGTGCTTCTCTCTGGTCAAGATTTTCTTTTCTCTTTTTGAGTTTCATTTCGTAGTCCGCTAATGACTTCTCCTTTTCTTCTACTTGTTTTACTTTAGTGTCTAGTCCTTTCCTGTGCTCTTCTATCTTTCTTCTCTGTTCTTCTAACTGTCTTTTCTGTTCTTCTACTTGTTTCTTCAAAACACTACTTTCTTCGCCAGCTTTCGCTGTGCCAGCTGCGAGTTTCTGGTTTGCTGCGTGAAGTTCCAGCTAAAAATAAATACAAAAGTAACATTTAGTTTGTGAGATTAGAGGTAAAAATAGGTTGAATTGAATTTAACATGAATATTGTTTTATTATCTCTTTACTGTTGCTTTACGAGAGGATATCTTCAAGTTTGAAAATTTTTTCCAGAATAAGTTTATATTAATTTATTGTAAAACTCTAAATCAAGGCAGAAACACCTATGCTCTATATTGTTTAGTATTTTAAATATTCAATATTTTCATTTGATCAAAATACTTTTCATTAATGGACCATATATAATTTTACAATATTAGTAATTTAGGTTTTAAACAATTTATTTGAATTTTTTGAAACAAATTTTTTAAATGGTGTAAGAATACTATTATTGCGGTATTGTAACACAATAAAAATGTATACAATTTATTGATGTTTTCAAGATTGCAGCGATATTTTTATAGAACAATAGTTTCTATATTAGAAATTGCCTGTTTTTCAAACCTCTGAATTTGTGTGCAGCCACTGTTACCAATGAATTATTGTCAAGGACATCTCTGTTTATTAAGAAACAAATTTGTTGCTTTGGTAAATCTGAGATTTATGCTAATATAGGTACGCCAATACATAGATAACATGACAGCATAAATCTTAAAATGCATTAACTGCAATAATATAAAAAGAAATAATAAACAATTAGCAAAATTGAACAAGCAAACATTTTAACACCCAAGTGCAATACATTTTTGGAATACATACTAAAATGTAGTGCTCAAAAGTATAATAATAGAATATAAATTTGCTGATGTGGTTGTCCTTCCATTACTCAATTATTGCAAATTCATATATAAATACAATAAAATAAAAATATAGTTTGGATTTTGATTTTATTATTGAATCTGATGTTCGAATAAATGCTACCGTACAATTTATTCTAGTTATTTTTAATTATATATATTTGTTATGTTTGTGCTCATTTGATTTGTGCTAGTTGAATTACTAACCTGGATTCCATTAAAACATTTAAAGTGACATGGAATATAATCCCACTTCATAATTGTATAAATCATTGACCATTCAAGTTAAACGATTGTGAAAGTAAGTGCCATCATAAGTGGTGTGATAACATCAATATGAACAATACATTTATTTGTTTTGCAAATATTGTGACACCCAGTAAACATTCCAAATAAAGACAGCTGTTTTATCATCCACCCATCTCATCTGCTTGAAAATTCAAATTTGAAATTGACTTTTATTTGATAGGCGTAAAGAAGGGCCGAAATTCAACATATAATTTTTTCTATGTTGTCAAATGATAACAACATATTTCCTTTTTGCTCCGTAGTGCCTCAAATAACTCTCAAACAGCTGTCTTAAAACATGATTTCCAGAAAAGAAAGGTAATTTTTATTGTGCCATCGCCGTGCAAATTGTGTGCAACGCACAGTATTCCATGCAGAAGAAGAACAAAAGGAATAGTTAAATGTATTAGTTGTGGCTGTCCAAGACATAAATTAAAATACATATGTGTCAAAAAACATGTAAAATGTGAACATTTAGTGTACGGTACTTACCTCAAACTATCTACATTGAAAGCTTAATGATAATTAATAACTGTGTGCATACAAGTAAATTAAAAGTAAACTAACTTAAAATAAAATTGAATATTGAAGAACATAACTGGAGGGTTGGAGGATGCCCAGTATAAAATATTTCAGCAACAAACCAATAATAGACAAATTATAACTAACAATCACTGGAAATTATCTTTAACCATGGATCCTACATACTGAAGTAGACATTGCTTTTATGTTCAGATTTTAGAGTAAATCATGTTTCAAAGATGAATTAACATTTGACATGGACTATTGGATACAGAAGAAGACACCCCATCTACATGGACGAGCTGTCCCCAAATTTATATGGGCTCTCTTTAACTAAGCCCATTTTGATTAAAAACTGGTGACAGATATAACATGGAGAGAGAATGTCCAGTTGTATCAATAGTCAAAGGTAGTAATTAATGCAATAAGATATGACTATTGCTACCTAGAAAAGTATTAATGGAGGTTGACCACTTTTCAAAAGTTTAACTTTACGTAATAGTCAAATTTTTTTAATATCCTTTTCACACAAAGCTGTTACGCTAACTTAAGGCAGCATAGTGTCTATTTCAATATGTAGTCAACAGCAGCACACAGTGAAAATCAAAATAATGCCGTTCTAAACATAGAGACTGATATAAATAATATTCTACCCATAAATTTCAAACAAGAGAGAAGACAGAGAAAGAAAATCGTGTAAGATACAAAACATCCATTGGGTAAACAGATCCTGCCAATAGTTGGACGATCCTCCAACTAACCTGGTTCTTCTCCAACTCTTGACAAAGCATCTCCAGTTGGGCTTGGAACCTTTCCCTCTCAACTGCTGCACTCTTCAGTTCAGCCTGAGCCCTATCCAACTCATTCAACAACCTCTGAACGTCTTCCTTGGCTCCAGAGACTCCGGTTTGTTGATTCTGAAGCTCTCTCTCCAACATCTGAACTCTCTTTTGAAGTGCTTCAATAGTTTCCCTAGCCTCCGCTTGTAGCGCTTGCAACTGTTTTTCAAGAGTTTGATTTTGTTTCTCAAGAGCTTGATTTCTTTTTGCTGTTTCATCTTTGGTTCCGTTCTGTGCTTGTTGCATCGACTGCAGTTGTTTCTGCAGCTCGTCAGCTCTTTTGCGTTCGGTCTCGATGGCTTTTCTCCATTGCTCACTCTCAGTTTCTTGCATGCTGCTGATTTGTTGCAGCTGTTGCTGGTGTTGTTGCAGTTGCTGTTGCAGTTTTGCCAATTCTCTGTCTTTGTTTTGCAATTCGTGCTGAAGTTTTACCACCTCCTGCTCTTTGGAAGTGATCGCCTGTTGCATCTTATTGAGTTCCTTATCCATACCTTCTTTGCCTGCTTCTTTTGCTAACAATCTACGGATTTCACTCTTTAATTTTACATTTTCATCCTTTTCTCTCTCGAGATGGGCTTCTGTGTCTTGCAATTCTCGCTGGAATGTCACTAGCATATTTTGAGATTTTTCTAACTGTAGTACCAGCTGGTCCCGTTCAAGAGTCAACTGGTTTCTTTCAGCTTCTAGCTTAGCAAATTGTTGTTCCAATTTTTCAGCTTGCTGCTCCCTCTTTTCTAAGATTGAAGCCATCTTATCTTTTTCACGAATCGCGTGAGTTTGCTCCTGTTGTATCTTAGCCATCTCTTCTCTTATCCTAATATCTATATCTTGCCTGGAACTTTGGGCTTGCTCAAGTGCTCTTCTGGTCTGTTGTATTTCTTTCTCTAACTGTAACTTTTCTTCTGAATACTTACGATTTTCTGCTTGAGCTTTTTCTAGCCTTTCATGCAATTTGGAAATGTCAGCACTCATTCTATCAAATTCTATCCTGGTAACCTCATTGTTTTCTTGATACTTTCCTAAATGTTGCTGTGACTTTTCTAATTCTCTTATCAGTCTATTGTTTTCTAGCTCTAACCTTTCCTGATTTTCCTGTAATATTTCCACTTTATGCCGTAGCCTTTCCACTTCGGCGTCCCCAGCAGCACCTCTACCGCTGTAATCAGAGAGCAATCTCTCGTTTTCAACCTGAAGTCTCTCAATGTCACGAGAGAGTTTGCCTATTTCTACTTCCGCTTTGTCTCGAGCCTGCTGAGTCTTATCTAACCTGTCTCTTAGTCTCTCCAATTCCATGTCTGAACCTCCTCTACCAGCCAAGTCTGACCTTAGTCTGTCATTCTCTATCTGCAGTTTTTCTTGCCTATCTCTAACCTTCTCACACTCAATGTGCAAGCGCTCTACCTCCATGTGGTGTTTTTCTTGTGCTTCTACATATTTACCTATTTCACTACGACTGATCTCAAGTTCTAACTGCATTTCCGTCATCCTGTTCTCAATTTTTTCGTTAGCTTGAGCCAGTCTCTCACTTCTCTCCTGTTCGTGTTGATATTTACCTCTCAGGAGGTCTGCTGCCTCTCGTAGTCGTTCCAGTTCCTCTTTGTTTCGTTCCTGAGAGTCCTGGTATTTCCCGGCTCTGGCAGCGTGCCTCTCTGCTTCTTCCTTCAGAGCTTCTGCTTCAGATCGATATCTATCAGCTTCCAACTGAGCTTTCCTCATTTCTGATTGCATCTTATCTTGTTTGTCATAAACCTTTTCGAGCTCTATCGAAAGTCTTGCCAACTCTTCCTGAGCTTTCTCTTGGGCAGCTTGTGCCTTACTGTACATGGCATGAGCTCTCTCTAGTTCAAAAGACTGTCTGTCAGCATCTGCTTGTAGTTTATCCCTCTCTCCTTGAACACGTCTCAGTTCTATCTGGGACTTGTCATAACGTTCTCTCATCATATCCAAGTCAACCATAACTCTATCCATGTCTTCTTTGAATTTATCTTCATTCTCCTTGGTTCTACCAAGCTGCAGTACAGCTCTGTCGTACATTTCTTGTAATCTCGCCATTTCTTCTTGCAACTTTCTTTGTTCCTCTCTTGCTTTTGTGCTTAACAACTGTGATTTCTCAACTTCCATTTCGATTCTATCTTTTTCTGTTTCTGCTGCCTCGAGTTTGTTTTGCAAACGATAGATTTCACCTTGGCATCTGAAAAATATAAATAAAATATATAAGAGATACTTTCTTAAAAAAATATGTGTTTAGAGGTAAAATTTTAACTCTATTTAATGCCTCACATTAAATTTACCTCTATTTTAGCTCCACATTAATGTGTTGTTTATATATTTATTTTTAATTTATTTGAAAATTTACTTTAAATTATAACTTTAACATTTAAAATTGATACTAAAAAGAGGCTTTAATTTTAAAAAGTCTGGGTTAGGTATAATAAGGTTGAAAGTCTAAAGCTACGTCATAACTTTTAAGATTATCAGAGAGGTTAACGTACAAAGTAAAAAGTACCAATAGAAAGTACGGTACAAATTATTTACAAAGTATTAGCATAGACTAACCAACACAAGTAAACTTTTCATCCCATTGTAAATTTTGAAGCACGTTTTTCGTGTCTAGTTCATGTACGTGACACAAAGGCGCTAGTGTCGACGAAACTTTGTTTCTATGATTTTAGGGTTATTTTCTTGATTTGTGCTTTACTGTTTGGTTATATAACTAGGGGACAAGTTATTGTTTATGATTAGATCGTATTATTTGGTTAAACGAGGTTTTAAATGGCTGTAATAACAGGAAACAAATTGTAAACAAAACACGACCTCTACATAAACCGTACAGAACTAACAATAAAATTGTCTTCAGCTGTTCCATAAGGATGAGAAATCTACTAAGGGAGTATGTTTTATCTATGGTATTAGTCACTGTCCTCATTAAATCTTATGAACACATAATTTATTCTTTGTAAAAATCGAGGATACTTCATAGTAAAAGAATAAATGAAAAACTTTACCACCTGAATTTATATTGTCTTTTACTAATAAAAAGAGTAAACTGTTAATTTGAAACTAATAACAACAAATAATTACAGTATCTAAATCTGCATACTTCATTGTATTTTTATTCTGTAATGTATTTAATCTGTCACAAACTCACCTGTCATATTTCTCTAACATACGTTCAAACTCCTTGTGTGATGTTTCTTTGTCTTCTAAAGCCTTTGAAAGCATTGTCTGGCATTTATCTAGCTTTTCTTTTAGAATATCAACTTCAGTTATTATATCATCCCTCTCCATCTGAAAAATATTTACAACTTTCATAATATGGTATTTGTTATATTTAATTTTTTATTGGTAATATTTAAATTAAAATATAGTATAGTATAATTACTGGTAGTTTTATCAGGTAAAAAACGTAAAGTTAGTGTGTTTGTGAGTATACTCATATATTATCACGATGTATACTCCAATTTTGATTACTGATAAATCTTACTTCTTACTAATATTATAAATGTGAAAGTTTGTGTGTTTGTTTGTTTGTTTGTTTGTTTGTTTGAAGTTCAATCACGCATAAACCACTGGACGGATTGGGCTGAAATTTTGCATAATGATAGCTTACATTCCCGATTAACATATAGGCATATTCTTATCTCAAAAATCCTTTCGGGCTCCGCCCCAGTGGCTCTGTAATTCCCCATGTTAACCTTATGAGTATTCATATTAAAAGAGAATTAAAGAATTTAGTCAGCTGTTTCAACTAAAAAAGTTGGTTCTATGATATGGAAAAGCATAAAAAAGTTATAAGATTTACCAACAGGGTGCAGCACTATATTTTTTTGCATTTATGAAAATAGCTAATTTGTACTAAAGTAGCAACAAAAAACTGTGATTCGCAATGAGAACTGTCAAAGTAGTATTGTTTACAGTTATGATTATGTTTTTCATTTCATGAATAATTTGTGATATTTTGCAAATTGTTGATAATTTATTCTTCTCTATTGTTTAGGTGAAGTGGTAGAACATTATGGCTATGGTAGATGTGTAATACTAAAAAAAGCAAATTTTATCAAACTGTGTCCTCCCTTATTGCAAACGCAAAGCTTGAGTATAACTGCAATAGGCCTAAGCATTTTATACTTATATTCCAACCCCGTACGAAGGACGGGTACTCTGCTAGTTATTAATAAATGATAAATAATAAATTAATAATAATGATAATAATAAATAATAATTTAAAATAATAATAGTATTAATAATTTATAATGAATTATAAATAAATAAATGATTTTTCACCATGATAAAGTGTGTGAGAGAAAATAACATTTGACTGGTTAAAAAAGTTATGAGTATGTTTAAATTTAAAAATGAATTTGTCAAATTGCATTTAAATAAAATAGAAGAAATTCTACATTGCATCTGATGAAGGACAATCTTGTCTTAACCCTTTGTACGCATTATTGATTAATCCTTTGTAGGTACGCATTAATTGATGTGAACTGTAAATATTTTTTCCAACATCAGCTGTCTCAGCTGCTTGGGTTTGCATCATGGAGGATTCTTCTCACCGGAATCATTTTAGTTTCTCGACAGATATCACCATTTTCAGACATCTCAACCTTCTTTTTGTAAGAAAAATGTGACTTCAGGCCATTGCTTATCGCCCTCATAGCGTTAAATTGTCTTTGTTAGGCAATACCACTGACAATGTGAGCACTAGGGATAATGTCTGTGAAATTTATCCGAGCCACTGTGCAAACAACCAAAAAGCTGGTCATCAGACTGATTAAGATAACTTAAAAGTAGTCTTTCAGGTCATAAAAGTATCACAAAGAGCTAAAAGCAGGTGCAGAGCCTATACCTGTAGTTTCTGCTGGTTTTGCTGCGCCTTCTCCCAACGTTCCCTAAACACTTCCGTCTCGGTGTGCATGTTCTCTCGATCTCTTTGCGCCTTCGCCAGCTGACTCTGCATCAGCTCCATCCTCTCTGACAACTTCTCACACTCTTCCTGAAACTGATCTCGCTCTTTCTGCAGACGAGCTGTCAGGAGCTGAAACATGTACGTCAATTTTTAACGATCCTCACACCAGACACAAGCATTGTATAGTTGTTACTGCCTGATTGGTTCTGAGGCTGCTTTGTGCATTATGACTGTGAAACGTCATGGACACAAAAAATGTTCATGAACCCAAAATTTGCTTAGAGGATAAACTTTAGACTTCCTCTTCTTCTAATCTGTTTGGTTCATACCTCAATTCGTTTAAGGAAATCTCTGTTTCAAGCACTCATAAAGCCACCAGTTGGTTTGTCTAAAAATGTTCAGTTTTTGTACAAAAGTATTGCTATCATACATCATTTGGTATAACACTGTAGTTTGTTGATGTTGCAAATGTAATAAGTGATTTTGAAAAATAGATATTATTTTTTATTATTACTGTATTTCATTATTGGTTCTGACTTTTTTAGTTTGGACAAGGGGTTCAAAACATACGAGGGAGAGTTCACTGTATATAGAGACCACTCAACAAATAAGTTATTGAAGTACTAACAAATTATATTGTATTACATGCCTCAATTCCCTAATGATTATCACTTGAGTTGTATTGTCCGAGATACTTTATAAATAATTCCATATTAATATTTTTTTTATGAAAATAAAATTAGGTTTATTTTTTACAACAGCTTAGAGCCAAGTCATGTTACAAAAATCTGATTCCAAAATCCATACTTAAGTCTTAACTTATATAGACTTTTGCCGGTTTTTTTCAACAAGTTTATTGCAGGTGTAACTGATATTTTTCAGCCCTCTGAAAGTTTGCTAGAGTAGAGTTTGTTCATAATAGTATTAAAAAAATAATGTTAAATTTTGTTTCCCATCTCTTTTTAGTTAAACTTGTGTGAAAACTTTATGTGCATGTACATATTTTAAAAGACCACGTATCTATCAACAAACTAAATCCAAAGTTTTAAATTGAAAGATAAACAACTAGTTTAACAAAATCAATGCATTTATTTTTCCTGCCATCCACTTATTAGCTGCAAAGAAATATTAATACATTCAATCAATACAGCAATAGACTAACAGTGACTGAGCAATACAATACGATGCCTACTGGCAGAGCATACTCATATTATACTAACAAAATTCCATACTATAACTAAGTTTATAATAGTTTCAGACGGATGCCCATTGTGTAAAAACTCTAAAATAATGAGTTATTCAGAGTAAAATATGTTCGGGTGATGTTTGTTTTGCATAAATTAAGTAAAAATGGTGCAAATATGTTCATTGTCATAATAAAAAGAGCTTACATCTATTATATAACTATGGCATAAAATTTTAAGTTTCCTAATGCCATTTTATTGCCATGCAAAAGCTGGTTCATAAAGCAAAAAGAGCTTCCAGAAATACTGTATTGAACATATAATAATCTGTATGTAAGATTTTATGTGTGTTGAGTACACAAAACTAATGAAAAGGATTGTAGATCGCATTTTTAAATTATTTGTTGACAGTATTACGAGTATTTATTGTAGCATTATCGGTTAGTTAATTTTGTTGGCTGGTTAAATGTTTTTATAAGTGAACAGTACAGACCCTAGTCATGTTACCTACTATCTAACGTCAACCTTTATCGATGCTTTAGATAGCGTCATGAATTAATAGCCCAATGACAAACATAGCATCTCGGTACAGAATCAATCTTTCTTAAGGTAAAACCAACGATTATCTTGACTGCTACATAGAAAATTATGACGGTTTTTGCTGAATAAAGCTGGGTTTTCCTAGGTGCGGAATCGGAGCGCGGAGAGAGGAACGGGGAGGGCGGATTCCTCTTGTTTTAGGTAATTTAATCTTACTGTTTTCCTAGAAGCGGAGCGGAACGCCATGTTAATAACTTTTCCACTCTCCGGGCTCTTCTTCCGCGTCCAGGAAAATCTGGCTTAAGACATGGGAACTTTTTTCTGATTGGTTCTTTCTCAAATGGTATTACTATAAATGTTTGTACCTAATTGTAACCGAGTAAAATTTAAGTAGAACCCTTATCCAGGGTTTAAATAAACTCAAACTGTAAATTCCACAATGTTTATGAGAGTTGTCTGTAGATTAAGGTCATCAACAAACTCCTATCCTGACTTAATGGTCAAATATTATTCAATGCCAGTTAATTATTAGATTTTAACTAGTCTGGTCCTTATGAGAGTTCATTGCAAACCACAGTTTACGAGCACCACTCTTACATTTTTGTGGTTGAGAAAAACATTACGGTACATGTTTTGTAGTACAAATCTTGATTTCACGTTATGGTTCATTAATTAATTGCGGAATGTATAGTTGTTGGGGGTAAAAGCTTATGCTCAATATCTAGTTTTATGCTACAACAAAAACCTACAGCCAATAAGGGACCGTACTAGGATGGACACCTATATGCGACACTTTCCATCAGTTTTGTGCATTTATTGAATGTAGGAAGCTCTTGCAAAAATTTAAATAAATACTTTAGGTTACCTTTTAAAAAAAAAAAAAAAAAGTAGAACCAAACTATTTTTAGGTACTTCTGGGAAAATTGTATTTACCAGTTAAATATTCCATAAACAAAATTGAAAAGCCAGTTGTTGGATCTGGAATTCTCTTTCGACTACTGAAGCAAAATATTTCCAAATAACTAAACAAGAATGTATTTAGCTGACAATGACAAATATTTCAATATTATAATACAGAACATTTTTCCAAAATATACATGTAACAATCAATAATTGCTTTAAAAATAAAAATGCTGTGGTTAATGAAGTTAAAATACCGACCAGGTAAGATTTGACCTCCCCGTCCTGGAAATAAAACTATTATTCAAAAAAGGAAACATTTAAACTTAACTTCCCATTATCTTCTCAAGTTTTAATCTGTCTAAATGTTCCAAACAAGTTTATTAAAAGAGCTTAAAGTAATAAACGTAGTTAAAGTAAATTAGTTATATAGTTTTAAAAATTAAGAATAGTTACAGTTAGTATAGTTTATATTTTAAACACCGTACAATGTAGAACCACGTATTATACGGTAATTATTATTTGTAAATTGATTAGCTGGAAATGTGTTTACAGTTTTATAAAAAACTTACATCTACCTTAATCAAGGTCAACTACCTTCAAAGCATTTTGGGAATACCTTTAAGGATACAGTCATGCTATTTAATAGAGCATTAGATGGCCTTTTAAAATATACAATTGAATTAGCAGTTCTAAAATGTTTTATTACAAGTTTTTACCGCATATTTATTATTTTTATTTCAGATAAAAATTGAATTAATGATGGAAGATTTATTGAAATTATTGACTATTGAAAACATCATAGACAGCAACTCGTGGTTGATTTTATGGTAATATTGTGAGGGGATAATAGCATGGGATCTCGACAAACTGAAAAGCCAGACATAGTTAATTTGAGACCAGCCAATCGCACTATTTTATCTTTTGAGTCACCAATAACTAACTTGCCTATTGTTTATAGGGTTCACCGTAACGGAACTTCAGTCTCTTTAGATTACCCTATTCAGTAAATCTATGATGACAGCCAATTTGTTAATTTAAAGACAAAAATTACAAATATACACTGTATACTATGTTTTTTTTTGGGCTTGTATAACAAATTGTTTTCTATGTTACACCAGCTAGTCAATAATCCTGAAAGGTTTTACCTGAGTCTTCTCAAACTTGTCTCGCAACCGGTCTGCTTCCAGTTGAACCGTTTCCTTCTCCTTCTGCAATCGAGTAGCTTGACCAAGGGCCTTATCCAGCTGAGATTGGATATTTTCAAAGTCATAGTTTTGCTTCTCTTTCTCAACTTGCATCTGCATTTGGAGAGGTGAAAAAGGAGATTTAACAAAGTGCATTGATTGGTGAAAGTATGCTATTTATTATTATCCATAGAAGAGTACTAAACAATCCTTATACTCACTTTTTGTTTGGGTTCCTCTAAGAAAATATTTTAAATATATATGTGTAAAATGTTTTAAATATTTCTAACAACGGTTATTTAATACGTTTATGACTAAAAATAAAAAACAAAAATTTTAAAATTATGTTAAGATGTAGGTTATAGCTTTTTTGATGAAAGTAGTTAACCATTAAATACAAGTTCTAAAACATAATTCATTTCTTTTTCAGGTGGACCCAAAGAAATGTGATTCTTGGTGTTATTTGATGCTGGGATAAAAACAACACAAGTTATACCATTTCATGTGGACACTTTCCCATTAAGGTACCTTAGTATGGCTGTAAGCCTTCTTTTCCCTAAAATAAAGGTTGATAAAAATTTTTAAATAAGTTCTGACACATATTTTACATCTAGCCTGTAAACCCTAAAAACTGCAAGTTCCTCTATATTAGATGTGCTAAACCATAGATTATCTTTGGTGGGTCTTCAATAAATGTGTCTTTCCTAAGTTGTGTCTAACTATGAAAAAGTTCCAATTAAGAAAATGCAGTTGTGATTATGTTACCTTAAACACGACCAATTCCAATATTCTAAATCACTGTACGTACAAGTGCATGTACTCACCCGCCTGATCTCGCCTGTAGACTTGTCCAGCCTCTCCTGCAGCTTGTCAACTTCTCCCTGAGCCTTGTCCAGCAAGTTCTGCAGTTTCTCTTGTTGCAATTGAGCCTTCCCAAGAGTAGCCTGGGTCCGTTCCAACTCCTCCCTCGCCTTCTCAAGCTCCGAGGTGGCTTTGTCTCTCTCCACATGCATCCGACTGATGGCAGACTGTGCTCGGTCGTACTCCTCCCTCAGACTGTCTTGTTCGCCCTGAGCGTTCTCCAGTTTTGCCTTCAGTCTGTATATTTCGCCTTGAGACTTTTCCACCTTCTCCTGCAACGACGCCGCCTCGCCTCTTGCTCGCTCAGCGTCCGCCTGAGTAACTCTCAACTCAGCCTGAGCCCTTCTCAATTCAGCTTGAGCCTTGTCAGCTCTCTCCTGATACCTATCGAGTTCTTGACTCGTCGTCAACGTGCTGCGGCCAAAAGTTGTTTGAGACCGTTCCAAATCGTGTTTCAGTCTTTCGTTTTCCAGCTCCAATCTTGCTAATCTCTGTTTGGCCGCTTCCCAGTCAGCCCCACTTCGGCCTACTTCGCTTGTCGCTTTGTCCAATTCCGCTTTAGACTTGCCGAGCTCCGACTGTGAACTTTCTAGTCTCGCTTCTAATCGGTCTTTCTCCGCTTGAGCTCTTTCTAAGCGAGCGTTCAGTTTTTCAACTTCACTCTCTAAGGCATGTAGTTTTAATTTGTACTCGGCGATCTCTCGCTCGTGCAGTTCTCTCTCTTCTTGTCTTTCTTGCTCTGCTCGGTCTCGTTGTTCTCTCAGCTGGTTCATCTGTTTCTCTTTGTCACCGATCGCTTCTTCCAGGCTCGACAAGGCTCCCTCGCTAGAGCAGTGATGCGCCTGCATTGCTGTAAGTCTTGCTCTTGCCATATCCACTTGGTTGTCTTTCTCTTTCAATAGATCTTCTAAGTTCTCGATCTACAGCCAAACATAAAATCTGGCATTGAAGGACAAGTGCATACAGTTTGAAAATACATAGGTTGAAAATCATTGAGGGTAGGTACCGTACTTCACCAAAAGAAAAGAAACCGAGTAGGAAATATTTAATATTAAAGGTTGAATAATTATGGCACAGGTACAAAAAATAAAAAAAACAATCAAAAAATAATATTGTATTTTCATAAAAAAGCAAAGATTATAAACTAACAACTTAACAATGGTTCTATGGAAGTGTTGAAACTAAAAGGGGAAAGAACAAAACTATTATTGAACAAAAATATGTTTATTTTACATACAGTAAAATGGTGACAAAAACAACAAAATATAAAACAACATACAAAACAATATACAAAATTATAACAAGAACGTAACAAAACTTGGTATCCTACATAGTCTACAGCAAATAAATGAAACTAGTTGTATGACACTATCAAAAATATAAATTATTCAAATAAAACTCAGTACAAAACTTAAAATTGTGTTGGAGATTAAGAAAATAAGAGAGAGGAAATGAAAATGGCAAAATAACCAAGACATTTATTTCAAATAACACAACGCAACTTATAAACTTAAAAAATAACATAATGCGGGTAAATAAAAAGTAGGGAATAACTTTCTAAATTACACATTCCTAGTCTAATGAACTTAGTCTAACCTCACTCAGGGTTACTTCAAATAATAATCAAAATAATATCGCTAGAAGAGTTTATTGGATTAAATACCCTATTTTGTTGCTAAATTGTGTATTTCAAAAGTAAGTACCATGCATGATGTTTAACTTAATCGCATGCATTCTGCCAAGTTGTACTTAAGGCCCCGGCCACACGAGGCGGTTTAACCGCGCGAAGTTAAGCCGCGCGAAGTTAAGGGCTTCGACAACACATTGAATCAAATGAGAGTGGCCACACGAGGCGAAGTTTAGCCGCATGTGCGGTTGAGCCGCAACATGTCGTCCCCCGACCGCGCGAAGTTAAGCCGCGTTGGAGGGGATGACACATGTAGTCTTATGAGAGTGGCCACACGATACGGTTCGACCGCGTGGCAGCCGCGCTTATTGGAGATATTCTTCGGACATTTCCAGTGGTTTTTGAGTTTGTTTTGTGTATTTTTTACCGGTTGTGTGGTGTTCAAACAATGTTTGATACATATGAACTCCGAACTATGGTTTCACATGTGCTCGTAAAAGGTTTGGAACACAAAAAATTGTTTTTCCGTTATGAAGGGATGGACCCAATGATTTATGTTAACGTTCCAGATCACCACACGATTTTAATGTACAAACTAACATTTAAGTGTTTCACCCATGACTAAAAAGAGTGAACCGAACTATGTTTTAATAGAGTACTGATACTGGGAAAACCCAACAGGAAGCGGTTCATCCGCCCCGTGTGGCCAGGCACTTCGCGAGGCTTAAATTCGCCTCGTGTGGCCGGGGCCTAATGTCAATGAAGATTTTTCAATCATTAGTTCAAAATTAGTAATCAAAGCCAATGTTAAAATATTCTCAAATGCATATTTAGTGTTGTTAAAAATCAATTGTAAATATCCTCCCCAGAGCATTCTTTGCAGTTATAAGTCTATAGAGGTCCAGATATTCAATAAAAATAAAAAGTGATAACAAACAGAGAAAAACTATCAAGAGAATATATGCCTTAAAGGCAAAATTAGTAGGTAGTATAACTCTTGATTGTCTTGTACTAACTTTTTCGGACCCATTCAAATTTAATATTTATCTAAATATGATGAATGCAAAAGTGTTAGAATGGGTGTGTTGGCTTTTTTGACATCTTTATTATACTGAGTATGATCAGCTGGTTGTAAGGTTAATATAACTTAGTTGAGGCCAGTGGCGTAGTCATACATTTTCCAGTACGGAAACCCTCACACAAGTCTTCTATTAAAATTTTGATTTTGGTTTTGGAAAAATTATCTATGGCAGCGGACTTGGATTCAAACCTTCAAAATTCTCAAGTCAAAAGTTAAAATGTGAGAAAAAGAAAAACTAAAAATCAATCTCATTGCAGTTTTGAGGAGTAACAGTAGCCTACATAAAACAAGACTTAAACTGTTGACGTTTTCTCTGTACTCATTAACACTCCTTCCTGTGTAAAAAAAATGTGGTTAGTGTTAAACGGACCTACCTTTCTTTGCAGAACGTTTATTTTCCGATCCTTTATGTCCATGTGGTCCTTAATTTCACTCAACTCGCTGTTCAATCGGTTGCGATCTTGGGTTGCTTGCATTGCTTGCTGAGTCTTTTTTTCGATATGCCGATTTTTTTCTTCTAACCTTTGGCGAAGTTCTTCAACCTAAAAATTACAATGAGGTTTTGATTATGTTTTAAACACTTATTTATCCATCCAAATTATGCAAAACTTTGTTATGAATACTTTGCAAGTTTTTTTTCTGCCTTTTTTTACATTTAAATGACTAAATTATTTGCAAATTGTGATAAGATACAGATTCACACTTATTTAGAATTCAAGATTGCCTTGTTCAGCGACAGCCTTTACACTTAAAAAAAAAAAAAAATTAGAATAGCACCCTCTTTCAACCCAAGGTTTGTCCACCTCATTTACCGTGCACGTGTTCAATCCTTTGTGAGAGCACATCAAAGAAAAGGGATACTTTTATAAAATCCTGATTAGTGGGGGAACACTACTGTATTTGCAAATCTTACAACATTGTACAGTGTTCTGAAATCTACAGTACTAACACCACCACTATCCTGTAAATTACTCAAAGATATTACTTAGCAATTCAGTTGTTTTTGCTTAAAATTACAAATGCTCAAAGCAATAAGTACAAACGTTTCAGTTTAAATAAAATGTAAGTTGTTTTCAACCTACATAAAATTGTACTCTGATGTTGATTTTAAAAGTGCAACCGTTGACTATTGATAGCACTAGACTCCATCCCTATGTGTTAAAGCTATTGCTGTAGTAGTACAATCAAAATGGATGTAGTCAAATCGAGCCACCAATAGTGTAAATTATCACAAGGATAAAATATTACTAATATGAAATAAGCCAACTTTTCAATTAAGTAAAATTGATTTGACAAATATTTGTAAGCTATGGCATTAAGATGACATAAACTATCGGTAAAGTGGAAAGTTCTTTTCACATTGAATAGCGTTTAATTTTATTTCACTTGGCAATTTGCAATACTCACGTCAGCCTGAAGCATGTTGTAATGCTCCTCCTTCGCACACAAGGATTCCTTCAGCACAGCGATGTGTCTCTGATAGTCCTGATGTTGCTCCTCAAGGGTCTTCATTTTCGCACTCATCGCTAGAATCTCCTGGTCTCGCCTCTGGATCTCCGCTCGGAACTCGTCCAACTGGAAAATTATTCAAACCTGCTAGCAATCACTCTACTTTTACAAGATTCCCCGCAATCTACCAATAAAATTTCAAAGCTGTCTACGCTCATGCTACGTTTTAAGCTTAGCTCCAGTAAAATTGTTAAAAATTACTAAAATACTTTAAGCCTACCTATGTTGGAAAGGATACTTTTTTGGCGCTACATCTAAATTACTTACTAAGAGTCATGCTTAGGGAATACTTTCTGAAATGCAAGCCTTGATTAAACAAAGGGAAAGTTCTTTAATTAGTCCAAGTAAAATTGGTCATGATATTTCTTTAATTTTGCCACGGATTCTGAATATTGATGACTATAGTATTATTGTATTTATATGAATAAAGTTTGGGAACTAATATACTATATACTCTTGAATATAATTTCCTCAACTAATTATCCGCCATAAAGAAAATGTATCTACTAATTTATAAAAGCATACTTTGCCCTTCAGGGCACATCAGTAAAATAAATGGTATTGCGTCCTAAACAATTTAAATTAAATCTAATCAAGTTTTATATACTTTTCCCAGTGAGGAAAATCTAACTAATTGCATCACACATTCTGAATCGAACACATTTAATAAAATGTTTACAATGCTCAAGCACAGGTGATCAAAACCATGCACTATCTACTTTCTTAGACATAACTGCAAACCAATACGAAAATATTCAAACCTGACGGAGGAGTCATGCTAAAGCAATCACAGTAAACGAAGAAAGACAAAAGGTTAAATTGGATGCCTGAGGTGGTAAAATGTCTTTTTCCACACGAACCACTGAAAGCCGAAAAGAAACGGAAGCAAGTGTTAGGTTTGACAATTAAGGCAAACAGGATGCAGGTGCTTTAACTGTTTTGACTGTGAAAAAAGCTGGCATCTGAATATTTACCACTTTCCTAAAAAGAATTTATTTCTTGGTGTACAAAGTTATCCCAGGTAAGATTTCAGAGTCACATCTTTAAGGTCTTATTTATTTGGTTTGTCAAACAATTGAACATGTTAATTCTTTTGCAATGCAGGAATATTGAAAATTCAACTTCAATAACATTAGAAAAATTTTTTTTCAGTAGGAAATAGTTGCCCTAAATAAATGTTTCAGATCACATTAAATGTATCTATATCAATGTAACTTTTTGAACAAGTCAAAAAAGTAATTTTGTCTTGGCAAAAACATTTCTGCAAAAGGTTGAACTTTGCTCACGGAAAGCTGAGTGCTTTTGAAATCTGGTTTTACATAGCCGACAGCCAACCTCCAAGTGTGCAATTGACCGTGGAATCCTACCTGAAGGATTTTGGAAAGATTGAAAAGTTGAAAAGGTGCATAAACTGAATGCATGCTCAATCACGTTAAACAGTATAAGCACGAGGTCGGTGACAGTTGATGGTTCCGTTCTCGGATGCAGAGTTGCAGACACAGGGTTGGTCTAAGTGACTAAGTGTTGCTGCCGCTTACTTGATGCTTAAAGCCCAGCTGAGAGTGGGGGGGAAGGGAGTCTAACAGAGGAGAGGGGAGGTACAGGTCTCGCGCTCCGAACTGCTCCCTCATCCGATCCAACTCCTGCTCCAACAGCTTCACTTCCTTCTCCAATGTTGCGATCCGAGCGTCTTTTGTCTCCAAAATGGCCGTCAAAGTACTGTTTGTCGGCCCACCCGAATTTTGATTCTGGAACGCTTTCTCTAACTGCATCTGCAGGGCTCTAAGGGTTTCGTTTGTCGCTTTTAATTCCTGAATTGGTAATCAGAAAAACACAAAGTAAATCTACCATGTTTTAGCCAAGGGTTCAAGTACATAAAGGAAACCAAAGCTATTTTCTTGATGAAGCAAAATATTTTAAACATGAATGTAAAAGTTAGTTTTGCTATTTTATGATTTTATATACTTACACTGCTTTCAAGATTTTGCTCTAGAAAGAGAAACCCATACAATTTGTTGGATATTATGTTAAATATCTACCTACTTTACTTAATCAAATTCAAAGTTTAACTAATAAACAATTTATATACTTCTAAGGGGTGTAATTCAATCAAACTATAAATGCTTCAGAGAATAGTGTAAGGTTCAAACCATAAAATGTCTAACGTTTGTTTATTTTACATTAGGTGAATTTTTTATTCTTTACATTGAACCAAAACAAATGAAATTATATTTTAAACAGTTTTAGCAAGCCATTAATAACTCGATAAAGCAAACTGTAATGTGGTGGGATTTATTGGAAGTGTAAACTACAAAAGAGTTTGAATGTTTACAAAGCACACTCTGTTTTAAAGTGGCTTGTTATGGTACTGATAGCGAACTAGGTCAGTGTTAACGGTCTACGGCCACCGAAATGTTAAATGTTCGGTCTCGAGCAGGAGCCCAATATACCGCATGCGACACCCATTACAAATTGCGGCTTACTCACTCGTTTGGTAATATTGAGTTCCTGGTCTCGATTCCTCACAACAGATTCATAGTGGCGTATCATGTTTTCACTCTCGACTAGTCTCGCTTCTAACTCCTTCTTAACTCGTTCATCTTCTACCATTTTACCACCTACAAACATCCATATAATCAGCGGGGGACTAGCACAACTGATTCGTTCCCAGAACAAGAATTCACCTGTAAGTTGCTCATGTTCCCCGCGATCTACGTTACACATGCTTCGTTCACTGTTAGCAAGCGCGAGAGTAAATCATGCAAGCGCGAGTGTCGTGTGTTTAACTTACAGTTTGTCGTGTGAATAGTTATACTGGGAGGTGGTCCATTCCATTCGCATTGGTTTGCAGTTATGATGCATTACTAGGGTGTTACAAATTGTAAAAACGGTGCAATGGACTCCGAAAAACAACAAAATAGATAAAAGGAATAACAATGAAAAAACGGTTTGTTAGTGAATGTTTAACCACCTGTTTCTGAGCCAAAGCTTGCATTTGATGTAACATTTGGCGTTCCTCCTCTTTTCCTAAAACAGAATGCAAGGCCCCTAGATGAGTTATGTTATATGATACAGAATGTAAGGTCCCTAGATGAGTTATGTATTATATGATACAGAACGCAAGGCCCCTAGATGAGTGATGTATTATATGATACAGAATGTAAGGTCCCTAGATGAGTTATGTATTATATGATACAGAACGCAAGGCCCCTAGATGAGTTATGTATTATATGATACAGAATGTAAGGCCCCTAGATGAGTTATGTATTATATGATACAGAACGCAAGGCCCCTAGATGAGTTATGTATTATATGATACAGAATGTAAGGTCCCTAGATGAGTTATGTATTATATGATACAGAATGTAAGGCCCCTAGATGACTTATGTATTATGTGATTCAGAATGTAAGGCCCATCGATGAGTTATGTATTATATGATACAGAATGTAAGGCCCCTATATGAGTTATGTATTATATGACACAGAATGTAAGGCCCCTAGATGAGTTATGTATTATATGATACAGAATGTAAGGCCCCTAGATGAGTTGTGTATTATATTATACAGAATTTAAGGTCCCTAGATGAGTTACGTATTATATGATACAGAATGTAAGGCCCCAAGATGAGTTATGTATTGTATGATACAGAATGCAAGGCCCCTAGATGGGTTATGTATTATATGATACAGAATGTAAGGCTGTAGTTGGGTTCATGTGTTAAAATGTGACTGAATTGAAAACTGTATATGAGTTATGTGTTAACTGTGAGGGAATATAAGGCTATAGATAAGTATATATGTTAATGAAAGATGAGATTAAGGTGAGTGTTGTGAGATAAGAATGTAAGACTAAAGATAGTTTATACAGGGTGAGTTTTAATTGTCCCCCCCCCATACTTTTTTCTAAATTTTTTCAAATATCAATCCCAGACCACTTCCAAACATTGTTGGATAGTAAGTACTTCATTTTGACAAGGTGGTCATTTCCCGCCGCCATCTTGGATCCGCCATATTGGATGCAAAATTTGTTTTTCAAATGTTAAGGTGGGGTTGTGGACCCATTATTTCGAATTAACTTTTTACCCTGATTACAATGCCGAAAACCGTTTAAAAAAAATCTTGATTCATTCTAAAGTTATGAGGGCTTTTTAAAACTTTATTTTTAGCCCATTTTAACAGTGTGCATTTACAAACTAAGACCATAATCTCAAAATAGTGCTAGATAAAGATAAGTATACACTACCAGTAATTGTCAACCTATTTTCACTTGGTTATGACTGATGTATTTTTTTCGGATCCACCATTTTGAAATGTGATAAATTATTTTAAATATGAAGGTGGTGTTGTGACCCATCATTTTGAACTACTTTTTTAAGCTAAACTCAATGCCGCAATCCATTTTTTGTTATCAAGTTTTATTTATGAAATATTGCAATTTTTCTGTTAAAAATATCAATATTTCAAAATCAAAAAATGAAAATGAAAAACGGATCATGGAATTAAGTTCAACTTAAAAAAGTAGTTCGAAATGATGGGTCACAACACCCCCTTCATATTTAAAATAATTTATCACATTTCAAACTGGTGGGTCCAAGATGGCGGCCGAAAAAAATACATCAGTCATAACCAAGTAAAAATAGGTCGACAATTACTGGTAGTGTATACTTATCTTTATCTAGGACTATTTTGAGATTATGGTCTTAGTTTGTAAATGCACAATGTTGAAATGGGCTAAAAATAAAGTTGTAAAAAGCCCTCATAACTTTAGAATGAATCAAGATTTTTAAAAACTGTTTTCGGCATTGTAATCAGGGTAAAAAGTTAATTCGAAATAATGGGTCACAACCCCACCTTTACATTTGAAAAAAAAAATTTACATCCAATATGGCGGATCCAAGAAGGCGGCCGGAAATGACCACCTTGTCAAAATGAAGTACTTACTATCCAACAATGTTTGGAAGTGGTCTGGGATTGATATTTGAAAAAATGTAGAAAAAAGTTGGGGGGGGGGACAATTAAAACTCACCCTGTATGTTATTAGACAAAATGTAAAAGTAATGATAAGTTTATGTTTGTGTGTAATGGTGGTAAAATGATGATGACTAAAGATGAGTTATGTTTAGAGACAGAATGTAAGGCACTTGAGTTTATATGGTATGAGACAGAATTTAAGACTGAAGATAAGTTTATGTGCTAAGAGACAGAATGTAAGGCTGCATATGAGTTTACATGTTATGAGGCAAAATTTAAGACCTTTGACTCATGATACAACTAGACTTTCCATCCCCATGTTAAATTTGTCAGCAGTTATCAATTCAAATTTGTCGTAGTTGATGTGAGCCACCGACAGATTGTGCTGATCTAAATTACTAATTTCTGCCAAATACAATATTTTTTTTACTATGTCAATCAAATGACTTATTGTGGGCTATAGCAACTGATATGACCCATCAATTTAGTCAGTAACAGAAAATAGAGTAGGAAATAGAATTTTTACACTATAGTGCATTCTGTGACTGGCTCACAGAACTGGGCTCTACGCTCTTTTTTAATAAAAAGTTGGCGACATCTGGTCCATACTGGGATGTCTACTTCTGTATCCAATGGACAATCATGAGACTAAAGATGAATTTATGCTTATATGTTATGCATGTATATGTTATATCGTATGTTACAGAATGTAACCTGCTTATTAGTTTATGTTATGAGACAGAATTCAAGACTAAAGATAATTTATGTTTATATGTTATGAGACAGAATCTAAGGTGCACATTAGTTTATGTAATGAGACAGAATTTAAGACTAAAGATAATTTTATGTTTATGTGTTATGAGACAGAATGTAAGACTGCATATGAGTTTATAGGTAATGACACATAATATAAAACTAAAGATGAGTTTGTGTTTCTGTGTTATGAGACAGAATGTAAGACTAAATATGAGTTAATGTTTGTTTATGCTTTATGAGACAGAAAGTAATACTATAAAGATGAGTTAATGTTTACATGTTATGAGACAAAATGTAAGACTTATTAATTAATGTTAATGTAATTAATTACTTAATGTTATAGACAGTATGCATGAATTTATGCATTCAAAAAGACAGAAGATGTAAGGACCATTCATGATTATGCTCCTTAAGTGTTTGGATGAGTTATGTCAGGAGGAGGTACAACAAATCAGATTCATCCAAACCCAAAATAAGAAAAGCTTTGAGTGTGGGACGGTTAAGATGACTTTTGTAGGGTTTTAATTACTAAGACCATCTGATCCTCAAGCTCAAGTCAAACTCATTATCAACCAATTGACTAATAATCAATGGCAGCTAGGTGCAGGTTTATATAATGAAAAATCAAGAGACTTCTCTCAGGATCAAAACAGTAACTTTCTGAAAAGTTGATGAACTCTAAAACCACTGTTTCTGTGATAGAACATAAAACTAGCGAATTATTTTCTGTGCAATAGGTCCATAAAGTTCTCATCATGAATTTTTAATCTCACACGTGAAGAAATGACTTCATAATTCATAGGAGTTGTGTTCTCATTGGGTAAAAGAATGTTTCAAAACATCATTAAGATATGTAAACAATTTGACTTTGAAATACTGGTATAATTAACTGAAATGGATGGTGTGTCATAAACGTTAAATTTTAATATTCTAATATAACAACTAAGAACAACTGATATTATTCCAATATTTTTACATTTAAGTCTTGGCGATATATCTTATTCCGGTAACTATATCGCACCTCAGAACATTATGTACTACATGTATGAAAATGGATGATTGGATGAAAGATAAGTAATATTTCATAGATGCATCTTTAATTATAAATTTATTTTATTTTTGCTGTATGTACTTATAATGTATAATAACCCTGAGAATAGTGTACTGAGTATGTATCAGTACTTTATCTGGCAAAAAAATGTATCCTAAGAGTAAGACAAAGACAAATCGGAAAACCTCGGAAAATTATAAGAAAATGTTACCAAAAAGTTTCCTATCAATAATACAATTTGTTTAGCTGTGAGGTATTAGTATATAACTAAAGGGGGTAAGTTATTTGATTTATTTATTTATTTAAAAAAAAAAATAAATAGGCTATTTGAAAAGTTGTATGAACAAAACATTGAGTGATTTTTTGGAAAATCATTCACCAATGTCATCATTAAAAAAATATTTTGATATTATATTACTCCACAGATATTATTTTCATATCCACTTTTTCAAAATAAATATTTTTTTGTATTTTTCATGTTTGCAAACAGCTTGAATCCTTATTTCAAAATTAATTAGAAGTGTAAGAATACATCTGTAATAACATATGATTATACATATCACGATTTAAAATATGCACTTCAAGCTTAACTCTGTTAATTACTGTCAGATATTCATATATACTAGGTATTATTTAGTTTGTGACTATATAAAATAGTTATTAGGGTATCTGAATACAATGTTGATTTTTTGTTGAAAAAAAATAACCAATAGAAATGGATCAATAACAAGTTCTATCATATAAATTTAATATTTCAGATAAATTTGCTTCATATGTAGTTGTTTCATATAGTTAGGTACCTAATTTGTTTTCTTTGTAACAAGTTTTAAAAGTAATAGGAAAATTATTTAAAAAATTAAGCTGATTTTAATAATTTTAGCAAACATAACATTTTGTTATAAAGCCCAAGAGTGAATATTATATATTGGTAAACCTAAAATACTTTTTCTTTTAAAAAAATTTACAAAATTTCAAAAGTTTCAGTTTTGTAGCAAAAAAATATTTTCAGAGTTTATTAAGCTGGAAAGTAGAGTTTAACCCTATTGACTTCCCCAAAGTCTTATCGATAACTATTTTTATTTTATTAAATAAAAAATTCCATTTATCTTAAATCAAATTGAAAAAGTATTTATGTCAAAGGAAAGTAGTAACAGCTATTAGCTAACTTACCGACTCCTTTACTCTGTAGCATTTCTAAAAGTTTCTTTATACTTTCATCTCTTGCTTGTAAAGTTTGCTTCTGAGTTTCAATTCTTAACTCCAATTCCTGAAACAAAACAAACAATCATACATTTGTCCTCCAATCCGAATCAAAAATGAAATTTACACTTGTAAACTCATGGTGTAGGCCTAAAATACTGAACATTCCAACAACAATTGATATAATGGGTTATACAAATTTACAAGACCAGAATATAGTTTTTGCTTGGTTAGGTTTTCCTTTTAAAGATTCAACATTTAACCTCATACAAATTTCCCAGGTAAATAATAAAAGTTGTTTATTATTATATCCAAACTAACAACAAATACAAGTTAGCTGTGATTTAGTACCATAAACTTGTTTGCGTAAATTTTGTATAATTTTTTTGTATAAATTTTGTTTGCATAAATAACTGCATAAATTATTGCATAATAACTTTGTTGCATAGTGTTTCTAAAATAAAACTCCATGCAAATTGGACTTATCTACAATAATGCATACAGCGGCATGGTACAGTAGTTTAAACAAATTCTTAGGTGACAAAACCAAGTAAGTGTTTAAATTTAAAATTCGTCCATAAAAATCATGTATATCATACATTAAAAATAGTATAAGATATTCAATTTATATACTATTTCCTGTTTTAAAATAAATTTCTAAACCACATCACAGGCTAGAGAAATATTCTTATGAAACAGGGAAACGATAAAGTCCTGCTTCTATTGATCCGCTTAGACAACTTTGCATTATCTAGCAGCTAACCTAGTTCCTTGAAATGCAAATCATCCTTCCTGGGTAAAAATGTGTTAACATCACCTGGATCGGTAATATATCTCAAAAGTTTTTGTATTTGCTATTTATTTATAATGTTTTATTAATAACACCAAAAATTAATATCCAGAATCGCAAATTTAAAATAATATCCTTTTCTTCACACAATTTCAAACTGTTTCCAAACATATGTGTGGGTAAACATGTATATTTTCTAGTGTCACCTGACAAAGCAGGCTTTTTTGTACAGATTATAGCACGCAAAGTAGCTAACTGATGCATTACTTTTGCCATTTTACTTTACCGCACTCATTTTACTTTGCCGCACTCCAGTATTCCAACCAAAAAACACAAAACAGTGTGCTTTTATAAGGCAAGTAATACGTGTACGCTTGTAAATAAGTTGGCAACACTTAAAGATACTATACGATCAGCTGGTGCAGCGTTTCACCGCCTTTGAGTATTGATACTACGGCTTAACATGTTGTTTTGTGTTAACATTATATTTTGGTTCAACGCAACCTAAAACGTGTTGTTTAGTGTTTGAATATTTATATGCTTTATGACAACTGTAGGGAAAATATATTGTGTAACGCGAGCGCAAAGTGCCACTTTATGCAGTAGTTACATAAATAACTATTTCATACAAAATAAAATAAAAACATTTGACATCATATCGTTTATAGATCTTTTTCATAAAATGTCACTCAATAACAGAGCATACTAGTTTTTATCGGATCTATTTTCTTCGTCGAAATCTGCTGAGTATATTTTATTTTCTCTGCATCAAAATTAAAATATACAACACGATGTCCTAATTTCCAATCGCATCCTGCATTTGAGGAAGCCATGCCAACTACAGTTGTTTAGCAAAAAATTGTATCTTTAGGTTTCCTCATAGTAATGATAATATGCCAGTTTGTCTCGATATAAACATCAAAGAATCAAAGAAAGCTTGATAACATTGTGCTGTGTACAATTATGCTATCAAAACATCTCTGAACATCATGGGATGTCAAAGGGCTATTCTTAACCACAAGTAGTTATCTAAAACTACAGTGTAGATTTGTTTGTAGTATTTTAGACAACAGGATAAAAATGTTTTAATACAATACTATCAAACGCAACGTTGTCCAAAAGATGTTTATTGTTCAACAAAAACTAACGATTTGAACAAACAACCAAATTTTGTTTGAACTGTTAAATTTATAATTAAATGATAAGGATGTTTTACCAGTAAAAATTTAATACTCAAATCCATTTTCTTAATAACTTAACAGCAGAATGGCCTAACGAAGTTTACAAAACTTGTTGGCAAATTCCAAAACTTATTTAAAAATAATACATAAAATGTATTTAAGAACAAATTTGTATACACAGTTAGCTTTCTAATATCTTTTGTGACAATGAAGCACTCATTTATACTAAGAGCAATTTCTTTACAAATAAATTTATAATTACATCCAGTACAACATTAGCTAAATATGAAAAAGTAGAGATAAGAATCTATATTTTCCAAATTACGACAAGCAAATGACAAACTATCACCCTACAAAATTATTTTTACAAGAATAGCACCAGAAAAATGTTTTGATTCCTCGTTTCCCTGTTTACATTCTAACGTAACTGAATCTAATGTGTTTGCATTGCTTTCCTCTTCAAGTAACTTATTTATCATAGGTTTGGAGAAAGAATACAGCTTTAATATTTAATAGGTGTATAATGGAAAGTCAAAAGGTACCGGTAGTAAGCTGAAGGCATAAGTATTTTCCATTTATGCAATCAATTGAATACAGTCCTTTAAATAAAGGCACTTGAGTTAGTCAGTGGATACATTTTGTAACATTTTGACGCATTATTCAGCTAAACTGGCAGCCTCGTCTTTCAGTTGTGTTTACACTGAATGTCAGTTCAGAGACAAAGTGTTTTATGTCAAAGAGCTGTTGATTCTTTCCACTGGATTAATGAAGATGAGTTTCTGGTTCCAAAATGTATCCAGTGATAAAATTGTGTCTGAGTTTGTAGATTGTAGATTGTAGACTTTCCCTAAAACATTCGTCACAAATTCATTTTGGTATTATTGGTCATTAGTTTTTGATTAGTGTTGTATTAAATTTCGAATTGTGTTGATTATACTAAAATTAGCGTACGGTAAATGTAAAGTATACTAACGAAATCAATACCTTTGCTGTCGATTGTTTTCTTTAGTGTATAGTGAATTTTAAATTAAGAAATTGCACGCTTTGAGAAAAATCCTAAACAAGGAAAAAACCCCAAATAGCAAAACAATATATTAACGATGGAATTAATTAACCTCTTTGTAATTTACTAAATTGGAATCACGTAATGCAATACAAACTAGTAAATTGCATGTTTCATGAAAAATATTAGATTAGTATTAAACTTACTCCACCCTCCTGAAAAATTGATATAATTTGTTTAATTATTTCCCATTAGACTAATTTCCCCCCACTTGTACTGTGGTTTATACAAGTTATAAACTTTATATGTGTTTATATAAAGTTTATATTTGGATCTGCTGGGAATTGAACCCGTCTCTCTCTGAAGTCTAAAAGTTTACCTCTAGGCTATCTACAAACTCCCTCTGAAACCCATACTACGGTCTATAGAGTAAACCTATAGAGTTTAACCAACATAGTCTATACTCTGTGCCCATTCCAATATCTTAGGTGGAGAGTTAAAATACCCCGCCGCAGCAAACCTGCAGAATTAGTTAATTTCCATTTGGCTGAGATTTTGACTAAACATTTCATATGCAAGATTTATTCCGATTTAAGTAACATTAGGTATAACGTGTACTTAGGTTTGCTGCTACAGAAATGGAAAAGAGTTTTTTGTAAAATGTAAAAAATAGGTATTGTAAAATATTAAAAATGTTTGATCAAAATTTATTCATAATCAAACAAAATACAACAGTTTTCATTTTCTCGATAAGATAACATATTTTTAAATGTACAGTTTTGAAATTTTATCTGTAAACTTAAATCATACAACAACGCTTCAATATACACTACAATACATCTTTTACTCTACGCGATGGCTGTAATGTAAATTGAGATTATTTTTGTTTTAAGAGTGAAAATTAGAAAACTCCAAATGTTGCAGGATTTTAAAACCCCATAACACCCTATTCTAATGACTCGATATTTCTGGTTCGCGAACTCATTCTTATGCCACCATAAATGTCCATGCCAAATCTCATCAAAATCGGACCAAAACTACTCGAGCTATCGAGTTTGTGGACACATATCAGAAAATTTGCACGAATAGTGTTTTTGACCACTTGGTACATAATGAAAAAGGAATTCTTTCTCGGTATAGTTTTTACTATGCCTACCCTATAAATTCTCTATAGGGAAATTCGCTTATAATTGCAATTCATAGCCTTAACACCACAGTATGGGGAAAACACGTTAATCCGTTTTTACGGGAGACCAAGTGTGTAGTGACGTATTAAATAATCCTTGCACAAAAAACGGGTTAAATGTGCAAAACTAAGGCAGGGACGAGGGGGGGGGATCAATGGAGGTGGCGACCCGAGCGATATCTGAAGAGTTCATTGTAACAGCAACAAAAGCTGTGAATAAATCTCCACCTTTTATTTCTGAAATGCCATTTTTATCGAAGGCGTCAGTGCGTCATTAAAAACTGTACGGCGAGATTACTTATGAAAACCCGTGGGAGTTTTATATGTAACTTGAGATTTAATTTTTTAATGTTGGTAACTCGTAGATAAAACATCCCTTAGTAGATTTCTCATCCTTATGGATCAGCTGAAGATTTTTTGTTAGTTCCGTCCGGTGCACTGTTTTTACAATTTTTTAGTAATTTAAAACCTCGATTAACCAAATAAAACTATCTATTCATAAACGATAACTCGTCCCCTAGTTGAATAACCATACAGTAAAGCACAAATCATGAAATTAACCCGAAAATAATAGAAACGAAATTTTCGTCGACACTAGCGATCAGTGCCACCGGACATAAACTAGACACGATAAACGAGCTTCAAAAATTTCAATGGGATGAGAAGTCATTGTGTTAGTTATTCTATGCTCGTAGATAGGATTTATGACATGTCAACACAACTGGCTGTTTTTATTTTATATATATATATATTTTTTTGTACCAAAGAAGAAAGAGTGCTATTGAATTAATCATATGGAAGTTATGTTCAACTAAATATCGGCTTGTTCTTGAACCAATACATAGATTCAATCCCCATGTTAAAGCTGTCTCTAATTTTTGCATCACAATGGATGTAGTTGACGTGA